GTGCATTTTAATTAATATAAACACTATTTTAAGCGTCAGGAAACGGGATTGTTCTTGTCATGAATGGCGAGTATAACAACTTGGGAAGCTAGCTTGACATTTCGATAGTACGGTCTTCATACTGTCTTTGCCTTGTTTCTCCTGAATCTCAATAGTTTCAAAAGAAACAGATAAATCGGTCATACAATGCTTTCATTGGATTAATCAAAAAGGACCATATCAGGTTTGTTCGCTTGGATACGTCTGACTCTGTATGTGGGCGTATTCCAAAGAATTTGATATGTAATTATCATTTCCCACGACGCCCTCTGCATATTCTGGGTCGTACCATTGATGGTCTCGGAGTCAAAACCATACATTACGGTAACAAGAGGATCGAACCATGCCAAAGATACTGTGTTTGTGTCAAGCTGGACATCAACTTTGACACAAAATCACACATTGACGTTTTCGAGTGGCAAGTGACTGGTTCTGGGTCGATTTGATATGACACTTCGCTTGATAGACACTCATTTCTGTACCGTCCAGCACCATCAACAAAATAAACATTAACATTGATATTCAGTACTGCATCAATGGGTCGTTTAGGAAAATCCATTGAATGACTTGTTTTCAGTCTTGACATGCTTCACAAGAGGATCTTCAGATCAATAAATATGTGCAAAAGTGCACGATTAAATTCAATCATGAAAGGCCTCCTTGTTAATCACACCATAGACGTTAAAATATGGTGATGATCCTCATCATAAACAACTATTATCATCATTATCATTATAATGTTTATGTTCCCGTCACAGTACATCGTATTTAAAGAAAACAAGGTATAGATATAAACAAATTTGATAATACATCCGTGAGTTTAAAGTTGATTTTGACAACCCGGGCCAAGTCGGACCGAACACTTCTAACAGGGATTTTCTTAAGAAAATACAGTAAAAATGCTTCACTTTGAGCCCCTTGTTTTCTTTAAATACGATGTACCGTGACATTATAAAGTGGTATATAGGTAGATTTAATACTAATCTATACGTGTAAACACATTTTAAAATACATCTGTGCGTTTAAAGTAGATTTTGACAGCCCGGGCCAAGTCGTACCCAACACAAGCCAAACACTTCTGATAGAGACTATGTTGAGAGTGTAGAGGGAAAAGGGCTTCACTTTGAGCCCCTTGTTTTCTATAAATACTGCGATCTGTGACATTATAAAGTGGTGTATAGGTACATATAACACTAATCTATAGATGTAAACACATGTGATGATACATCTGTGTGTTTAAAGTAGATTTTGACCGCCCGGGCCAAGGCCGTCCCAACACAAGCGAAACACTTCTGATAGAGACTATGTTGAGAATGTAGAGGGAAAAGGGCTTCACTTTGAGCCCCTTGTTTTCTTTTAATACGATGTACCGTGACATTATAAAATGGTATATAGGTAGATTTAATATTAATCTATAGATGTAAACACATTTGAAGATAGATTTTTGTGTTTATAGAAGATTTTGACAGCCCGGACCAAGTCGGACCTAACACAAGCCAAACACTTCTGATAGAGACTATGTCTAGGATGAAGAGGGAAAAGGGCTTCACTTTGAGCCCCTTGTTTTCTTTAAAGACGATGTACTGATACATTATAAAGTGGTGTATAGGTAGATATAACACAAATCTATAGATGTAAACACATTTGATGAATCATATGTGTGTTTAAAGTAGATTTTGACCGCCCGGGCCAAGTCCGTCCCAACACAAGCCAAACACTTTTTATAGTGACTATGTTGAGAATGTAGAGGGAAAAGGGCTTCACTTTGAGCACCTTGTTTTCTTTAAATACAGCGACTTGAGACACTATAAAGTTGTATATAGGTAGATGTAATGCTAGTCTATAGATTTAAAGACATGTGATGATACATTTGTGTGTTCAAAGTGCATTTTGACAGCCCGGGCCAAGTCGGCCCAAACACAAGCCAAACACTTCTGATAGAGACTATGTTGAGAATGTAGAGGAAAAAGGGCTTCACTTTGAGCCCCTTGTTTTCTTTAAGTACAGCGATCTGAGACACTATAATGTGGTATTTAGGTAGATATAATACTAATCTATAGATGTGAATCCATTTGATGATCCATCTATGAGGTTTAAGTTGATTTTGACAGCCCGGGCCATGTCGGACCGAACACTTCTAACAGGGATTTTCTTAAGAAAATACAGTAAAAATGCTTCACTTTGAGCCCCTTGTTTTCTTTAAATACGATGTACCGTGACATTATAAAGTGGTATATAGGTAGATTTAATACTAATCTATACGTGTAAACACATTTTAAAATACATCTGTGCGTTTAAAGTAGATTTTGACAGCCCGGGCCAAGTCGTACCCAACACAAGCCAAACACTTTTTATAGTGACTATGTTGAGAATGTAGAGGGAAAAGGGCTTCACTTTGAGCACCTTGTTTTCTTTAAATACAGCGACTTGAGACACTATAAAGTTGTATATAGGTAGATGTAATGCTAGTCTATAGATTTAAAGACATGTGATGATACATTTGTGTGTTTAAAGAGCATTTTGACAGCCCGGGCCAAGTCGGACCCAATTCAAGCCAAACACTTTTGATAGAGACTATGTTGAGAATGTAGAGTGTAAAAGGCTTCGCTTTGAGCTCTGTGTTTTCTTTAACTACTGAAATATGAGACAATAAAGTGGTATATAATTAGATATAATACTAATCTTTAGATATAAAGAATGTTAGGAACTTTAGAAGTGCTTGGACAGTTATTAACATGTGTCGTGTCAGTCCTTTGACATTCGCGAATATCCACTTCCAGAAAGCATCCTGTGTTGGTTCAACACGAATTAGTAAAGGTTAATTAGGGATGCCCAACACGTTAATTAATGAAAGAAGAGTAGTCAAAACACTGTCGTTTCCTGCCCAGGACATCACACGCCAAAGTCGGTGAGAAGCATTCTAATCAAAGAATACTCACAGTCAAGACACTGACTTTTCTACGAGACTCACGGTATGTAGTCATAATCATCAGTATATAACATTGTTGAAGGTGCATTTTTATTCAAACTCAATTAAATGAGCAAAACTATACGTTTGTGGACATTTGAGATCTGCCTAGATATGCGCGTTTCGTTTTATTATTCTGCAATCCATTTTTAGTATTACCCACTGGCCCGGCCCGGCCCGACTTTTCTTGGCCCGACTTTTCTTGGCCCGACTTTTAGGCAATCCCCTCAATCAACGGGTGTTTGACAATTGTAAGCTGTCTGTGTTTTGAATATACACATTTGGTGTTTAACACACGACTTAATCAGCCTGGTATCAATTTGCAGTTTTTAACATTGGATAATTGAAGATTTGCCAACATATTTAGGTTATGACTAATTGCCACAGTAAGGTTTCGTAATCAAGCCAACAGCGGAGTACAACCCGTTTCACCATTTAAGTATTCGGTTGTCCTTGAGGGAAATCTGCGTGAGACGAGGAAACAAATACGTTAAACAGAAACAATCTCTTACCTTGCTATGCCCATGTCAAAATGTCAAACATGAGATATCTGCAGCAACACACAGAGCGATAGTGAGTTAAGTTACAGCGATAAATGATTTAACATCTGGTACAACATGTCGCCCGATACAGGAATTGATCATTTGATCATTTCATTTGAACTTGAAACATAGCTTTTCGCAATATTAACAATCATGCACTCCGAGCATCTGAAAGAGTGATCTCGTGTGAGAGATAATGATATATTGCAATATCACTGATACTCCCGCGTGCGAGGTTTTTAAGGGTATGAGTATGAGTATCTCCGCTTGTGTGTGAGACCTCTGTGTTCTAAACAAAAACACAAGATGTCCTGCTATACACAAATTTGATGTATAATTAATTTGATCAGGTACGAAATGTGGTAATGTATGTTTATGAGGCTGTGCAATTTAGGACAAATATATTGTCAGAACAATACACGCACTAATGTGACTGCTGCCAACTTTGACGTACCATGGGCCGAAGGCCGGTGTCTGTGCTGAAACTGTTGTTATAAAGTGATAGTGAGTGAGTGAGTTTGGTTTTACGCCGCTATTAGCAATATTCCAGCAATTTCACGGCGGGGGACACCAGAAATGAGATTCACACATTGTACCCATGTCGGGAATCGAACCCGGATCTTCGGCGTGACGAGCTAACGCTTTAACCACTAGGCTACCCGAACGCCCCTATAAAGTGATAGTTTTGGATCAGCTCGCTTAGCAGAGGTACTACTGAACAAGACCTACCCACACAACAACAGACCTGAGTGAATAAACAGTCTGTTTATTAGATAGCCAGAGTATGATCTGTGACTGTCTGTCGTCCGTATTTATACCCAGAGTTCCAGGAAACACTTTGAGCAATTTTACTCGAAGGTTTCTGGTTTATTTGGGTTATTACATTTTTCATTGGGTAATCAATATTGTTTCTCTTATCTATTCAACACTCTAGAATGTTTTTCCCAAAGTGAGTAAACATTATGATATTTTAAAAAATGAAATGTTTTAGATGTATGTAACAGTTCTTAATATAGACTTGACTCGGAAAGTAAATAGCTCGTAATTGTGTTTCGGAAATTAGCTCCGTTGTACGCATGCTGCAAAAAACTTCATTAGGTATTAACGCGTGCTGTTTTGTACGTTTGAGGTTGTCATTACTGTACGCAAGTAAATTGGGTTTTGAATATTTTTGGGGAAGTATCTTACACAAATACGCAGCTTATCTGTAGCTATGTATGCCTATTCCAGATACTACAGATACTCACATTTTCTGTTAATGTCAACGTTAGTGGCGCTATCTTGACAGAATCATATTATTTAGTTTGACCGAGGCGTTGGTGTTAAAGGCGTTTATTAATGAAATTTAGTATGAAGAATAATAGCAGATGACGTAGGAGTTCTCTCTCTTGTCATGTAGAAACTGAAAAAGCGTACATAAAATACATAACTGGAAAGCGGAAGTGGTTTCAAAACGCGACTATGGCCGAGGTAGGTTCTATACTGTTGGTGTTAGCTAACTGTGTTGAGTGGCAGTGTATTGAGCGTTGGTTACATGCCTGGATCATGTAGATTCACGGGGCACATGTCAAGATATGTGTCTGACCTCGCGACAAAAGAAATGCGTGCCATGTAGGCCCAGATCTGTGTCGAGACTAGAAGGGGAAGGCATGGAAACAAGAATGCTAGCACCCTTGATGATTTTTCTTTGGGAAGCGTGTTATCGCGGATATCCAGTCTGTGACATCAGGTCACAGCAAGAGGAGAATGGTTTCCCTAGAAGCGCACTTTCTTCGTGGACAGTGTTATGAAACTAGCACACTGTCGACTAACGGTATGTCATAAGCTGGCCATGTGTTATTTATTCTAGAAATATATTGTGTAAAGACTGTGGGATGAAGTAAGAAATATTGTGAACTGATACACCGAGAACATGTACGGCTGTAGCAGTTATGTTGTTTAAAGTGGGCACCGGCTCCGTGCAGATTTGTGGAGGCTGACACTGTACAGCACAGCCTCGACGGAGTTGTGTCCCTTTATTAATATGGTTTTCGTCCACCGCACAGTCCCATTCGTCACAACTCGCCCCTTTCCGTGACCTGCAAAAAGACTCGCCCCTCTATCGGTGAATGTTATGTGCGAAAATACGACAAACCAATCAGAATGCGCGTTTGATTTCGAGTTCTTTGTCAAATAATCCCTTAGAAATAATTTTTGATTTTACATATGTCTTGCATCTAAAAATATATCGAAGACACAGTTAAATGTGGTCAATCATACTGTATAATTCCGCATGTCCCGATGTGCTTTAAATTGCATCTGAAATATATATAATATATGGGGAACTATATGTAAACAATTACGCAACGAGTTGTCAATTGTTTTAGATATGTCCGTTTGCGCTAAGACGGAACCCAGTCGCAAAAATGGCCATGAGAGGGGCACTAGTCGCTATTCGGCTTGTCCCGGAATAACACGAGTTGGTCACGAATGAGTCCAACTGGTACCATGTAACGATAAACACATTCGTTCGATCGTTCGACATGCAATGACTCGCGACTTTGTGGCGTTTTGTTTAGATGGTTACTGACAAACAGTTTACTTATGTCTGTCCCGCCGTCATATAGATGGAATATTGCTAAGTGCGGCGTAAAACAAAACAAAATTTATGTGTGTCATGGGAGTGTTGAGTGCTACTGCACCCCCACTTCTCGATCAACCAATCCACGCCCAAATACTGAATGCATGCTAATCTGCAGCTGATGTTTTGTTATCATTCTATGTACCGGCATGCGTGTAAAAAAACAGGTAATTAAGCAGATAAGGTAAGTAAGCTTCTTTGTAGTGAGTGGGGGCACGGGTGGCCCAGTCGTCTAAGGCGCCGCGATTTTCTGTGCAGCTTAATGTGGGAGGAAAGCCCTAAGTGATGCAGGTCTCAGACGTTTACCTCCCCACGAGCACGGGTATTGTGCTGACAAACCTAGAAACATAAACGGGGCCAACCGGGATTCGAACCCACAATAGAGGTTTCTGGCGTGCCCAAGGGACGCAACTCTGCACAGCGAATCAATTGATGATGAAATGTATACCAGTCATATTTCACGTGATTTGATGGGGCGGCCGGGTAGCCTAGTAGTTAAAGCGTTCGCTCGTCACGCCGAGGACCCGGGTTCAATTCCTTACATGGGTACAATGTGTGAAGCCCATTTCTGGTGTCCCCCGCCGTGATATTGCTGGAATATTGCTAAAGCGGCGAAAAACCGAACTCACTTACTCACTCTCGTAATTTGGTAATCTGCATGAGCAGGTACACGGTGGTTGAACCCGGCCGCACCTCCTTATGAAAAATATGTTTTAGCCCAGCCATAACACAAATCTTGAAAGAAATTCTGAACCTGTGGTAAAAGAAAAAAACAAACGCATTCATTGTGACTCAGTAGCCAAATTTTGCCGAACGTTCGTCTGACGCCAGATGCCAAAGCTTCACGTAGAGGAGGCTGGTTGTTTGTTGTTAACGTCGCACTCAGCAATTTTCCAGCTATATGACGGCGGTCTTTAAATAATCGAGTCTGGACCAGACAATCCAGTGATTGACATCATGAGCATCATTCCCCGCAATTGGAATATGATGACATGTATCAAACAAGTCAGCGAGCCTGACCACCTGATCAGATTCAAATATGAAACCATTGTATGATAAATTGCTGTTATCCAGATAAAGACAATGTCAAGTGAGCACGAAGAGTCTGGATATGTGGACAACTGGCAATCAGGGAAGTCTGTCACAGAGTGTAATCTGCGCATGCTCGACACTGAAGACTTCAGTGACGTCACCTTCCGGGTAGGATCAGAGAAACAGGTGGTCCGAGCTCACCGATACGTTCTTGTCAGTCGCAGCTGTGTCTTCCATGCCATGTTCTGTGGCCCCCTGGCGGAGAAAGGGGAGGTAACCATCCCTGATATTGAAGCGGATATCTTTAGGGAGTTCTTGAGGTAAGGTCCTTGTTTGGTTGTATAAACTTCCGAACAATAAGACTGAGTTTTGCTCAATAGTGTCTCGACTGAAAGGATATTAATATTTTATCCACAGCAAACATTATAAAATATTTCTCTTGATGTGAACTTTTTATCTTACATGTATAGTGTAAGACATATAAGGGATATTACTTTGTTTATAACAGAAATAGATGGTTGTGATTATTCTTCTATCTATAAAGGATGGAAATATTCATGAAATTGTCTGCCACAAAAAATACATTGTTGCAAGATTGTTGTAGTAATTAAAAAATATCTAGTTTGACAAATGTTGCTGAAAATATATATAGTCTCCGAACACTACCCCCTTCCTCCAAATGACACGTGAAGATACCGGGGTAGAATAGGTCTTCAGCAACCCATGCTTGCCTTAAAAGGTGACTATGCTTGTCGTAAAAGGCGACTAACGGGATCGGGTGGTCAGGCTCGCTGACTTGGTTGATGCATGTCATCGATCCCAATTGCGTGGATCGATGCTCATGATATTGATCACTGGATTGTCTGGTCCAGACTGGATTATTTACAGACCGCCGTCATATAGCTGGAATATTGCCGAATGCGGCGTTAAGCAACAAACCAACCAACCAACCAACCAACCAAATGGATCGTTGGTCCCTTAAGCTTTGTATTCTCCACCTGAACTTAGCTGTATGAACACATAATTCGTTAGATTCGCCATAGCCATGTCATCATTTCTTTTCACACCTTATTGTAGGTATGTGTACACAGACAAGGCAACCATCAACACTGACACAGTCATGGGACTAATGTACACATCAAGGAAGTACTCTGTAGATGCGTTGTTCGGTCTTTGTGTAACGTTCCTGGAGACGTCCCTCTCAGAGGACAATGTCTGCCAGATCCTGGAGGAGTGTCATGGTTACGGGGAGCTGGAGTTGGAACAGAAGGCACTGAAAATCCTGACTGAAGGAGGGGAAGGAGTAATCCAGTCTCCAGGATTTGTGGGTCTTTGCTCAGACTGTCTCGAGAAGTGCTTAAAATCTGATACTATGAAAGCAAAAGAGGAAGACTTATTTGAAGCAGTGTTTACTTGGATAAAGGCAAGATGCCAGAAGGAAGGTGTGAGTGACACACCAGAGAACAAACGGAGACTCCTGGGAGAGATGAGATATGAGATCCGGTTTACCAGCATGCCCCTGGAGTTCCTGGTGAACGTTGTTGGTCCTTCAGCAGTGCTGACAGATAGTGAGAGAGTTCGTATAATTGACAGAAAAGTAAACTCAGCTGTTGATATATCTCCATTTAACCAATCACAGAGGAGGATATCAGACATCGCAGACAGAGATGTGTCTAAAACTTACAGATATGTAAACAGGTTTCTAAACGTATCCTATTTTCGAAGCTCAACCCCAGGAAGATACTCCATCTCATTTTCATCATCTCAGAGCATTGTACTAGAAGGATGTCAGCTGTATGGTGGACCCTTCGGTAAAGTGCACATGCTGAATATCAGAGTGTATGACTCCAATGACGTGGTGATATCTGAGCCGTTACTGAACACGAGGGTGAAACTTGAAAGCTGCTTTCAGGGGAATGACGTCTTGTTTCACAGGTGGGTTTCCCTCACAGCTGGTGTGACCTACACTCTGTGTGTGGACATGGATGGGGGTCCCACTGCCTGGGGTGAGGTAGGGCAGGACACGGTGACAGTGGATGGAGTACAGTTCTCCTTCAAAGACTCTCCCATGTGTACTATGGGAACATCAACAAAAGGTGGACAAATACCTGGCTTAATATTCAATCTTGCGTGATGAATTGTGTTGATGTCGGACGTCACAAAATCTGATGTCATTACATTTAAGATACAATCTTCAATTGGGTAATATAAGTTTCAAACCGATACAGTCCCTCTAAATCAAGCATCTCCACGGGCATCAAAAACGTGTTCTAAAGTTTCGAACATTAGATCATAAAGACTAAGACTGGCCGATGGTGTGGTGTACCTAGAAAACGCACGCACGCACGCATGCGCCGTTAAACCCCATTTCGACCCCCCTCGCCTCACTACTAACACAGAATCTGATGTCAAATTGATCTTCAGTTTAATTACCAGTACAGTCCTTCAATAACAGGCGTTGCTTTGCGACCAGAGATGAAAAAGGTTTAATAACGAGTATCAATTTCATTCAAGGTTTAATAACGAGTATCAATTTCATTTTCACAATATTAGACTGACACAAACAGCTGTTAATTCATTGTGAGTGAGAGAGCGAACGGTACTGAAAAGCAACACACGCGTGTTAGCATGACATCACCAGGCGAGGTATTCTGCAGTTTAAACTGAAGTAAATAAAAGAAAATCCACACGTATTTGTACACTCGTTTATTGTAGGCCGGTGAACGAACAGTAATGAAACCCCACTCCACATATGTTTCAATATCAGAATACAATATCGTCTTTATCCCCATGAAGATCCGGGTTAAAATAGGCCTTTAGCCGCCCATGTTTACGTTAAAAGCGACTATACTTGTTGTAAGATGCGACTAAAGGGATTGGATGGTCAGGCTCGCTGACTTGGTTGACGCATGTCATCGTATCCCCATTGTGTGGATCGATACTCATGATGTCAAACACCAGACTCGATTATTTCCAGACCTCCGTCATAAAGCTGGTGTTAAAGAACAGACAAACAAATAAAAACAATACCGTCTTAACACATCTGTATTAACACTGTAAGACTCTCACAACATTGCTCATCGGGATTTTAGTCCGTTTATTTATAGACATTACACTGTTTCCACCCTTGACGAACTAGGCTGGAATTTCTGGGCTCGATCGTAGCGCCACCAATGATTATTACGAGTTATGTCCCTTCGTTGTACCTCCTATTGACCAATAGGATTCCAGCTCTTATATCACTTGCGTTTGCTTCAAACAAAATGGCGGCGCCCAGTGAAGACGATCTCGGTCCACTTGCACAGAACAATCTTAGCGCTACAATTATTGTAAATCCTTAAGATCGCGATGTTAGGCACGGCAGTTTACGAACCTGATGTCGATTTCGATATACGATGTTGATTGGACTATGCAAAGACTCGTTAGTGAGTGAGTGAGTGAGTTTGGTTTTACGCCGCTTTTAGCAATATTCCAGCAATATCACGGCGGGGGACACCAGAAATGGGCTTCACACATTGTACCCATGTCGGGATTCGAATGACTCGTCAGTCCGGCCAAAATATAACTCCATTATTGCAGCCTAGTTCGGCAAGGGTGGAAACTGGACTTACATAGTCAGTTAACTCCCTTGACTCGGGAAGATGAACAATGCTCCACAATACAATTCATGATATCCAAAATGAGTGAATTGTGCAGTGCTCGAGTATACATAGTATTCTTAGCCTTCACATACTGGAAGATGATAAAACCTTTGTTTATCATGAGTGAGTGAGTGAGTGAGTGGGTTTAACGCCTTTTTTTAACAGTAATACAGTTATATCGCGGCGTGCCAGTTTTATGTGGGAGGAAAGCCCGAAGTGATACAGGTTTCAGACGTTTACCACTTCGGTGCATTCCACGAGCACCGGTATGGTGCTGACAAACCTAGAAACATAATCGGGGCGAACCGGGATTCGAACCCACAATCAGAGGTTTCTGGCGCGCCCAAGGGACTCAACTCTGCACAGCGAATCGCGGCGCCTTAGACGACTGGGCCACCCGTGCCCCCTTGTTTATCATGAATGTCTTACTCAAGCGGATATTTGTAGATCGTTTTATGGAGATGTTATACAGTTGCTCTCGTAGTCAACATCTTCCACAAGCGGGTGGACAAACTGATAATTTACAGTGTCACATTTGATTGCACATGTCATTGTCTTTAAGATTTGACAATGGGCGGGGGATAACGATGACTTCTTGTTGCTATTTTCTTTGATACCTTAAACCTCCAGTGTCAGTGAGTCAGTAATTACAATGTGTATATGTCACGCAAATAGTCCGGACTCCGTGTGGGTTAGAACAGGCTCCCGATGTCTCATGCTTGTCGTAAAACCCATCTGGCTGACGGCGTGTCATCGTGCCTCTACAGTTGCTCATGCTATCAACCACTGGTGTGACTGACTCAGATTCGAGTATTTAAAGGCCGTCTAAACAGGTCAATGAGCACCTTTCACACAATAGTTTGTTCGATCAGGTCCTGAATGTAAGACGATTCTCTCTGGGAGATTGAAGTCAATCAGTTTCTATATTCTGATCTTATGGAAAAAAGAACTGGCATTGTCCGAGAAAATTTAGAGCTAATTGAGGAGGATTTCGCCAAATTCAAAAAGAGATTAGTAAAGGGTCTACCACTATGTATCCCGATTCATAACGTCAATCCATGGAATGGCACCATTCCTCTTCTCCGGCACCAAAGAAATTCAAGATCAGTGAAGAACGTTATGGCCACTGTATTCTTGGATGCAAAGGGTGTGATCCTTGTTGATTAAAAAAATTCAAAAGACAAAAACCGGTGTCTACTATGGTGATTTGCTTCATCGCCTGAGAGATTCTATCGAAAAAAGCGTCGAGGACGCTGGAATTCTACTTTTTCATGACAATGCCTCTTCTCACACCTCTCGAGTTGCAAAGGCTGCTGTGCGACAATGTTGGTTCGAAGAGCTTCCTCAACCCCCATACTCGCCAGACCTTGCACAAAGTGATTTCCACCTGTTTCCTGAACTGAAAGAACGTCTTCGTGAATGTTTTGTTCAGGGTGGCTTCAGAAAACTTCTTCCTGACTGGAATTGAAAAGCTTCACTGTCGATGTGACAAGTGGTTTGAAAAGCAGGGAGATTATGTTGAAAAATAAAATTGAAAACACTTTCATATTTGTTGGTTTTGTTTGTTAGGCTTAGAACTTTTTTGACCAGCCTCCTATTGAGTTCGGTTTGTACGTCGTCTAAACCAACTTCTTTCATCATCACTGGCTCCGAGAGTCTGAGCGCTGCTACATCGCCATCCATGATAACAATAATTTCAGAATTTGGCAGAGGGCCTATTGTCTTAGTTACCTTATCTCTATAACGATGAACAGGCTATATAATATAACGAATTTACGTATACGGGAGAGGTTAATTTCATATCATGTATGTCGACATGTTGGTTTATTTGAAATTTCAAGCCACGCAGTTACCGAAACGAAACATAAAATCATGTGCGTGAAATGTTGATCCTATTCTTTTCCAGCAATAAGAGATACTTCAAAATCGTCTTCATGTAGTTAATTGATGCATCTGACCGTTTCTGGTCATTAGCTTACATTATTAAACCATTCGTGTGTAATCCGATGTCCTTCTTTTCACAAGGACTAATTTTCTGATTTGCACGGTGTATACAAAAGAAGAACTGTACTCCGGACATCGTAAATAACATCATAATATAAAATATGTTCTGAATATGCTTATTCAAGAACAACGACGACATCCCAAATTATATGTAATGCGGCTGTATTCCACAATCTACATATCACACTTTTGATCGTTTGGATGCTCATATTCACTGTAAATATTTGGATTGTTATATTTCGTATTTTGAATTAACCCAGTCCCCGGTGTTTTTTAATCAGTGCACCGCACATAGCCACATGGGAAACGTTTGGTAGCAAAGTCAAAGCCTGTTCTAACCCAGTAGTGTGTCGGCGAATTTTCATAGAGCCTGTAGTATTTTTCAACCGTTTAATGGAATTCAATGCACAGCCGTAGCGTTGGTCGCTATCATAGATTTTGTGTGCAAGGGCTCAAATCTATTTGCGTCTATACCATATCATATGAGTGAGTGAGTGATTTGGGTTTAACGCCGCTTTTAACAGTATTCCAGTTATATCACGGCGTGTCAGCTTAATGTGGGAGGAAAGCCCGAAGTGATGCAGGTCTCAGACGTTTACCACTTCGGTGAAACCCACGAGCACGGGTATGGTGCTGACAAACCTAGAAACATAATCGTGGCGAACCGGGATTCGAACCCACAATCATAGGTTTCTGGAGTCCCAAGGGACGCAACTCTGCACAGCGAATCGCGGCGCCTTAGACGACTGGGCCACCCGTGCCCCCCCATATCATATGAACTCACACCAATCATTGTTACAAGTAAACCACATTCCACAACAGTTACTGACACTGGACAAAAAAAAACAGTACATAGAAAAAGACCAAGTAACTCAACTCATCATGATCATAATTTCTATTTTTTGAAAGAAAGAAATACAAAAAGAAACTGACCAAAAACGTATAACACGAGACGAGGAATCTCCGTTATTGATTCGTTCTGGTTTTGAGATGTTCTCCACTTCAAATGACATACATCAACATGGTCTTCATTCTACAGGCACCTCCTCCATGGCTACAGCTGGTGATGTTCGCACAGATTTTGGAACATTCGTAAATGTTCCAGCTTGGTTCCCTGGGTATGCTGCGCTGGCGCTACAGTGTAGCGCAAGCGCAGCATGCCCAGGGAACCAGGCTGATATATGTTCATGAAAAATATAACAGGAACTGTCGCATACGTCAAAAATGCTTTGAATGACTTATTAGATAGATCTTCAGCAATCCATGCTTGCCGTAAGAGGCGACGAACAGGATTGGGTAGTCAGGCTCGCTGATTTGGTTGATGCATGCCATCATATTCCAATTGCGTAGTTCGGTGCTCTTGATGTCAATCATTGGATTGTCTGGTCAAGACTCGATTATTTACAGTCCATCATCAAATAGCTGGAATAATGCTGAGTACGCGTTAAACAAGAAAACTGTTTTTAAATAGACCTAACCTATGCAAATGTATAAACTGTATTGCCCAATGCTCAAAATAAATAATATTCTTTCCACAACAGCGTTGTCTTATTTGTGGTTAATATAATTATGCTCCTTCATGCCTTTCAGTAACATCATAATTATGCGTTTGTGAGGCATCACATATGGCGGGGAACTTTGATGCTCTGCATCAATGTTTTCTTGTAACTTATTTACACACTGATATAAGTTTGACACCGGGGAAGAACCCCATGTGACGAATGAGTTCTCTCCCTTGTCATGTAGAAATTGAGAAATGCGCACATAAAATACCAAATTGGAAAGCGGAAGTTTGAAAACGAAACTTGTGTCTTCAGGTGTAAACACCCACATTCGCTAGGCTCGTCACACCAAGGTAGGTTCTAAACTGTCGGTGTAGTATGTGGGAATGTGTTGAGCGTTATATATCCGGATCACATATCCACATCATGTAGATCAACGTGTTTTGGGGAACATTTTCATTTATTCGACATTGACAGATACAGAATCAGTGATTGCACTGCTTTGGGGGGTGGGGTGGGGAGGGGGGAGGGGTGGGGTGGAGGGTAATTGCTGATATCCCGTGTGACATCCACACAGTTAACGTGCAACGATACCTCATACCTCGTGATCATACAAATGTGTTAATGTTCCTCTTTGGGGAGCGTGTTATCGCGGATATCCTGTGTGTGATATCAACTCTGTGACATCACAGCAAGAGGTGAATGGTTTCCCTAGAAGCGCACTGTCTTCGTGGACAGTGTTATGAAACTAGAACACTGCCGACTGACGATATGTCATCAGCTGGTCATGTGTTATTATCCTAGAAATATATGTCGCATATAATGTGTCAATACTATGAGATGAAGAGATACATGTTGAGATAAACATGTACAGTTGTAGCAGTTTTATTGTTTATGTTGGTATACCATCTGTAAGTGAGCTTTATACAGCTTTGTTGAACTTGGCACTATCTAACACAAGCTCGACAGAGTTGCGTCCCTTTAATGATATGGTTGTTCAGGCTGACTGGTATGATGATATTTATGAGTGTCACCATCATCACAACTTGTTGAAATTTGTGTAACGAAGTGTTACCTGTTGCGCTCCCTCCCTGCTTCATAAAATGGGATGTGTTGAAAACATGCTATCTTAATTCATTTAAGAAATATACGACTCTAGGTCGTTGTGTATCGTACAATAAAACACTGCAGGGAGAATAATCCACGATGAGTGCAGCCCCAAGTAGTTTATACTCTCTGCAGTGTTTTATTGTACGATACACAACGACCACAATCACTGGATTGTCTGGTCCAGACTCGATTATTTACAGACCGCCGTCATATAGCTGGAATATTGCTGAGTGCGGCGTTACACAACCAACCAACCAACCAACCAACTACCCATGTCCTTAGAGCGTGTTTGAGTCATGAAGTGACGCCCTGTGTCAGAGGTCAGATCTTCACGCAGAGAGGTATCATGTCAGAGTAAAGGGCGAGTATCTGAGTGAGGTTTTACGCCGTTTTAAGCAATATTCCAGCAATATCACGGCGGGGGACACCAGAAATGGGCTTCACACATTGTGCCAATATGGGGAATCGAACCCGGATCTTCGGCGTGACGAGTGAACGCGTTAAGCACTAGGCTACCCCACCGCCCCCCAGAGTAAGGGATATGACTTTAAAAATGAACTTGTTCATCAAATTACATTTAATTTATAACCTGGCTTTTTCAAAGTGTTATTAAACTCCTCTCAATCAAACGCCGTGATACGACTGGAATACTGTTAAAAGCGGCGTTAAACACAACTCACTCACTCATTCATCTCACTCAACTAGGTATCCGATTCTATCCACAGTGAGGATTGAAACGATCACTTTAACTAGTATATTTTAGAGTGAGTGAGTGAGTTGTGTTTAACGCCACATTTAACAGTATTCCAGTTATATCGCGGCGTGTCAGCTTAATGTGGGAGGAAAGCCCGAAGTGATGCAGGTCTCAGACGTTTACCAAATCGGTGAAACTCACGAGCACGGGTATGGTGCTGACAAACCTAGAAACATAATCGGGGCGAACCGGGATTCGAACCCACAATCATAGGTTTCTAGCGTGCCCAAGGGACGCAATTCTGCACAGCGAATCGCGGCGCCTCAGACCACTGGGCCACCTGTGCCCCCAACTAGAATGTTACGTGTCATGTTACTTTATGTGCAAATAAGTAACAATATAACGTCAAATACTGAATTGAATAAACAATATTTTTTTTAAAAGAGAGAAAAGTTTGAAACCTGCATGCTAATTATCAGAATGATCTGGGCCCCGTTCCACAAAGCGATCTTAGCGCTACGATTGTCGTAAGTCAGTGTTAAAGAACGGGAGTTACGATCGACTTAGAGCTAAGATCACTTTGTGGAACGGGGCCCTGGCAGTTTAAAACGAGGGCGATATACGTCAATCAATCTCTCGATCTCTTTACACGTTTATGTTCAAGTGAAACAATATCTTTCAAAGACGCATGTGAAATAGGTTGTTATATTCAACAATAGATGTTCAACAATTGTATGATATGATTCCGTTTTCTAGATTAAGCCAATGTCGCACGTAAGCCGAGAATCTGGATATGTGGACAACTGGCAGTCAGGGAAGACTGTCACTGAGTGTAATCTGCGCATGCTCGACACTGAAGACGTCAGTGACGTCACCTTCCGGGTGGGGTCAGAGAAACAGGTGGTCCGAGCTCACCGCTACGTTCTTGTCAGTCGCAGCTGTGTCTTCCATGCTATGTTTTGTGGCCCCCTGGCGGAGACAGGGGAGGTAACCATCCCTGACATTGAAGCAGACGTCTTTAATGAGTTCTTGAGGTAAAACCGTTGTTTGGAATGTTTCTAAAACAGTATGTAGATTGAATGGAATAGATCCGACCAACACAAACAAATATGTCTTTTGACTTCAGGTTACTATTCAAAACGGATCATACAATATTAACATACTGAGTGTGAGTGAGTTAGGGTTAACACCGCTTTTAACAGTGTTCCAGTTATATCACGGCGTATCAGTGAGTGAGTGAGAGAGTTGGGTTTAACTCCGCTTTTAACAGTATTCCAGTCATATCACGGCGTATCAGTGAGTGAGTGAGAGAGTTGGGTTTAACGCCGCTTTTAACAGTATTCCAGTTATATCACGACGTATCAGTGAGTGAGTGAGAGAGTTTGGTTTAACTCAGCTTTTAACAGTATTCCAGTCATATCACGGCGTATCAGTGAGTGAGTGAGAGAGTTGGGTTTAACGCCGCTTTAAACAGTATTCCAGTTATATCACGGCGTGTCAGCTTAATGTGGGAGAAAAGCCCGATGTGATGCAGGTCTCAGACGTTTACCACTTCGGTGAAACCCACGAGCACGGGTATGGTGCTAACAAACCTAGAAACATAATCGGGGCGAACCGAGATTCGAACCCACGATCATAGGTTTCTGGCATGTCCAAGGGACGCAACTCTGCACAGCGAATTGCGGCGCCTTAGACAACTGGGCCACCCGTGCTCCCATTAACGTACTGACTATGACTAAGTTCATATTAGCCCTGGATGTGGGATTATAATATAATTCTATAATAAAAGGGTCTATTCAAGAAATCTAGAATTAAAAGACAAACTAAATGCATTGACTTTTCTGAAAGTTAAAAACCTATATCTAGACATATCAGCTCATATCAGAAAACATTTCATGCTTTGTGTTTATTGTAGGTATGTGTACACAGACAAGACAACCATCAACGCTGACACTGTCACCGGGTTAATGTACACATCAAGGAAGTATTCTGTAGATGCATTGTACGATCTGTGTCTAACGTTCCTGGAGACGTCCCTGTCAGAGGACAACGTCTGTCAGATCCTGGAGCAGTGTCATGGTTACGGGGAGATGGACCTGGAACAGAAGGCCCTGAAGATCCTGACAGAAGGAGGGGAGAGAGTCATCAAGTCTCCAGGGTTTATCAATCTGTGTTCTGATTGTCTGAGGATGTTTTTGAAGTCTGACAATAGAAAAGCGAAAGAGGAAGAAGTTTTCGAGGCAACACTGTCTTGGGCTAAAGAATGTTGTAAGATGAACAGTGTCTATGACACGCCTGAGAATATACGACGAGTCCTGGGAGAGATGAGGTATGAGATCCGGTTTACAGCCTTCACCTTGGAGTATCTTGTGAAGGTGGTAGGCCCATCTGGGGTGCTGACAGACAGCGAGAGAGTACGAATTATGGACAAAAAAGTCGACACTGCAGTTAATATATCTCCGTTCAAACAACCACAGGGTAAACAAATCAAGAGGAATTTGCTTAGATATGTCAACAGGTTATGCAAAACAGAGTACAGTCTTATCAAAGCAGGAAGACAGGCCATCACGATTAATCTTAGTAAGAGTATTGATCTGCGTGGATGTCAAGTGTATGGCGGATACGGTGGTGATATGTACAAACTGAGTGCCAGAGTGTTCGGCCTGAACTATGTTCTGATTGCCGAACCCCTGCTGAACACCAGGATGAAACTTTCTGGCCAAGGGCAGCTGAACGATATTCTGTTTCCTGAATCAGTTCTACTGACAGCAGGCAACACCTATAACCTGTGTGTGGACATGGTTGGACCTGACACTTACTACAGTTGCAGTGGAATAAACAGTATCACCGTCGATGGAGTGAGATTTTTGTTCAAAACGTCTTCATACGCCAATAGGGGGCAGATTCCTGGGTTGATATTCCACCTCGAGTCATAGACTGTTTCAGCAGCTGACATTGGACCCAAGATGGATATACAGTAAACTACGGTTATAACAAACTCAAAGGGGCCATTCATTTTTATTCGTTATAACCGTAGTTCGTTAAAAGGTTATATACAGGATATGCACAGCAAATGCCCGAGAGTTGCCCGGGACCAAAAACAGTACGTTATATCCGTCAGTTCGTTATAAGCGTGTTCGTTATTAATGCAGTTTACTGTAGTTGCCTGAGCAATATGCAGTTATGTGGGAGGGTCATGTTTCGGCTTCAATTGCATTTGATTCTGTGGCAAGGAAACCACTGGTTGATAGCAACAGCACTTACGCACACGTATCCTGAGCACAACGCACACGTATCCTGAGCACAACGCACACGTATCCTGAGCACAACGCACACGTATCCTGAGCACGACGCACACGTATCGCACAACAATGCGATCACAAGACCACCATTTAAGTTGGTTTAATTCATGCAGACATGTTTCTCACATACTCAAAGAGCACTTAAATACATACAAAAATACAGGATTGAGATTATGTAAATATTCAAGCAGCTCACATACCACAAGGCAAAGGGCACTTAAACACATACAAAAATACAGGATTGAGATTATGTAAATATTCAAGCAGCTCACATACCACAAGGCAAAGGGCACTTAAACTTCATACAAGAACACAGGATTCAGATTATGTAAATATTCAAGCATCTCACATGCTACAAGGTCAAGAGTATTTTATTCTCAATCCCAAATTTGAAAAATGTGACATTCGGCTTGTTGACATGGATACCACCTTAACTAAATATAGAAAATGTGACATGTGGCTTGTTGACATGGATACCACCTTAACTAAATATAAAATTGCGAAATGTAAACCCCAAAGGCTGGAGCTGCTGGAATATTGCTCGACATGAAGGGAAAGTTGAAGTCATCCCTCTTAAATTTGGATAAAATGTTACTCAATCAAAATTGGCAAATTCTGTAATTTAAGCACCTGGTTTAAAACGTGCAGTCCCATTACGCACTGACAAGCTTGATACGCGAGAGCTCCAGGTGGAGTTATCTCCCTTGCTATGTAGAAACTGAGAAAAGCACACATAAAATATCAAACTTTCAAGCGGAAGTCGTAACGCAACCATTGTAAACATTCACATTCGCTGGTCTCGTCACACGAAGGTAGGTTGTAAATTGTTGGTGTAAGCTAATAGCGTTGTGGGGCAATGTTTTAAGTGCAGATTACATATATTCACAGCATGTGGATCCACAATGCACATGTAACGATATATCCTACCTCACAAAAACAGAAATGTGTACCTTATATTTTGTCGAGAGCGCGAGATGAAGATGTGAATCAATCGAATGCGAGAAAAACCCTTGATGATTTTGTTTGGGGAGTGAGTTATCGCGGATATGTGTGTGATATCAAGTCCCAGCAAGAGGTGGATCTTGTCTGTATCAATGCCCTCTCTTAGTGGACAACGTCTATACAATCGGGCTAGCGCCGGAACCCAGCGAAGTCAAGAAACGAGCACGCTGTAGACTGACAATATGTCATGTGTTATTATTCTAGAAATAGGTGTCGCATGTGTTGTGTCAAGATGGAGAGACACATCCCGTGAACTACAAGACCATGTACAGTAGCAGCAGTTATTGATTGAAGTGAAGCACGTCCTTTTTTATCATATAGATTCTAGCTTTGTTGACCCTGGCAGTAGATGACACAGCCTCGATCAGAGTTGGTCCCTTTAGTGATATTTTTAAAATTTGTATGTGAAGTTTTTTGTCACTCTGAATTTTTATGCTTAGATCTAAATATTAAACAGATGATGCGGTTTACTGGTCTCTTGTATTTCTAGTGATAATGTTGTCGTACACAGTACGGGATGACTGCTGCGATATATATCAGTCAGCAGCATCACATCTTGTTTGAATTCGTGTTCCCTATATATCAGTCCCTGCGAAGTGTTACGAAAACCCAACAATTGCAGGAAACCAAAGTGGAGTGCGCCCCACTCCCTGCTTCATAAAATGTCCATACTCCATATTGCAGTAATACACCTACCCTATCAATGCATATATATACACTCACTATCTGCTCACTATGGAATAAACTTGTAAACTGTACAGCTAACAATTTCGTTTTCCTAAACCCCATTTCTGCATCCACAAGCACTGTATATGTGGTTGCTAATCTAATGTTCCCTTTGGAGGCGGTTGGGGTCTTACTTGCATTTTCCTCATTTCTGGTTGGTTCGTTCGTTTAAAGCCGCACTCAGCACTATTCCAGCTGTATGACGGCGGTCTGTAAATAATGGAGTCTGGACCAGACAGTCCAGTGATTGACATTATGAGCATCGATCCACGCAATTGGGATCGATGACATGCATCAACCAAGTCAGCGAGCCTTACCACCCGATCCCGTTAGTCGCCTCTTGCGACAAGCATAGTCGCCTTTTACGGCAAGCATGGGTTGCTGAAGACGTATTCTACCCCGGATCTTCACGGGTCTCATAATTCTGGAAGACACGATGTACTAACCCTTATCACAAATTGAATTACGTCATAATAGTCATTCATGCGATACCTAATGTGTTTGAATAAGTTAGTGCAGAAATGTTTTCATATTGACCAAATCGCAAGGCCCTGACACAACCTAGTACTTTGACGACATTGCGAAGGTAAAATACAAACGGTAATTCATGCGACCTTAAAGAGTTTATGAGATTAGTGGTTGAGGGTGGACGTAATTGTTGGAGACTCCAGGTTAATATAGTTATATAGTTATGTCTTTGGTTATATATGGATGAACCGTGTTAAGTTTTGTATACTCACAATTTTCGGCGATTATCTTCACAATTTCTCACAATACCGATTGTCATATCTCTGACAATTGTAGGTGCGATCGTTCGGCCATTGCGTTCATCTGCTTTCTACAGCTACATCTGTGAGGAACAACTCACTCTAGACACTTCCCTCTCAAGATTAACGTCGTCCAATATATATACGACGTCATCAATTTGCGAGCGTATGTTCGAATCTCCATACAGGACGTCATGACAACAATGTTTTATCGTGAAATAAACCACGCTTCGGTCCTCATTATTCTTTGCGATTTGTCGCGTACCTATCTTATCTTGTATAATGGGCCGGTGGTTCCTTTGCAGAAATAAACACTTTCTCACTCTGGTACGATACCTCTCTTCATAAACATCACTGAAGCCCTACATAGCATCTAAGTCGCGACAAGTGAACTTCCTAATTCGTCAGACAGTGCCGATGCTTCTAACTTCTTAGTACGAGTGAATAAAGCATTCAGGTCAGCAAATCAGATTTCCGAATCTCAAAAATGAACATATTTCCGAATGGAAATAGTAACAGCCGTTCTTATTACACACTCGGGAGGCTCGGGTGGCCCGGTCGTCTTAGGTGCCGCGATTCGCTTTGCAGAGTTGCGTCCCTTGGACACGCCAGAAACCTTTGGTTGTGGGTTCGAATCCCGGTTTCCCCCCGATTATGTTTCTAGGTTTGTCAGCACCATACCCGTGCTCATGGGTTTCACCGAAGTGGCAAACGTCTGAGACCTGATTCACTACCGGCTTTCCTCCCACAGTAAGCTGACACGCCGCGATATAACTGTAATACTGTTCAAAGCGGCGTTAAACCCAACTCACTATTTATACATATTGTCGTTTCTTGGCTATGACATGTGTGCCAAAAAGAGAGTGAGTGAGTGAGTATGGTTTTACGCCGCTTTTAGCAATATTCCAGCAATATCACGGCGGGGGCCACCAGAAATGGGCTTCACACATTGTACCCATGTCGGGAATCGAACCCGGGTCTTCGGCGTGACGGGCGAACGCTTTACCACTAGGCTACCCCACCGCCCCGCCAAAAAGGGAGTGCTATTGAAGCAAAACGTATATTCTATGTGGGTTTTATGTTCAAATCGAGACGAAAAATGAAACCGAGTTTAGATACCCGACATCATTCTGTTGGTTGAAAAACACCAACATCCTTCAGTGTAACCTATCTCACTTTTGTGCTCAGGTACTTGATTTTATCCCCAGTGAAATTTGAAACGATCTGTCTACTGGGTATAAGAATCTTTTGACAGTTTAAAATGAAGTTGATCAACGTCAATCAAACGCACAATCTCTTTCCACATGAGGTTCAAGTAAATATTAAATGGCTCTCAATATTTCATATTGATTCTGGGGGCACGAGTGGCCCAGTCGTCTAAGGCGCCGCGATTCGCTGTGCAGAGTTGCGTCCCTTGGTCACGCAAGAAACCTATGATTGTGGGTTCGAATCCCGGTTCGCCCCGATTGTGTTTCTAGGTTTGTCAGCACCATACCCTTGCTCGTGGGTTTCACCGAAGTGGTAAACATCTGAGACCTGCATCACTTCGGGCTTTCCTCCCACATTAAGCTGACACGCCACGATATAACTGGAATACTGTTAAAAGCGACGTTAAACCAAACTCACTCACTCACTCACTCATATTTATTCTCGCATACAGCATGTCTAAAATAGGATGATGTATTTTCTTGTTTGTCGCATTGCAGGTGTTCTGCTGTGCCGTGTCAGGCAACAGACACACTTTTTTATGCAGATTGTGCGAGCAGCGGGTGCACCGGATGGGCAGGTCATTCTTACACTTTTTACACGTGGTGTCCTCCCTGATTTTCAGGGATCCATACCCATAATTTTTGCAGCTATTTTGTTATCTGTTTCGTCTGATAATCGAGATAGGCTATTCTCTGGCGTTGAAGTTTTATTATTAAGATGGTGCGTATAATTTGCTACAGCATGTTCAAATATTAAACCATCGTATGTTGCCGTTTTCTAGATTGAGAAAATGTCAAGTGAGAGCCGAAAGTCTGGCTATGTGGACGACTGGCAGGCAGGGAAGTCCGTCACAGAATGTAATCTGCGCATGCTCGACACAGAAGACTTCAGTGACGTCACCTTCCGGGTAGGATCAGAGAAGCAGATGGTCCGAGCTCACCGCTACGTTCTTGTCAGTCGCAGCTGTGTCTTCCATGCTATGTTCTGTGGCCCTCTGGCGGAGACAGAGGAGGTGACAATCCCGGATATTGAACCAGACGTCTTCAGGGAGTTCTTAAGGTAAGGTCCTTGCTTTGTTGTATAATTTGTTTGTTTGTTTGTTGTTTAAGGCCGCACTCAGCAGTATTTCAGCTATATGACGGCGGTCTGTAAATAATCGAGTCTGGAGCAGATAGTCCAGTGATTGACGTCATGAGCATCGAACCGCGTAATTGGGACTTATTCTACCCCAGATCTTCACGGGTCCTTTGTTGTGTAAACTGACGAACATAGAGACAGGCCGACATACTGGAGTGGATAGCTACATTGGATCCACGAATATTATTTCGTTCATATTAGCCCTAGATGATTTTTTTCCGTAACAGGTGAAGTATTCAAGAAATCCTATCCAGTTAATTGAATAACTAAACTGCCTTGTGTTCCTTAGGATGTTATTATCTAGCCCTATCAACCTATTTCATTTGGTTCGTCATATCTATTTCATGCTTTGTGTTTATTGTAGGTATGTGTACACAGACAAGGCAACCATCAAAGCAGATACAGTTGCCGGACTTTTGTACACATCCAGGAAGTATTTTATAGATTCGTTGTACAGTCTTTGTGTAACATTCCTGGAGAAGTCCCTGTCAGAACACAGTGTCTGCCAGATCCTGGAGCAGTGTCATGGTTACGGGGAGCTGGGCTTGGAACAGAAGGCCCTGAAGATCCTGACAGAAGGAGGGGAGAGAGTCATCAAATCTCAAGGATTTGTGGATCTTTGTTCAGACTGTCTCGAAAAGTGCCTAAAATCAGATAGTATGAAAGCAAAAGAGGAGGATATTTTTGACGCAGTGTTTACTTGGACAAAGGCAAGATGCCAGGATGAAGCTGTGGTTGACACACCAGAGAACAGACGGAGACTCCTGGGAGAGATGAGGTATGAGATCCGGTTTACCAGCATGCCCCTGGAGTTCCTGGTGAACGTTGTTGGTCCTTCCGGAGTGCTGACCGATGATGAAAAAGTTCGAATAATGGACAGAAAAATAAACTCAGCTGTTGATATTTCTCCATTTAACCATTCTCAGAGAATATTACACACGTCCCACAGAGATTATGTGTCTAAAACATACAGATATGTAAACAGGTTTCGGTATTATTCAAATTTGATTAGTTCGAATGCAGGTAGACACTCCATCTCGTTTTCATCATCTCAGAGCATTCTCCTAGAAGGGTGTCAGGTATATGGTGGACCCGATGGTGAAGTGTATACACTGAGTATCAGGGTGTATAACTCCAATAACACGGCGATTGCTGAGCCGTTTCTGAACACCAGGATGAAACATGGAGGCAGTTATCAGTTGAATGACGTCATGTTCCCCGAGGGTGTTTCCCTTACAGCAGGGACATCCTATACTCTGTGTGTGGACATGGATGGGAGTCCCACTGCAAGTGGTCGGGAAGGACCAGATACAGTAACAGAAGATGGAGTAGTGTTCACCTTCACACACTCTTCAATGTGTACGACAGGTACATCAACAAAAAGTGGACAAATACCTGGCTTGATATGGAACTTTTATCAAAATGCGGTAAAACGGAAATGAAGATAAATTGCTAACAATAGTGAAAAACATGCACAGTATTATGAAATCAGTGGAACAAGCAAGTAATATATTGTCAGATTACTTTCCAAATATTTCACAGGTGTCAGACAGGGAGGGCATTTATCAGTCCTGTTATTTTAAAGCGACGTTTAACCCTACCTTACATCTATGGGCTGTCGAGGGGTTAAGATTAATATTTCGGCTGTTTATGAATATTTTATTTTGGCTTCAGCTTCGAGTTCATCCTTATGCTGATGACGGTGTTCTTTTCGACGAAACGCCCCAAAGATTGCAAAATACTATTTGAGGAAAATTTTCTTGAAATTGTTGTACGTATAGATGTGCGTGATTGCGTGCGTGCGTGCGTTCATGCCTTTGAGTTGCATTTAGAAGTGATACACATCAGGAAGAGAATTTATGGATGTCACCTTCTTTATTATGAGGAACACAGCGTGTCGGGGTACATACTTTCTCCTTTATCAGGTGAATGAAAGGTGAAGGATTCTGACATCCATTAATTCCCCTCCTTATGTGCAATATTGTCTGTAACACCGTGTATTAACAGTGTAATAAAACACGACAAAGTTGAAGGGGTTTGTAGTCTGTTTATTCCCAGAGATTACTCTGTTTTACGATACGGCTGGTCATCCTCGTCCTGAGTCTTGACGCTGATGAGCGAGTCTACCACCACCTGGACCACTCACCACTCACATCACCACTCAGGCGGAACTATCAACAAGGACTCGAATTTGTCGTCACTGAGTTTTGAATCTCCACCATGTCGTAACTGCGTTTGGGGTTAACTGAGCCCTACTACGGTTACCTATTTTATTGTCGTTCCATGTCGTTATAGGCAAGGTAAGCCATGACTTGGCAACTCGCTTGGTCAGAATCGGGTCATCATAGTCAAGGGGTTATTGGTTTATCGACTCTTAGTCCGAACTGTATCCATCAACATTCATGTGCTGCCCCTTGCGTACAAGGACTGAACAAAACACACGGGTCATACTCACATACTTTTAATAACGCTCCAGTCCATCTTCAAATGCAACTTCTAAACAAAACAGGCTACTCGTCATAGACTGGACACACAGAGTGGTATCGATCTGCCTCAGTCACTACCAGAACCGCGCCACCCTTCTAGTCTATCTTTTTAAAGGGGTTGAATCTGACCTTTCTTTGTCACATGTCACAATACCTCAGTTTGATTATAAAGCGAGTGCCAGATTGAGCATCTCTCTATTGATTTTGTGACTCACTGCGGATTCTACAAATGAGTGAGTGAGTGAGTATGGTTTTACGCCGCTTTTAGCAATATTCCAGCAATATCACGGCGGGGGCCACCAGAAATGGGCTTCACACATTGTACCCATGTCGGGAATCGAACCCGGGTCTTCGGCGTGACGAGCGAACGCTTTAACCACTAGGCTACACGACCGCCCCTCTACAATTTAAAAGTATCTTACCTCGCTGCTTGATTCATTAACTAATCGACGATAACATGGAACCAATCCAATGATAAATATGAAATGTCCAGAATACTCTTGTGAAATGTCTTTTGCTCTATTAATTCCTTTCGAACTAAAAGTTCTCTGTCACGAATTTTGTATACCTAATGCAACTCATCATTGCAGCTATAAACGGTTTAATTTGTTACAATAATGTTTTTGAGACGCGTTTTAACCTTTTAACAAAATCGCCTTGTATTAAATTGCATCTAAGTTTCCTGTTTGTGTATGGTCTCTTTAACTCTGGATGAAACCGTAACTGTTCCTGGCACTGGGATTGTACGGGGACACGGGGGGCCCAGAGTTGCGTCCCTTGGGCACGCCAGAAACCTATGATTATGGGTTCGAATCCCGGTTCGCCCCGATTATGTTTCTAGGTTTGTCAGCGCCGTGCTCGTGGGTTTCACCGAAGTGGTAAACGTCTTAGACCTGCATCACTTCGGGCTTTCCTCCCACATTAAGCTGACACGCCGCGATATAACGGGAATACTGTTAAAAGCGGCGTTAAACCCAACTCACTCACTCACTGAGATTGTACAGAGGACGCTGTCAACACAACGTCAAATCACAGGAACTCGATGATAGCGTGTTTAGCATAATATATTCGTATAGGAAAAAAATCACACACCTCTATATACATACAGAAAAAGGTGTCCGGCAATTACGGCGCTACACGGGCTTGAACAAATCTTGATGGTGGAGATCTGCTGCATGACATCGTAACCTTCCCCGAAACTGTGGTCTGAGGCCGGATGAATCTCGATGGCTCGAGATCTGCCAAACGACATCGTGTTCCCCAGGGTTGTCTCCCTTCCAGCGGGTGCGATCAACACTGTGTGTGTGGACATGTATGGGCCTGACACTGTCTCTGGGGAGGCAGAACACAAGACTACCAGAGTGAATGGAGTAGTGTTCACCTTCAGACACTCTACAATGTCTAGTACAAGAACATCACTCCACTGGGGGAAAATACCTGGCATGATATTCAATCGTTCATGATAATAAACTGCATTAAACTGCATTTTACTGTCATAACGTATTGTCAATTCCTTGTAATTCGGGGATTTACACAGGCGTTAGACAATGCACCAGTTTGCGAGCAGAGATGAATATTAATGTCATATTTAAAATATTAGACTGAGATATCACTGTAGGTTATGTGGAGAGTGAGAGAGCGAATTGTGTTCAAAAGCAGCACACACGTGTGTCATCATGAGATCACATGGCTAGATATTCTGGAGTTTTTACTGGAGTAAATAAAAATAAATCTTGTCATATGTTTATTCAAATTCAATCAAATATAGTGGGCAGATGACCACACTGACAGCCCACTTCAACCCATCCCCACTCACTGTATCTTAGTTGTCAGGGCAACACCAGCGTGTTCTAATGAATGTGCGTCTTATATATTTCAATATTAAAAAATATACATAATATTGTGTCATTAACACGTGTATTGACAGTGTAAGAAAACACGACATGGCCGATGGGGTTTGCAGTCTGTTTATTCCCAGAGATTACTCTGTTTTACGATACGGCTGGTCATCCTCGTCCTGAGTCTTGACGCTGATGAGCGAGTCTATCACCACCTGGGCCATCTTCCTCACACGGGATGCGATGTTCTCACTCAGTGTCGGACCCACATCCGTCACACCACCAGAGTCAGGCGGAACTCTCAACAAGGGCTCGAACTCCTCCTTTAATGAAGGTATCGAATCTTCCTGTCTGTGTGTTGTCTTCAACTCGAGATGAAATAGTTCCTGGCACTGAGATTCAACAGAGGACTTTTCTTGTTCGTTTGACGCTGTCAACACAACTTCCGATAGATGTTCTGGGTGAAAAGTCGATACGGTTTTTAGAACTGCAGCTATGTCTCCGGCTTCTGTATCTAGAAGTACAAAACATAAAGTTATTGACAGATTTGTAATGTGTCGTGTGCACATAGCTCCATTCCAGCCAACGTTGCTAGATTTTACATACTCACCGCCGAAAGAAATGCACACCATAGAACATATAGAGAAGTATGTACGTTAAGAAAAGATGTTTCAAATGTGTACCACTTAATGACCAAACCAACAATCAGTCAAGTGTCTCCACAGTGTCTTTATTCTTATCACGATATGCTGCACGTGATTTCCAACTGTACACGCTAATCCTGCACGAGACAAATGGAGCATCTCGTGTCATGGGTCTATGACGTCACATGTGATGCGTTCATGAGCATCGGTTCACACAACATACCAGTTTGTTCGTTTGTGCACCAAACCAATCTAATATCTCTTTAATAGGAGTAATTCTTCATATATTAACCAAAATATATGGTGTTCGCGTTTCTTTTGTTTTTTAAAAAACAAACAAAATCATTTACTCATTTTTGGTTTATCTATTTCAATGTGTTCAGCCTTGACATCGCGAAAGGTCACGTGGCACCCTTTAATGAAGAAGTGAAAATCAACACGCTCTCATGCTTGCATGTCAGGGACAGCTGCGAACGAAGGGCTAGGTCACCACCGGAATAAGAAAAGACAACCGTGATCTACCCAGCGTTTTACTCTAAAGATAGAGAATGTTATTGTTCACCTTTGGGATATTTTGGGTCACATAATCAGAAATCAGGCACACTTCTACGGAGTTTTCGAATGATTTGTATCGGAAATGTTCACTGTGAGTGATCTGGTCGTGCAGTCGTGAACAAACAACTCCCGAAACAGTGCCACAAAATACACTTCGAAGAGGACACTGATGGCACACCCGGATCATCCCAAGTAAGTCTAGATATCTGTCCAGATAGTTTAAACTGACTTCATTTCACCACGCTTATCCTTTTACGTTAAATCAAATTGGAAGTTGCGAAAGTAGTCGGGTGCGTCACGCTCATTGGGACCCTCGATCTATTGAACGGTACTCGAACATTGTAAATGGATATAGCTCGATTACATAATGTCTGTGGAAGCTCAATGCATAACTTATATAGGATGCAAACCGAACTTGATGCGTGTGACTATCTTGTTTGGTTTAATAAAGTGTTTGTTAATATCCCTCGCTCACACGAGATTGCTTCAGTTCTGCCTTGTAGGGTTTTTTTATGAATGAAAAAAGTAGTCCCGGTGTGACAGAGGTCACGGTTATCCAATCAAAACGAATAAAACAAGGTCAACCCTGTACGACACACGGATTTAGTATCTTACCACTTGTATCTTCACCACGTGGGTAATAAAATGATATATTTCATGTCCGTGCCTGGAACGCGGTTCTCCCGGGGAAATATAAGTCCACCTAAACACTCATGGTTGCCACGATCTGCTCAACGTGAGGTCATACAAGTCACTTACTCGTGCACTGTCGTGATTCCGGGTTAGACTATGTAAACTATGCTTGTCGCAAGAGGTTGAAGTGGGCTGATAGTGTGCTTCTTTAAAGTAATTCGCTCATCTGCCCACAATGAATTAACATTTGATTTTTGATTGAATTTGAATAATCATATGACAATATTTATTTTTATTTACTCCAGTAAAAACTCCAGAATATCTAGCCATGTGATCTCATGATGACACACGTGTGTGTTGCCTTTAAACACCATTCGCTCTCTCACTCACAAAGAATCTACAGTGGCATCTCTTCACCTCTTCTATTATAAAGCTGGAATATTGTGGCGTAAAACAACTTTCGTTTACTCTCTGTATATATCACTGACACGGCAAATGTCATGCCTGTATCAACACATCCATCAACGCCCCAGCAATCAATCAACCAATACAAGAAAGGCAAGAAAGGAGACGCCGATATAAATACATCTTCACTTCTCTCACAATCATCAGTCAATCAGTCAGACAACATGAAATCCAGACAATCGAAGGTCGCAGACACAGATTCATTATATAACCCGAGGGGATTCTGGGTAATAATATACACGCAGGTAGGTCCCCAGCAACCCATGTCTGTCACACGAGGAGACTAAATGGATCAGGCTGACAGCTTCGGTGACTTGGCTGATGCATATCATCGTATTCCATTTATTGGTGCTCATGATATCAATCACTGGATTGTCTGGTCCACACTCGATTATTTACAGTGTTAGATCACACACACATACACACACACACACACGTTCCAGTATTCAGGAGGTGGACTAATAGAATATCTTGTGAAAAATGGTTATAGGATATGTGTGATGACTATATAAAGTAATAAACCTGTACTTACATGACAGTTTGCCGTATCGCCAGCAGATGTTCATAATAAGCAATGTCTTACGAACTCACCTGAGAATTCGACCGTCATTTTGGAACACGCCTCACTGTGTTGGCCGGAAGGTGACGTCACAAGTCCCGTAAACATCGATACATTGACACCCTTTCTACTGGATTCTAGCTTTGCAATATTTGTTTTTTTCATACTGTTGAAGTGTTGAGTACCAAGAGGTGGACGACACGTCTATGATCTCAAGCAAATATATATATTATTAATAGACGAATAAAAATGGCGCACAAGCTTTTTCACCAGCGACGAAATACGGTTGCAACGAGCCAATTTCAACACTCCCGGGAAAATTTGCCCTGTCCTGTGCGAACACTGCGGACGATAACTACACGATAGATAACGATACAAACACGTTGTCCACGGTGTCGGCTTAACGGGACTGTTTAATGAGTGATTTCGGTAATTCGTTGCAAATTAGGTGTGTCGGATTCGGAGTGCGAGATTAACGGATTAACGGGTCTAAATAGCTCTGATTTAATCGGTTCCCATCATTAGTTTTGGATAAAGCCGATTGTCGGATTAACGAGACTTGGCTGCATAGAAATACGTCACTTCCCATCAGGAAGATACCGCCAGGAGATGTCAAAGTTTAAAAGGCTGAATTGCAGCGCGTGACCTATTAGCAAGAGACCAGATTTCACGGTGCACTTAGGAAGATCAGTGTTTTAAAAAAAGTGTAAAGAGATGACTTGTGACGCACGTAAACAAAGTTTGGTCGATGTGCCTTGGTCATGACCTGAGATGTAACCCATAAAACGTGTACGCCGTGAAAAATATTTCTCTTTCAGAATACGCAGCACAACATTAATATCAAAGATGTTCATATGTGATATGCAAAATCAGCATTTATTTCTATGGCGACTTTGTTTGTTGGTTTTTTATTTCTGAGTGCGGCGTTAAACAACAAAGAAAACAAAGAAAGAAATGCTGATTTTGCATATTAAATATGAACATATATGATAGAAATACGATCATCGTAACTCCCGTACACTAACATGATGCTGTATTATAGGACCGATGCATGTCACCGTATCCTAATAGCGTGGATCGATGCTCATGATGTCAATGACTGGATTGTCTGGTCCAGACTCGTATATTTACAGACCGCCTTCATATAGCTGGAATATTGCTGAGTGCGGCGTTAAACAACAAACAACCAAACTATAGGACCGAGATTCTTTTTAGTAGAAGTGAGTGAGTGAGTAACGCCGCTTTTAACAGTATCAAGTTATATCACGGCGTGATGCAGGTCTTTGACGTTTACCACTTCGGTGACACCCACGAGCACGGGTACGGTGCTGACAAATCTAGAAACATAATCAGGGCGAACCGGGATTCGAACCTACAATCATAGGTTTTTGGCGTGCCCAAGGGACGCAACTCTGCACAGTGAATCGCAGCGCCTCAGACGACTTGGCCACCCGTGCCCCCTTTTAGTAGAAGGGGTCATTAAAACACAGATGTGTTAATCGGAAGTTCCGTCTTCATATTTCCTGCTATATTCTGTCACTGTATAGTGGGACGGTTGGGGGTTGTTAAAAAGGTGAGGAAAGCCATTATTGAAAAAAAATCAATCAAAAACATATACATACACACATACACTCATACACACGCACACATACATACATACACACACATAATCGCATGCACGCACTCATGCACACACATACACGCGCGCAAACATACACATAAACGCACGCACAAACACATACACGTACACACAGACACACTCAAACATACATACACACACATAAACGCACGCACAAACACATACACGTACACACAGACACACTTACACACACATAAACGCACGCACAAACACATACACGCGCGCACACAAATACAAACATACACATAAACGCACGCACAAACACATACACGTACACACAGATACACTCACACATACATAAACGCACGCACAAACACATACACACGCGCATACAAATACAAACATACACATAAACGCACGCACAAACACATACACGTACACACAGACACACACACACACGCACCACCCATGCACACCGAAAACTCCCCGCGACATTACATATAGACAGTAAACGACGTTTATAACGAACACTCTTATAACGAACTAACGGATACAACGAACTTGTTTTGTTGTTCCCGGCCATTTGTGGATTTATGCTGTATATGCTTATAACGAACTAAAATTCGTGGTCCCTTTGAGTTCGTTATAACCGTAGTTTAGTGTACGTATAATTATATACACTCCCTGGCTATACATTAGCGCACGGTATTACTGTAACACAATAGTCACAGATTGACTTACACAGTTACTATGCAGTCCACACAGGAACTGCAATCCGATTATACACTCGTCACGACTCGGCTGTTTTCGGAAAATGGGTCATCAGAGTCGTTTTGACTTTTGTATTAACATTCCGGTCGGGTTTTTTAGGTTGACCGAACACGAAGGCCGAGAGATGGGTATGTGTGGAGACTGGTCCAGATAGAACATGTCACTGAGAGGCGCATTGCTGTGCGTATACTACTGTGTACATAGCTATAAAACTTGCATGGAGACATTGCGAGTGTGGGTTTCTAGGTCGGCAATTCGTATTAAAGACATGGGGTGTATATCAGGGATCGCTTCTTCACCAGCGTATATTAGACTATAAATCACCCCCGCACAATTACACTTACACAATTACAAAATAGGGATGGGCAAATAGGCACTAGCCCGATTGTCTAAATAATATTGTTTGGCTGTTTTTGTTTGTTTGTTTGTTGTTTAACGCCGCACTCAACAGTATTCCAGTTAAATGACGGTGGCCTGTAAATAATCGAGTCTGGACCAGACAATCCAGTGAGTGACATCATGACCATCGCAATTGAGATACGATGACACGCATCAACCAAGTCAGCGAGCCTGACCACCCGGATCCGTTAGTCGCCTCTTACGACAAAGCATGGGTTGCTGAAAACCTATTCAACCCGGAATCTTCACGGGACCTAAATATTGTTAATGAGGGCTGGTACAATGTTAGTCTTTTTAGGGATCTACATACGTTATCAATATTCGGTTATACACTATTTCGGGTTATATACAGCCCTGCTAAAGTATTACATGATAGGCATTTGTATAGTAGAATGCATATCTACATGTTCTACCTGGAACTCCTGAACTGGAGAAATACAAATGTATAACACACGAAGCTCTCTCGCTCTTTGGTAAGGAATGCGTTCACTGCATGTCAGATCAAACAGTGAGGAGCGCTATGTAAACCTGCCTTCCATATGCTTCTATCAATACAGGGTCAATAAGACAAGGTATTACCAGCACACGGGGAAAGCGTGACATAAACCTTCAACAATACACATTGCCTAGGAAACATATTGATTACCAACTTACGTTCCATCCACACAGGATCAACAATAACAAATCATACATCTACTCGCTCTCATTGATAAGGGCGAGCGAGTATTGTTTTACGCTGCTTTTAGCAATACCCCAGCAATATCACGGCGGAGGACAAGAAATGAGCTTCACATATTGTGGGGAATCGAACCCGGGCCTTCGGCGTGACGACAAACGCTTTACCCAGTAGGCTACCCAATCGTCCCTTATTCATAAAGTGTGCGTTTACTAAAAATGATCAGATAGTTATTTTATTATGAAAACTTAACAATGTTAATTACTTTACTATTTATATTCCACCCACACAGGACCTGAATCAACAATAACAAATACATTCTATAATTAGCCTATATCGCTGTAATTGCTTTGGTATCAATAGTCACTGCATACTGCAGACTATAGTATAGCATATGATCAGATAGTGTTACTATTATGAAGTCGTAACGATGTTTATTACTTAAGTTACTTCCCCTCCCCACAAGACCAAATTTATCAATAACAGTAAGTAATGCTAAACATGGATATAACATGGTATAACATGGTATAACATGGTATATCATGAACGGGAAATATATGTGTTTGCCTTACCTGCTTCACTCATTGCAATGGCTAATGTCGGCACTTGCATGACCTCAGCCTGTTGTAGAATACTCTGGCACTCTGAGGCAACGTCCACCCCTCCGTCACAGATCACGTCATCGCAGATACTAAACTCCCCTTCGTGAACGTTGTTCAGTCTCGGCTGACCGCTGTCCAGTCTCGAACACACATACCTCTTCAATATAAAACCACACAGCCGATGTCCTGCACGGCAACCTCGATATAACGCCAAACTCGGGGACCCGTCTTCCACCGGGTCGCCTGTCCTATAACGAGGCGATTCAACTTTCACTGATACTTTCAAACCGTGGGGAGATTCGAGTGCCACAGTTTCGTCATACATGGATGATAGCGAGTGTTTCCGTGACAAAAACATAACTTCAGCGTATCCCCTGTAAGGAGTTAGTCACAGCTGCTTACGCCCCGTCTCTTCACACATACGTACCTATACAGGTCAAGTAGGTATAAAACTCGAGTCAACAGCCAAATGGAGGTCATATATCCAGATTCACGACAGCAATTTAAATATGACACTGACCCCTCTTGCGTGGTCTTTCATTGTATCATATGTCAGGAAACAGTCTTTATATATATCTATATATATCTGAAGCGTGCCTTGCATCTTATCTCACAACTTAACGTGAGATAGTAAATAAACATCCATGTCCAGGGCCTGTATAAGACTCTGGTCAGCCCTTACTGGGTGTATTTATCATTTAAGGCTGATCCTACTTAAGCCTACGTTTGGAATATGCACACTGTATAAAATGTTTTTAGATCCTAAACACTAAACTAAGTGGTACCTTGTCCCATTATTTTGACGCTTTTGGGATCTAAATATGTTTAGGATTGTGTTTAGTAGCTAAATAGCTAGTGTCTAAATAGTGGTAAAGACCCGTAACCATCCCCCATCCCCCAATTTAATTTTTCATGATTTTATAGTGTTTAATGAGGATGTAGTGTTAATCCGTTTTAGACTTGATCATTTTTCTGAACATGTTTCGATCGAAAACATATCTTGTGTGTATTTACGTTCTGATACATCATTTCCACAGTGCAGTGACGCTATCCTGGCGATTCAGTGTGTTGACGGTAACCATAACACATCATTCAATGAAGTGGTCAACTATGTATCTGGAAGGTAATTTAAGGTACCGACGTTTACTACAATATCTGAAAAAACTATTGGACCTACTCCGGTCAAAGTTGGTATGAGATTATTAAACAGTCATACATAACTGAATATTACATTTAAAGACAATCGGTGCCTGAATAAAAAATCTGTCTATTTAGCTATCACTATATTTCATCAACAACCAGACCTGTTCGGTGTTAGGTGTTGGGCGTTGGGCGTCTCAACGTGCGTGATTCCCGTGCACCCTTTCGAGTTGAGTTGATTGGTTCAACTGTGTCATATGGCCCTGTGACGCAGGGGTAGCATCATGCAGATGGCTGTTACAAAGAATGCTCGTTCCACCCGTGACGAACAGGTCTGGTTGTTGATGAAATATAGTGATAGCTAAATAGACAGATCTTTTCATTCATGCACCGATTGTCTTTAAATGTAATATCCAGTTATGTATGACTGTTTAATAATCTCATACCAACTTTGACTGGAGTAGGTCCAATAGTTTTTCAGATATTGTAGTAAACGTCGGTACCTTAAATTACCTTCCAGACTATGCACCTGGAAAAAAGTTAAGCATCACCCCTTGTATATGTTCCCATGCACATACCGAACTTCCGTGTATATTTTGGAAAGGTCTACATGTGGTATTGATCTTACTTTACAAAAGTCCAATATAGCACCGGTATCTCCTGTTTGTTTGTTTGTTGTTTACTCAGCAATATTCCGGCTATATGACGGCGGTCTGAAAATAATCGAGTCTGGACCAGACTATCCAGTCATTGACTTCATGAGCATCGATCCATGCAATTGGGATATGATAACATGCATCATTCAAGTCAGCGAGCCTGACCACCCGATCCTGTTAGTCGCCTCTTACGACAAGCATGGGTTACTGAAGACCTATTCTACCCCGGATCTGCCACGGGTTCCGGTACCCCCTGGACAAATGGTACAAGAGCACGTGTTCCTCGAGGTGTTCTCAAGGACGGGACCGCCCCCGTGGTCTAGAGGTAGAGCGTCCGCCCGGAGAGCGGAAGGCCAGGGGTTCGATCCCCGGCCGCGCCATACCAAAAGACGTTAAAAGATCGTACTTGTTGTTACCCTGTCTGGCGCTCGACATCAAGGGGCTTAAACAAGGACTGGTCGGCTCGGAGTCTGTGTCTGAATGGGGTATTCACGTTAAACTGCGGCATGGTATCTCATCAGTCAGTCCTGACAAGTACAAGCAGCCACCACATAGACACACACGTGCATGCAAGTCGCTGGATAAGAGCAATAATCTTGGACACGACGTTAAACCCAATTTCACCTCACCTCAAGGACGGAGTCATATCACGTGATCCAAAGTGAATGAGTGAGTTGGGTTTAACAATATTCCAGTTATATCAGAGCGTGTCAGCTTGATGTGGGAGGAAAGCCCGACGTTATGCAGGTCTTAGACGTTTACCAATTTGGTGAAACCCACGAGAACGGGTTGGGTGGGGACAAATCTGGAAACAATCGAGGCGAACTGGGATTCGAACCCACATCATAGCGTTTCTGGCGTACCCAAGGATGGTCAAATATTTATTGCCGTGGTGCAGTTACAAAACATATCATTAGACAATGGAGTCTGATTTTTGCCCTCTAAAACAGCAGATCGCTTTGTAAATCAAAACATACGTGTTCTGTCATAAAATTTAGAACATGTTACGATCTTCTTTAAAAATGCCTATTTATACAAGCGGAAAAATGTAACTGTGTTTCATATACTGTTACATCAACATATATATATATTCTGAGATTAAATAATGCATCTTTCAATACATATTCATGAAAACATCACATTGACTTTCTGTCGCGATTCACAGTTTGCATGTGCATGTTCATGCACGGCGCACAATTGGGATGTTTGCGTGTTTGTTGGATCATGATACTCACTCATGTGTTCTTTTGAATGCGAGCAGCACACAATGGTCAGGTGCTCATCAAGAAACTCTTGTTTAACCGTCACGTCAACAAGACAGCCACATTCGGCTGGTGCATCTACGGAATCGATACCAAACTGCCACATTAACAGCTCGGACAAAAAGTATTCCTGGGTCGCAAATGGTTGAGGGAGCCCAGCATCTAGCACCGACGTCCAGCGATACGCCCAATTTTGCCTCCACGTCACCGTCAGGCACGCCTAGCTTGATGTACACAGCATCTAATGTTCAAAAGGCAAGACTCACACAGATGAGTCCAGATGAGTCATCTGGCTCGCTCTAATGGTCGTGCAATGTTCTACAGGCGTCAGGAGAACGTTCGAGTGACGCTTGCGTCACTGAAAGGTCGTCAGTTTGGGGTGGAAGTGTACTGTATGGGGTGGCATCTAAACTCAAGGGACACAGCACTCATCATTGTTGATGGCAATTTGAATTGCGTACGCTACCGGAACGACATCGTTCAAGATCATGTTCTACCCTTTGTGCAAATGCAGGAATGTAACGTCACATTGCAGCAGAATAAAGTACGCCCATGTGTTAGAACAGACGTTTGAGGCAGCATAACACTGCTGTACGTACTACCATGGCCGGGACCCGTGAAGATCCGGGAGAGAATAGGTCTTCAGCAACCCATGCTTGCCGTGAATTGCGACTATGCTTGTTGTGAAAGGCGACTAACGGGATCGGGTTGTCAGGCTCGCGGACTTGGTTGATGCATGTCATTGTATCCCGAATGTGTGGATCGATGCTCATGATGTCATTCACTGGATTGTCTGGTCCAGACTCGATTATTTACAGACTGTCATATTGCTGGAATATTGCTGCGGGCGGCGTTAAACAACAAACAACCAAACTATAGGACCGAGATTTAGTAGAAGTGAGTGAGTGAGTGAGTGAGTGAGTAACGCCGCTTTTAACAGTATCAAGTTATATCACGGCGTGTCAGTGATGCAGGTCTTTGACGTTTACCACTTCGGTGACACCCACGAGCACGGGTACGGTGCTGACAAATCTAGAAACATAATCAGGGCGAACCGGGATTCGAACCCACAATCATAGGAAACAACAAGGAAACAAAGAAACAAAAACACAGCTGCATCATGTTATCATTTAGTTTTGGTCCAGGGCACAAAAAGGTGGAACGTGGATATATGCAAGTGGGAATGTCTACGGCCCTAATGAATGGGAAATATAATGGACATGCATTACTGATAGTGTTATTTCGGAGCCTTAAGAATTGTTTATCTTCTTTGGGTTATTTAATTCTGCAAACACGGATACAGCCTTTTGTAAAGGAGGGATGCGTTTAAAAATATCCAAACTATCCTAATTCAGCTGCTTGTCCAGTGTAAAATCAATGTCCAGTTGAAAAGAGGCGGTTACACAAGTGCAACTTCCGCTTGGCATGTGCAGCGCTTATCCCTTGTCAATAGAAGCGAACTCTGGGTAACGCGCACGGGTACATATATAGGACAAATGACACATTTCCTATGTCAAGGGGGTCATTTAAAAATTTCAAAACCATATTCCGACAGAGCTCACTGCCTTCATTTCCGGTTACGAGGTATGTGGGCTGCCATCTTACAGGAAGTTCGTTACAGCAGAGACCATAAAGTAGATCTCTGGTTTTAGTAATGACGGACAACCCATTTTCTGATTGGTTAAAATGAAATTCGCTGATATTGACTGGAAATATTTTGAGGAAAATTCTGATTGTATTTCAAACGAGCCAACGCTCAACTATTATGCTGCCAGACGTCGCGTCCGAAGGTACCAAAAATGGGAATTTAAGTGGGAATTCAAGTATCTCGAATATCATCGCAACGTGACTATAACTATTCATTCTGATTGACATGTGCCAATGGTAAGTTCCATATATTTTAATCGTTTCCCTACATTCAGAAAACAGAAAGGCGTTCTAATGTTGCACGCACGTTTTTAAGCTTGATTACTCTTTAATAGTTCTAAGAACTTTCATCAGGAGTTGAAAACCATCCTGATTTGAAACTGGAGTTAAGCATTCGTGAATCAAATACCCTCTGGCGTTCCATTTCCAAACATCTGACTGCCTGATGCGCACGTAAAAGTGTTACGTCTATCCGTGCTTGACTTCACGGTCAAAAGTGTCCGGACGGTCAAGCTAAAACTTTGTTTGTGTTTTGTTTCTTTTATCATTTTCGCAAATTATTGATACACCGTTTGGACAATCAGCAGCTACAAATACAACACTTTATAGTAAGAAAACCAATACGTATGAAACGAGTTATTTACATTTGGAGAAAAAACAGAGTGATCTAGTCTGACAATGATAACACAATTTGTGACGAAAGTGTGCGTGTGCGTGCGTGCGTGCGTGCGTGCGTGCGTGCGTGCGTGCGTGTAATCTTTGCAAGGTTGCTGTACATACAAGTACCATAAATCCATTTTGTCAATAAACGTTATATATTATGTAAACATCAAAGCAATACATATCCTGCATTTACAAACTTTACAGCATTCTTTAATGACAACAACATCCCCTTCGAATTTGACTTGTCGTTAAAGGCAACTAACGTGGATCTAACGTGGCAACTAACGTGGATCTAACGTGGCAACTAACGTGGATAAATATAATTGCGTGGATCGATGCTCATGATAACAATCACTGGATTGTCTGGTCCAGACTCGATTATTTACAGACTGTCGTCATATAGCTGGAATAATGCTGGGTGCGGCGTAAAACAACAAACCAACCAATTGAATGGGTCCCCAGTAATTAACGACTTAATGGATCGGATGGTTAGTATCGCTCACCTGATGTTGATTGCGTGTCACCGTACCCCGACCACGTGGGACTTATAATAATAATCAACTGTTTGTCTACTCGATTACTTTTACAGGCCACCGCCATATAGGTACAATATTGCTGCGTAACAAATGTTAGAGTTGGGAGTTCTTTTGGGGGTTGAGTCCGACCCGGGATTCGAACCCACAATCCCAGAGAGGGGCGCCTAATCAGCACATAAAGTCAGCGATCTAACCCAATCAGCCACCGAAGCTTCCACTGAAATGAAAGTCCGACAACTGATAGTCTAGATCACGTACTATTGCCAAGTTTGGGCAAACAAGTTGAGGCAAGAAAACAAACCATATAGACTAAAACTATATTCTTATTACCATTTTTGGTAGGATGGATTATTATCGTCATGTTCTTGTGGATGTGTTTTAAAGAAACCATCAATAATTGAACATAGTAAACTATTTAATGAATATATTGCTGAGAGAGTTGACAGCATGCCTATTGTACTGCAACCGAGAGTGAACGGGAGAATAATAACAAGACGAAAAACAATGTCAAGCATTTAGTTTTCAGTATCTTTTGACAAATATATCAGGTCCCAAACAGCAAGATTTTAAACATCTGCATTAAAAGGTACGATTTCACAATCGTATTCGCTTAAGGGACGCGAAAATATCTCTTACGACGAGGTTTAGCAGTCATATTCTCCTTACAGCGTTATTGGGAAGCGCTTTTAAATACTACTTGAGTTTAGCGTTGTTTAGAGCCATTATTGAATAATGGCGGGAGGCGTGGAGAGGTAACGTTGGAAATCATTTGAATATAAATGTTGTTTTTGCGGAAGTATTGATAACGATATTATTACTGATAATACCACGTTTACATTTGAGCGTCAGGGAGTAATAGATTCGATCGTTAAGTGCTTCTGGTGTCACGTTTAGGTAATATCTCAAAAGAAAACAAGTACTTCAGTTTTCGTGCAGTGAGTGTTTTGGAAGACTCCGACGAGAATGTGATGCCTCATCTTGGGTAGTGAATACTACGGAGGATATTTTTACCACTGGATATGTAATGTGACATTTCAATGTTATCTAGTTTCAACAATCGAGCATTATGGCAGTTCATCAGTGGAGCAGGCGTGCAGCGGCCAAAGGTAAGAGGAAATCAGTTTCACTTTCATCTGGAGATCTGTCCCATCATCTAGCACAGACCGTGTGTATATTGTCTCTGATGAGTATGAAACAGACCTCCAGATATTACATGTTTCATTGGGTAATCAATGTCTTTTCACTCATCTATTCATCACTCTTGGGTTTTTCCCAAAATTAGTGAACATTTCAATATTTAAAAAATGAAATAATGTTTTAGATGTATGTAACTGTTCTATATATATATAGGCTTTGTACCAATGCTGAAAAAGCTTCATTGGGTATTTACTTGTGCTGTTTTTATACATTTGAGCTTTTCATTTAATACATACGTTTCTGTTTAAGTTAATTGAAAGTAACGGGGTTTCAAATATATTTTTGGTGGGTATTTTATCATGTTTATGCAAATACCCTGCTTACATAGCTCTGTGATATGTACTGATTCATTCGACATCCATTATATATACTCTGTGGTAGTAAATGAAGTCAGTTGTGAATATTAGTAACAATATCATTTTTGATGGCAATCAATCAGTGTCTGAATGATGTTAATTCTTGTAAATCACGGCAGTGATACAGAGATGTAAATGGACACAGGAATTAGATACAATAGGAGAAAACATGTCAGTGGAACATTTCCATACATGATCTTATATAACTCGCCAGTTTTAATAGAATTGGCTTATAAGTAATGGACATCAAATGAGAGAATTTTACGACAGAAGGATACATACAGTAGTATGGAGGCAAAATCTTGTTTCTAATTTCTGAGAGTTTTGGACATTCTAATAAAAAGTGCATTTCATCACATATCAAATTTTTACACAATGTACATTTTCTTTCCTCTCTCACAATATTATACCATCTTCCTGTGTCAAGATCTTGAAAATCGTATACTATATCTTAAATGGAAACAACACTCCAAGTTTGAAAGTCTTAAAATATGGATTGGGTTTTTCTTCGCTGATCCTTTCAACAAAGTATGTTGTTTTTACATAGACACTTCACGCCCAGATGTAGGTGTATTCCATCTGCTTTAGTAAATCTACATATATAAACTCTTGATCCCCAGCCGTGTCATACAAAAAGATGTTACAAGATGGTACTTGTTGTTACCCTGTCTGGCGCTCGGCATTAAGGGGCTTAAACAAGGACTGGTCGGCTCGGAGTCAGTATACTGTGTCTGAGTGGGGTATTCATGTTAAACTGCGGCATGGTATCTCAGTGAGCTAGCACTATAAATCGGCATCAGGCCGGACTAGTACAAGCAGCCACACACACACATACACGTGCATGCACGTCGCTATATAAGTGCAATAATCTTGGACGCGACGTTAAACCCAATTTCACCTCACCTCACCTCTGATGAATATGATACAGAGCTCCAGATATTACATGGTTCATTGGGTAACCACTTTTCACTCATCTATTCATCACTCTATTTTGTTTTTCTCCAAATTAGTGAACATTTAAGGGGCTAAAACAAGGACTGATCGGGTTGGAGTCAGTATACTGTGTCTGAGTGGGGTGTTCATGTTAAACTTCGGCATGGTATCTCAGTGTGCTAGCACTATAAACATGATAAATCGGCATCAGTCTGGGCTAGTACAAGCAAACACACACACACACATACACTCACATGTGCATGCACGTCGCAATATAAGTGCAATAATCTTGGACACGACGTTAATCCCAATTTCACCTCACCTTACCATAAACACTTGACAAATCCACTGTGCAAGACAACAGTGATTAATCAATCAATGTATTATCGCTTAGTCCTTTAATCGATGTTTTTAGCAACTCAACTCATTCCTTTCTTGCTGGGCTGCCACATGCATATTACATAACATGTAATACATTCACCACAGCAGACCTGGATTTATTACCCAATCTTAGATTGAATAATTACCCCAGACACAAGAAATGCCAAATGCAAACAACTGACTCCCATATATCCAGTGGCAGGGACCGCCTCCGTGGTCTAGTGGTAGAGCGGAAGGTCCGGGGTTCGATCCCCTGCCGCGTCATACTAAAAGATGGTACAAGTTGTTACCCTGTCTGGCGCTCGGCATTAAGGGGCTACAACAAGGACTGGTCGGCTCGGAGTCAGTATACTATGTCTGAGTGGGGTATTCATGTTAAAACTGCGGCATGGTATCTCAGTGAGCTAGCACTATAAATCGGCATCAGTCCGGACTAGTACAAGCAGCCACACAAACACACACACGTACATGCACATCGCTATATAAGTGCAATAATCTTGGACGCGACGTTAAACCCCATTTCACCTCACCCAGTGGCAAAGGTGACTGTTATTGAGTTATTTTAGTGGTACCAGACTCTCATAGGCTGTCGTCACAAAAATGTTGCTGAGAGGCGTTAAACAACAAACAACCTTTCTGAAGCTGATGAAATCTGACCTTTCAGAAATCTCATTAAAATCAGATCTTAGTTATCCCTATCGCAAAACAAAGATCTGAGGACATCCCATTATGGGTCACGTCAGAACGACCTTTCATCTGACCAATCAAAACATCACTTACCAAATCAGGATAGTGATAGTATGAATGTGTTTTCTAATCATGCAACCTCGAAAACGTTAACACAGTGTATTCCGAACGACAGTTTGACCCGTACGACTGATTCCGTCAAAATAATCGTCTATCTCTCGCTTCCGAAGGATAAACATTTGAACGAAGTACAGTACATGGGAAGCACTGCCATACAATAGCAACCATATATTAGACATTCCGGAATGTTCGTTTGTTCAGTTTTTCAAATTTTAATCGAGAACTGTGTCAACATATTTTTCAAGCGTGCTCTGAAATGGAAGTCGCCAGGTTGAAACAAGTAAAGCTCGAGAAAGCTGCTTTATAATTGGGTGATGTCGACTTCTTGTTAGCATGGTTAGTTCGTGTAAGGTCGTTCTGACGTGACCCGTAATGGGGTGTCCTCAGATCTTTGTTTAGCGGCAGCGAGAACTTAGATCTGATTTTAATGAGATTGACCTTTTGGCTTCTTGCCTAGATGTATATTTTGCGTTTACAAGATTTTGCTCTTTTTCATTTTAGGAGCTGATTGCAATAGAATTGAAGAAAAACAAGACAAAGGTTTTAGAAGGCCTTACCTTCTATAGAAAACAAACGTGAGTACAACCAGTGTCTCCACAGAAATGTTTATTTTGTTAGTTACGTTAGTGGAATCGAAGCATTAGTCATATAAACAGCAGTAAACAAATGTCATGTTGTTAACAAAAATACGGGAAAATATGGCAGGGTCCTGGAGTCATTGAGATTTGCAGATATGAGAATCCAGGGACTGCTGGGATAGACATGGCCACTTGTCATCCGAGGCTAGTAACAATCAAGACAGACCAGTTGTTTAGGCCAAAATCGAGTTATTTTTAACATAGCCACTAATCAGTCTTATTAAAATCAGATCTTTGTTCTAGCTACCGCTAAGCAAAGATCTGAGGACATCCCATTATTGGTCACATCAGAACGACCTTTCATCCGACCAATCAGAGCATTACTTACCATATCGGGAAAGTGACAGTTGGAATTTGTTTTATAATCATGAAACCTTGAAAAGGTTAACACGAGTATTCTGAACAACGGTTACAGACTGTATGACAGAATCTGTCATGATCATCGTCTATCTCTCGCCTTCAATAGGATAAACATTTGAACGGAAAAGACTTTCCATTTACCCATATAAAGAACTGCCATACAATATCAGCCATCTGTTTCACATACCAGAATGTACTTTTGTTCAAACTTTGTCAAAATATTTTCCAAAATGTAGTCTGGAATAAGAGTTGCCAGTTTGAGTGTGGAATACTGATGCAATAGTCTGGAATACTGATGCAATAGTCTGGACTACTGATGCAATAGTGTGGACTACTGTTGCAATAGTGTGGACTACTGTTGCAATAGTGTGGACTACTGTTGCAATAGTCTGGACTACTGATGCAATAGTCTGGACTACTGTTGCAATAGTCTGGACTACTGTTGCAATAGTGTGGACTACTGTTGCAATAGTCTGGACTACTGATGCAAAAGTGTGGACTACTGATGCAGTAGTGTGGACTACTGTTGCAATAGTGTGGACTACTGTTGCAATAGTGTGGACTACTGATGCAATAGTCTGGACTACTGTTGCAATAGTGTGGACTACTGTTGCAATAGTGTGGACTACTGTTGCAATAGTCTGGACTACTGATGCAATAGTCTGGACTACTGTTGCAATAGTGTGGACTACTGTTGCAATAGTGTGGACTACTGTTGCAATAGTCTGGACTACTGATGCAATAGTCTGGACTACTGTTGCAATAGTGTGGACTACTGTTGCAATAGTGTGGACTACTGTTGCAATAGTGTGGACTGCTGTTGCAATAGTCTGGACTACTGTTGCAATAGAATCACAAAAGTGAAAATATCCCCAGTAGTCACACTAACACATTAATCTTTCTTGTCCCACTGTGCTGTAACCATGGTAACTGGTGTTGCAGGAGCCCCACAGGAGAACAGCTGAAGAAGGAGAGGAAGGTGTCGGAGGCTCGACTCGAGTTCACACAGAAACTCAGCCGCTTCCTGGTGTGTATCCCACTGTTAGGGCAGACACACAGGGACTCACCTGGGTCTGTGTATTGACCAGCTCAGGCCACTCTCAGTTCCAATGTTGGGGGGTCACAGACATGAACATGATGAACATGGGTCTCTGATAACATGTGGCACAATATCTTACATTAACTATTGTGATGAAATAGAGTGTTAAGTTACCGAAGCAGACTTATTTTTCTCCTCTCTCAAAGACGGAAAGCAACTGATTTTGTTATATCTTAAATGTCCACAAAGTAATCCTTGCATAAATTTGTCACAACTCACCAGTGATGTGAAATATGATGTTTTGTCTCTTGAGTTTTTTTTATATTTGCTGAAAGTTACTTCTCCGATATTTTTCTATAATTGATCGTTATTTAGTTAAAGATTATCGATCTCTAAGATCTATATCGATAGCCAGCGCTATTTTACTGATGTACTTTTGAACATGCATAGAAGCCTTAAAGGACAACAACACTGCAACTTTGAAAGTATTGAAATATGGATGGCTGTTTTTTGTGTGAATTCAAACTTTGCTCATTATTGACTAGTCTCGACTGGTTTGACTTGTGTCCAGTGCTAACTGGCGTCCGGTGATTACCCTGGCTAATTAAAGCGGCAACGTCAAGACATAGAGTTGGAGTATTGTGGCCCTTTAAGCCTATTGTAGATGGTTATTTCAAAGTTTTATGAAAATCAACTATTGATACAGACTGTTCCACACCAATTAAAATCAGATGTTTTACACTGATATGACACTTCTCTGCGTGAGGGGTGGTGGGGTAGCATAGTGGTTAAAGTGTTCGCTCATCACATTGAAGACTCGGGTTCGTTTCCCCACATGGGTACAATGGGTGAAGCCCATTTCTGGTGTCCCCTGCCATGATTTAACTGGAATGTTGCTAAAAGCGGCGTAAAACAATACTCACTCACTTTCTGCGTGAAGCTCTGACAGTACTGGTTTAGGGGTGGAAATCATGCAGATGTTTAATGTTTGAGTCTAGAAGACCTCGACCACTGATGTGTCTGTTGTTTCCAGGGCCTGGATGAGGTTCAGAGCTATGACCTCCTCATTTCCTTCCTTGCCAACGACTTCCGCGGCTCCAAGAAAAACCTGCAGGTGACCACAGCGTAATTCTTGCACTCCCTAATTATGTGGTAGAGTAGTTTAGTCCAATCCAGTCACCTCTGGATTTAACAAAGATGAATGAAAAGTAGACCTCAGTGTTTTCATTAACAACTTGCAAAGCCATGTATGACTCCCAGCGTAGTGCCTGCTGTCACACTATCAAGTGTCTGGGAGCCAGATGAAACAATACAGACACAGAGGAAAACTCGCGAGTGCACAGACACAGACACAGACGCACACACACAGACGCACACACACACACACACAGACGCACACACACACACACACACACACACACTTAGCGCACACACACACATACAGAGAGATGCACACAGCTGCACACTAAACACGCACACAAAACACACAATTAAGCACATGCACTAAGCACACACACATACAGAGAGATGCACACAGCTACACACTAAACACACACAAAACACACTTAGCACACACACATACAGAGAGAAGCACGCAGCTACGCACATACACAAACACACCACACACACAAATAGTGCTAGTTTTATGCTTCTCTCTAAAGGTATAGATAGAACTACGTAGTATTTTGAATGCCTTTACAGAAAATAAAGGAGTTGTTATCCATAAATTGTGTCAACTTTGTCAACCGTCAGCTTCTAAGTAATACATGTGTCAGTTGGCATGCTGGTAGCACTTTGTGTATTAATGCCACAGTGTACATTAATGGTGTGAGGCCACAGCAGTCTTCACATTCATGGGCACAGAGCAGTTGGAACTCTTCACTTTTATCTATTGGTGCGATTGGAAAGATAATCATGTTGCCAAGAGGATGGATAAATATTGATGTCGCAGAATGTAACTTTGTTTCATCCCTGAACTCTTGCAGCAAGTATTTGGTCATGAGCGCCACGCCCAGGCGCTGATCATGAAGATCCGAGACTACTACTTCACGGAGAGGCTGTACCTTCTGAAGTGTCTCCACCAGGTCCTCAACTTCTGGCCCGACACACAACACCCGTACAAGGTGAGTCATGTGTCCACAACACCCGTACAAGGTGTGAGTCATGTGTCAACAACACCCGTACAAGGTGAGTCATGTGTCCACAACACCCATACAAGGTGTGAGTCATGTGTCCACAACACCCGTACAAGGTGTGAGTCATGTGTCCACAACACCCGTACAAGGTGTGAGTCATGTGTCCACAACACCCATACAAGGTGTGAGTCATGTGTCCACAACACCCGTACAAGGTGAGTCATGTGTCCACAACACCCGTACAAGGTGTGAGTCATGTGTCCACAACACCCGTACAAGGTGTGAGTCATGTGTCCACAACACCCGTACAAGGTGTGAGTCATGTGTCCACAACACCCATACAAGGTGTGAGTCATGTGTCCACAACACCCGTACAAGGTGAGTCATGTGTCCACAACACCCGTACAAGGTGTGAGTCATGTGTCCACAACACCCGTACAAGGTGTGAGTCATGTGTCCACAACACCCGTACAAGGTGTGAGTCATGTGTCCACAACACCCATACAAGGTGTGAGTCATGTGTCCCCAACACCCGTACAAGGTGAGTCATGTGTCCACAACACCCGTACAAGGTGTGAGTCATGTGTCCACAACACCCGTACAAGGTGTGAGTCATGTGTCCACAACACCCATACAAGGTGTGAGTCATGTGTCCACAACACCCGTACAAGGTGAGTCATGTGTCCACAACACCCGTACAAGGTGTGAGTCATGTGTCCACAACACCCGTACAAGGTGTGAGTCATGTGTCCACAACACCCGTACAAGGTGTGAGTCATGTGTCCACAACACCCGTACAAGGTGAGTCATGTGTCCACAACACCCATACAAGGTGTGAGTCATGTGTCCACAACACCCGTACAAGGTGTGAGTCATGTGTCAACAACACCCGTACAAGGTGTGAGTCATGTGTCCACAACACCCGTACAAGGTGTGAGTCATGTGTCCACAACACCCGTACAAGGTGTGAGTCATGTGTCCACAACACCCGTACAAGGTGTGAGTCATGTGTCCACAACACCCGTACAAGGTGTGAGTCATGTGTCCACAGCACCTGTCCAAGGTGTCATGTGTCGACACAGCACCTGTACAAGGTGAGTCATGTGTTGAGACAACACCTGTACAAGGTGAGTCATGTGTCGACACGACACCCATACAAGGTGAGTCACCTGTGAGACAACACCTGTACAAGGTGAGTCATGTGTCGACACAACACCCGTACAAGGTGAGTCATGTGTCCACAACACCCGTACAAGGTGTGAGTCATGTGTCCACAACACCCGTACAAGGTGTGAGTCATGTATCCACAACACCCATACAAGGTGTGAGTCATGTGTCCACAACACCCGTACAAGGTGTGAGTCATGTGTCCACAACACCCGTACAAGGTGTGAGTCATGTGTCCACAACACCCGTACAAGGTGTGAGTCATGTGTCCACAACACCCATACAAGGTGTGAGTCATGTGTCCACAACACCCGTACAAGGTGAGTCATGTGTCCACAACACCCGTACAAGGTGTGAGTCATGTGTCCCCAACACCCGTACAAGGTGTGAGTCATGTGTCCACAACACCCGTACAAGGTGTGAGTCATGTGTCCACAACACCCGTACAAGGTGAGTCATGTGTCCACAACACCCATACAAGGTGTGAGTCATGTGTCCACAACACCCGTACAAGGTGTGAGTCATGTTTCCACAACACCCGTACAAGGTGTGAGTCATGTGTCCACAACACCCGTACAAGGTGTGAGTCATGTGTCCACAACACCCGTACAAGGTGTGAGTCATGTGTCCACAACACCCGTACAAGGTGTGAGTCATGTGTCCACAACACCCGTACAAGGTGTGAGTCATGTGTCCACAACACCCGTACAAGGTGTGAGTCATGTGTCCACAACACCCGTACAAGGTGTGAGTCATGTGTCCACAACACCTGTCCAAGGTGTCATGTGTCGACACAGCACCTGTACAAGGTGAGTCATGTGTCGACACGACACCGATACAAGGTGAGTCACCTGTGAGACAACACCTGTACAAGGTGTGAGTCATGTGTTGAGACAACACCTGTACAAGGTGTGAGTCATGTGTCCACAACACCTGTCCAAGGTGTCATGTGTCGACACAACACCCATACAAGGTGCGAGTCATGTGTCGACAACACCTGTACAAAGTACATTGCCTGTAAAAGTTTTGTTTGTGACAAAATGAATTAAGATATTGAGAAATATCATTTATTGGATAAAACCAGCTGATAAACTTGGTGTCACGATTGTCCCGGGAATGTTTTGTTCATTCAACTCTGTGTTTACATCTTGTCTTACTTGCCCTGTGTTTACATCTTGACTTACTTGTCCTGTGTTTACATATTGATTTACGTGCCCTGTGTTTACATCTTGAGTTACTTGCCCTGTGTTTACATCTTGACTTACATTCCCTGTGTTTACATCTTGACTTACATTCCCTGTGTTTACATCTTGTCTTACTTGCCCTGTGTTTACATCTTGAGTTACTTCCTCTGTGTTTATGTCTTGAGTTACTTGCCCTGTGTTTACATCTTGACTTACTTGCCCTGTGTTTACGTCTTGTCTTACTTTTCCTGTGTTTACATCTTGAGTTACTTGCACAACTGTGTACAAGGTGTGCCGGTGTCACGATTGTCCCGGGAATGTTTTGTTCATTCAACTCTGTGTTTACATCTTGTCTTACTTGCCCTGTGTTTACATCTTGACTTACTTGTCCTGTGTTTACATATTGATTTACGTGCCCTGTGTTTACATCTTGAGTTACTTGCCCTGTGTTTACATCTTGACTTACATTCCCTGTGTTTACATCTTGACTTACATTCCCTGTGTTTACATCTTGTCTTACTTTTCCTGTGTTTACATCTTGAGTTACTTCCTCTGTGTTTATGTCTTGAGTTACTTGCCCTGTGTTTACATCTTGACTTACTTGCCCTGTGTTTACATCTTGTCTTACTTTTCCTGTGTTTACATCTTGAGTTACTTGCCCTGTGTTTACATCTTGTCTTACTTGCCCTGTGTTTACATCTTGACATACTTGCCCTGTGTTTACATCTTGACTTACTTGCCCTGTGTTTACATCTTGACTGACTTGCCCTGTGTTTACATCTTGTCTTACTTGCCCTGTGTTTACATCTTGACTTACTTGACCTCTGTTTTCATCTTGACGTACTTGCCCAGTGTTTACTTATTGATTTACTTGCCCTGTGTTTACATATTGATTTACTTGCCCTGTGTTTACATCTTGACTTACTTGACCTGTGTTTACATCTTGAGTTACTTGCCCTGTGTTTACATCTGGACTTACTTGCCCTGTGTTTACATCTTGACTTACATTCCCTGTGTTTACATCTTGTCTTACTTTTCCTGTGTTTACATCTTGAGTTACTTGCCCTGTGTTTACATCTGGACTTACTTACCCTGTGTTTGCATATTGATTTACTTGCCCTGTGTTTACATCTTGTCTTACTTGCCCTGTGTTTACATATTGAGTTACTTGCCCTGTGTTTTCATCTTGACTTACATTCCCTGTGTTTACATCTTGAGTTACTTGCCCTGTGTTTACATCTTGACTTACTTGCCCTGTGTTTACATCTTGAGTTACTTGCCCTGTGTTTACATCTTGACGTACTTGCCCAGTGTTTACATATTGATTTACTTGCCCTGTGTTTACATCTTGTCTTACTTGCCCTGTGTTTACATATTGATTTACGTGCCCTGTGTTTACATCTTGTCTTACTTTCCCTGTTTACATATTGATTCACTTGCCCTGTGTTTACATCTTGACTTACTTTCCCTGTTTACATATTGATTTACTTGCCCTGTGTTTACATCTTGACTTACTTGCCCTGTGTTTACATCTTGACTTACTTGCCCTGTGTTTACATCTTGACGTACTTGCCCAGTGTTTACATATTGATTTACTTGCCCTGTGTTTACATCTTGACTTACTTGCCCTGTGTTTACATCTTGACGTACTTGCCCTGTGTGTACATCTTGACTTACTTGCCCTGTGTGTACATCTTGACTTACTTGCCCTGTGTTTACATCTTGACTTACTTGCCCTGTGTTTACATCTTGACTTACTTGCCCTGTGTTTACATCTTGACTTACTTTCTCTGTGTTTACATCTTGTTTTACTTTCCCTGTTTACATCTTGACATACTTGCCCTGTGTTGCTGCAGGAGGCGTACAGCCAGTTCCTGAATGACCTGCTGGACAACTACCAGCTCACAGAGAAGGTGAGAGTTGTGGCCCTTGGTTGTGCCAGTATCCACTGATCCAAGATTTGGCTCGTAATATTGGGCGAATAACAGGGAGTGTCCCTGTCTTCCATACCTTGTAAACCATAATGCAAATCTTCAACAATATGTATTGTGGTTCAATCTATATTGCGAAAATACTATGTAAGAGTATTTCTTGGGTTATATCAGTAATGAAATACATTAAATCTACCTAGTACAGCAGATGTTGGCTGAATAAGTACATATTGCTATTTGTCACTGTGTTACCTTCCTTGGTTACGTTACAATTAGCATCACAATGGTTACAAATGGCAGACAGGCCAGATGAGATACGAGATCGTTCCCATCAAAAAGTGTCGCAATATATCATGTATATTGCAATTACAAAATTGAAGCACATACACTGTTCTACCTGTTACATATGCACTATACTCTCTTTCTTTATCGGGACTATTCTGAAGTTTGTGTGTAACACGTCTCTCAGGTTTGCCTTTTCATTTCAGCTGTTGTCTCAGTTCTCCGATGTGTGTAAAGCTCAGATGCCGACCTGGGAGACTCACGGACCCCTGATGGTGAGTTGTAGTCATTCTGCTTCAACGGACCACTGATGGTGAGTTGTAGTCATTCTGCTTCAACGGACCACTGATGGTGAGTTGTAGTCATTCTGCTTCAACGGACCACTGATGGTGAGTTGTAGTCATTCTGCTTCAACGGACCCCTGATGGTGAGTTGTAGTCATTCTGCTTCAACAGACCACTGATGGTGAGTTGTAGTCATTCTGCTTCAACGGACCACTGATGGTGAGTTGTAGTCATTCTGCTTCAACTGACCACTGATGGTGAGTTGTAGTCATTCTGCTTCAACGGACCACTGATGGTGAGTTGTAGTCATTCTGCTTCAACTGACCACTGATGGTGAGTTGTAGTCATTCTGCTTCAACTGACCACTGATGGTGAGTTGTAGTCATTCTGCTTCAACTGACCACTGATGGTGAGTTGTAGTCATTCTGCTTGATGGACACGCCTACCAATAAAAAACAGCAGAGAGCATCCAAACTAGGGCTGGGATGAGTCCAAATTTACTACCCGGGTACCTTATCCCCTATTACCCGACCCTACACGAGTACCTGCTATAGGTCACATGAGATAGGTACAAAATGTCCGATTGGGAAACGTTTAACTATACTCCTGTCAAAATGTTTTTGGATACACGTATAAACCGATCCTGTCATGCATACGCTGAAGTTGACTGAAGTTTTATCTTTATGCAAAATATAACGTTAGAAGGAATGTGTGCACAGGCATAAAGAAATGTGAACCTGGGTCACTTATAGTGTTGCCACAGAGTTCTAGATAATTTTTGCCATTAAACAATATAATGACGTGACTAACCATGGGTCCGGGTTGTCCTGTGGGTACCCAGGTCCTGCTGAGTACCCACCCGAGTTACCCGTCCCAGTCCTCATCCAAAATAGGGAGGTGCACACTTTGAATGGAAATAGCCACAAAAATTCCAAACAAGACACAATCGCCATAACGTGTGCCTCATAATGATTATAACCTGCCACATTTTCAATGGAGACAGGGGGCACGAGTGGCCCAGTCGTCTAAGGCGCCGCGATTCGCTATGCAGAGTTGCATCCCTTGGGCACGCCAGAAACCTGTGATTGTGGGTTCGAATCCCGGTTCGACCCAATTATGTTTCTAGGTTTGTCAGCACCATACCAATGCTTGTGGGTTTCACCGAAGTGGTAAACGCCTGAGACCTGCATCACTTCGGGCTTTCCACCTACATTAAGCTGACACGCCGTGATATAACTGGAATACTGTTAAAAGCGGCGTTAATCCCAACTCACTCACTCACTCAATGGAGACCGCAACAAACGGAATGCGTGCACACGAGGTTTGCTGTGGTCAACATGATGTACTGTGTTTGGTGCCAGTGAAAATATGGCAGTTTTTAGTCATTATGATGCACACTTTATGGAATATGGAATAATGTGTCTGTTTCTATTTAAAGTGTCTACAAATTCCATAGTTTGGCTGCTCTCTGCTGGTTTTTATTGGTTGGCATGAAGTAGTGGGTTGTTTATGGCAGGATTTTGTCAAAATTGTGCACTTTGGGTTAAACATGTTAAAGGCACCAAACTTGGCACACTTATACACTGAACCACTCCGATCATTTCTGGATATGGATCCACCTCAGCAGCGCCCCTGGTGATAGACAATCCAAGATGGCCGCCGACATTGCTGAAATCTCTATGATGACAATCTTTACATAATATATCATAAACATATGGTCAATCTTAGTAATTTATTCAGGATTAGTTGATGAATGGAAAAAAATTATGTGATTCATAAAGCCATTTTCATTTTGCATTTCTTTATGTCCACTGTGTCCTGATCATTGCTGATTTGTTACCAACATTCTCTGAATCATGCATCAGCAACCAATACTTACTGTAAGAGGCGACTGCTGGTAGTAAGATGCGACTGACGGGATCGGGTGGTCAGGCTCGCTGACTTGGTTGATGCATGTCATTGTATCCCAATTGTGTGGTCCGATTCTCATGATGTCAATCACTGTATTGTCTGGTCCAGACTCGATTATTTACAGATCGCCATCATTTAGCTGGAATATTCCTGAGTCCGGCGTTAAACAACAAACAAACAAACAAACAAACAAACAAACAAACAAACACTGAATCATGTGCTAAGTCTCTGTTGAATCAAGTGCAAGCTGTTGAATCTTGTTTCAGACGGACCATCAATCTCAGGCATGGGTACACCAGAATCTGAAAGAACAGGTGGGTGACCTTGGGAACAGAAGGTCAGGCAGTCAGACGTGAAACATCAGGACCGCCAGTGTTGCACTGTTTAAGTTGTGCCCAAATTTCACTACTGAAAAACTACAGTGGAAAAGCTTGGAGTTTTAAATTTTTTCATGGCTTATTTTGGTAAATCGCTTCCACTGGCGAGAAGTATTTGTTCAAAAATCCAAAAGGATGGGTGGTGATTTCGGGTTAGAATGATGGTCGTAAGAAGTGATTTCATGGATCAGGTGTGACTTTGTGAGTTAATGGTGTGTCAACGTTACCCTGACGGCCTGGATTGTTACTAAAATCATGATAATATCAATCACTGGATTGTCTTGTCCAGACACGATTGTTCACAGGCGCCATCATGTAACTGGAATACAGCTGAGTTTGGAGTTAAACAACAGATGTGTGCAAAAGGACAAAGTAGTGTAGTCATATTTGCTCTGTCTGCCTATGATGTACAAAACTCAAATTATGTGTCATGTTGCATATTTTTGGAGTTTTTCAAGGCAAATTAATATCTGTGATAAAGTCGGGTGTACTGGTTACCTCCCAGGAATGTTCATTAACATTATTACCATGGTTACAGTGGTCAAAATCTCATTTACTAGTTCTTGGGACCTTCAAAAGATTTTGAGTTATCCAAAGTTTTGTGTTAAGCATAAATTACATCATAAAGCCCAGAATAATTTTGTAGGCGTCATAAGGCTAAAAAAAATAATAGACTTGTCTTCTCAGGCACCACCCGCATCATCATAAAGTCTGCTGCATGTTTCGTTTTTGTTTCTATTTCTCCTCTCTCTCTCTTCCCCCCAAAAATCTTTAAGTATATTTGATGTCTCTAACACACAACCCTGGCAGTTAAATAGAGAATCTCACCCAAGTGTCTTTTGATATCAAATATATCAACACGAGTTAATAAAAGTGGGAAAACTCTGAGGCTTTCCGAGGATTTTTTCCACTTTTATCAACAAGTGTTGATATATTTGATATCAAAAGACACGAGGGTGAGATTTTATTTATCATCCAACATCATTCTTCCAACTTTTTCAGTTTGTAGAAAGTTATAAGCAGTGTCTTAAGTGTAAAAAGCACTACTAACAGCTTCAGTAGCAGAGCCATTAGTGATGTCATTTGATTGTGACGTCATGGTAACCAATGATGTCACAATGGTCTGCAAAGCATTGTGATGCAATTTCATTGCAGCGATATCTACAGTATAGATATCGCTTGATCTCACCCAAGCGATATCTCCTGTGGGAGCCAGTTTTGGATGATAAATACTACAATACTCCAGAACAACATGATTTCCCCGAAATTATTGTAAACAAAATTTGGTTACTTACTAGCTTGAACAAAATAAAAAGCAAAAACACTGCCTGCCCGCGCAATAATTTCAATTCCTTTGCCTGAGCCACCCGTGAAGATTCTAGGGTAGAATAGGTCTTCAGCAACCCATGCTTGTTGTACAAGGCGACTAACGGGATCGGTTGGTCAGGCTCGCTGACTTGGTGGATGCACGTCATCAATCCCAATTGCGTGGATTGATGCTCATGATATTAACCACTGGATTGTCTGGTCCAGACTCGATTATTTACAGACCGCCGTCATATAGCTGGAATATAGCTGAGTGCGGCGTTAAACAACAAACCAACCAACCAACCATTGCCTGAGCGCCAATTCTATTATTTTTTTGAAGCCTAAGCAAGATTGTCCTTACGATAAATGGTGTTGTGAAAGGCATCTGCTGAGATATCTGCTGACAGATTACACCGTGAGGCCAATGATAATTATTATTTGTGTTTCAGTGTGAACTGCTTGAGCTGCTGCTACTTTACTTCAAAGACTTTGAGACGAATGAAAAAGGTTTTGTGGATCTCCTGGAGAAATTCAAGGTTTGCATCATTACATGCTGCATCCGACTTTAGCCACTTGTCCAAGTCTGAGTTTAGTCATATTATTGTCTCTCTAGTAAGCTCAGCTAATAATAATCTGACTTGTGAAGATTCGGGGTAGAATAGATCTTCAGCAACCCATGCTTGCCATAAAAAGCGACTATGCTTGTCGTAAGAGGCGACTAACGGGATCGGGTGGTCAGGCTCGCTGACTTGGTTGATGCTTGTCATCGATTCCAGTTGTGTGGATCAACGGTCATGATGTCAATCACTGGATTGTCTGGTCCAGACTCGATTGTTTACAGAGTGCCGTCATATAGCTGGAATATTGCTGAGTGTCGCGTTAAACAACAAAGAAATAATAATAATAATCTACATAATAACACTTAAGAGTCAAGTTCGGGCTAGTTGTCTCAAACGTTTTTGGCACCAACACACGATTGTTCTTTGTGGGCTTTGTGTGATGGAAGTGGACACAGCTGGTCCAGTCACCCAAGCCACCGCAATGTGCTGTTCAGAGTTGTGTCCCGAAAGCCCATCTGAACCTTATGATCAGGAGTTTGAATCCCAGATTCGCCACGATCTGGATTCATGGTGTTTCAACACCAAGGCCATGCTCGTGGGTTTCACCAAGGTCAATGACCTGCATAACTTTCCACCCGAATTGTACTGATACTAGTCTGCACCATGAGCTACTAGTTTGAAGCCTGTGTCTAGTAAGGTGCTGTTCGGTCTATTAAGCTAATAATAGTCCGCATAATAACTCTAAATTTGTACTGAAAATGATGCAGAGAGCCAAGTTCAGGCAAGTAGTCTCAAATGTTTTTGAGACTGAAAAACTACTCTCACTCACTCACTCACTCACTCACTCACTCACTCACTCACTCACTCACTCACTCATCTCACTAATCTGGGCCAGTTACTCACTCACTCACTCACTCACTCTTGTCTCATTTCTAGTCTGTCTGTTTCAGGGTCATGGGTTCGGGTACCTGCAGAGCTACAAACATGCACTGGGGAAAGCTGATGAGAAAATAGTCAAAAGAATAGGGTAAGATATCTTCCCTTTTTGTATGTGGTCGTTGCAGGCCTCGAGTCACGGTAGTTTGCGCATCTAGTGTCATTTGTTTGTGAATGTTTGAAATTAACGTGATTAAGCGCCAGTATTTTGAGGTCCCTTACTTATGTTAATGTTATGTAACAGTAAATCTAGGTGTTTTAGCCTGTTCGAAAGATTTAAATCGGCCATGTCTGCTACAAAATTCCCAATTTTTTCAAATATATGAATGATTGCTGTTATTATTACATTTCAACTTATTTCAACTTGTTAAAACATTGCAATTTTGAACCAAAAAAATTTTTCTTTCAATTTGACTGCCAACAAAGCCAAGGGCCCAATTGCGTGGATCGATGCTCATGATGTCAATCACTGGGTTGTCTGGTCCACACTCAATTATTTACAGACTGCCGTCATATCACTGGAATATTGCTGAGTGTGGCGTTTGACAACAAACAAACTTAGTTTGGAATCCCAGAAAAATTCCTGAAACCTTCCTAATTTTATGCATATTTATTATATGTTGCTGTTTTATATGACCATCACCTTGTTGCTGATGTCCCCTCGTGTTTAGACATTGGTCATCAAGCGGGCTGTTTAACGTCTCCTAGTGTGCAGTCATCATGTATGGGTAAATGTCTGTCCACTATTGTCCAGATACCTGGAGATGCTCATCCTGCTGGACCTCATGGACTTCACCACCGCCGCCAAGTGTCGGGAGGACAACAAGTGAGTCATCCGTTACCATGGCAACCCAACAGGATTTTAGTGAAAACGATTGTCCTTCTCTTGTGCTCTTCAACTCCCCCCCCCCCATCTGTAAACTGTGTATGATCATAAGAAATGTCCTGCTCAAACCCTTTACAACCCATGGGTAATTATTACACTCTAAGGAGATGGGGAAAGATGTGCGACCTGGTAGACTTAAGAGTTTTTACTACACACTGCTGTTCAGGAGTCAAAATGTGTTTGTGTGAAGCTTTGAATCAGAAAACTGTTGAGGTTTCTTCTCAATCTAGCTATCGCTACACAAGATCAGAGGATATCCCATTTCAGGTCACGCCAGCAAGACCTTTCATTCAAATAATCATTGCGTCATTTACAAGAAAACGTAAGTCTGAATGTGTTTTCTTATCATGCAAAGGTTAACACGGGGCATTTTGTACGACGGTTCCGGGTTGAGCGACTGATTCTAAATGCTGAACAAGTGGCATTTTCTTTTTCTCGCTACAATGGGATACACATTTGAAATGGAAGACTTTCCATAGCTTGTGGAAATTGCTGACATACCATCTTGGTCAAAAGAATTTTCTTCAGTTCAGTTTTCAAAATTTGTCAAAATATTTTTCAGATGTGTGGAATGGAACTCCATATTGAAACTAGTGTCGTAAAGCTCGAGATAGCTGCTTTCTTATTGGCTAATGTTGTCTTCCAGTTAGTCATTTCATTGGTCGGTCAAAGTTCGCGAATGTAATTCTGTCGTGACATGCAATGGGACGTCATGAGATCTTTGTTAAGTGGGAGTGAGATCTGATTTAATGAGATTGGGTATTCAACTCTGTTTGAAATTTCTAGTAAACATTCAGTTGGTTTATCTCAATGCAGTGGTCCCTCCTTATTGCGCTCTTCGATGTAGCGCTAACTCAATACTAGCATGTCAGTGTCAATGTAAGCGTGAAGTCTTCAGTAATACCAGAACTGTGTTCCCACTGTCTCTTGAAACTGACAGTCCTGGGCCCACTTGCACAAAGCGATCTTAACGCTAAGATGATCGTAACTCCCATACTTTAACATAGGCTTACAATAGTCGTAGCGCTAAGATCGCTTTATGCAAGTGGGCCCTGGTGGACTGTCAATTCTAAAAATGACCGACCAATGAAATGACTGACAAGAAATCGGCATTGGCCAATCAGAAGGCAGCTTTCTCGAGCTTTACGACACTTGTTTCAAACTGGCGACTACGCTTCGAAACATATTTTGACGTATTCTCGATTAAAAAATTTAAAACAGATAAGAAGAACATTCAGGAATGGCTTATAGATGGCACAGATTGCAGGGATATAATCATAAAACCTGTAACTGTCGTTCGGAATACCCCGTGTTAAATATATCGTGGTTTCATGATAAGAAAAAACATTCCGACTGTCACTTTCATGATCTGGTAAGTGACGCTCTGATTGGTTGGTGAAAGGTCGTTCTGACGTGACCCCTAATGGGATGTCCTCAGATCTTTGTTTGGCGATAGCGAGAACTAAGATCTGATTTTAATGAGATTGAAATCTGAAATCAGTGATGTTATGTATGATTAGACTGAAGGGTTGGAATGGTGTTAAGAATCAAGCCCATCCCGTCAACACAAACCAAACAGGTCTATATGAAACCACTGATCTCACTTATCAGTTATATTTTTCTTTCAGCTTTGATGAGCACCTTCTCCTCAGTAAGAAAGACACTTTTAACGTGAGTTTCTCCTGTTATTTGATATGCTGCTAGTTTTTAATTTTCATTTCGTGAACATACAGTAATAAAGTAGACAGACACAGGTTCTTCATGTACACTTGTATTCATCATACACCTCCTGCACTCACACGTCTTGTCACTCAACTGCAATCTGAAGCAAACCAAGATGGCTGCCGTAAAGTCATTCCCAAGGCGTAGAGGGCAGTTTCGTATTCAAGGGGAAATTTCGTATCCACATATTATAAACCTATTCATTGGGATCGCTATTAAGTAAGAGACTTCTTTCTATAGGCATTAAAACCTATTGTGAGGTTTTACTTTCCAGTCAGGTTAAATCTCATAAACAGGGACGTTGTAATGTCCCTGGGATTTTATATAATATCCCAGGGATTTTATATAATGTCCTGGGTATTTTATTAATATAACTTCCGTTCAGATTGTAACATGTAATGAAATGTAAAATCAAATGACAAATGTTTTCTTTATATTCCCGAGGATCGAACTCGCAACCTTCATATCTGTAGCCCGGTGAGTGTACCACGAGGCTACAGAGGTGTTGATAAGCCTCACTGGTTTTTAGAATGTCCTTTTCAAGATCCGTACGCCAGCAACAGATATTTTACGCACGTTTCCTAAGGTTCATGGAAAGTATGATCGAAACATAAAAATGTTGATAAATGTTGTTTTAAGTTTCTTTTATCGGTTTATAAGCATGGAAAAACACTTTCCCTCGGATTTGGTAGACAGAGAATGGCTTCGCCCCCTTGGTTTTTCCCTCTCCCCAGGGCATGCTCTTTCTACCAAAACCCCGTGAGCATGTTTTCTCCAATACTTAACATACATAAGGCGAGAAGGTAACAGAATGTTCCGACTTTATACAAAGAAGATCGGCCATGTCTTTGGTTTCTCTCACCGCTGTTAATATTTCTAAAGAGTTTCTAGGGCTTCGGTCTTGCCCCACACTGAAGCACATGTAACACATGTGTCGTCGCCTTGGACTTTGTTCGAAATGTACCTCTGTTCACCAAGCAGTGACTAGGTACCGGTACCCGATAGGATTATATGGCAACGTGGCTGTTAACCTTCTAGCACCTAAAAGGCAGCTTAGCGTGTATACTCCCCTGAGAGATGAGAATGTTTCTTGAGTAATAATAGCGCTTTGAGCATGCCCCTGAGTAATGTGGAAATACGCGCAAATTAAATGACCTATTATTATTATTATTATTATTATTATTATTATTATTATTATTTTATTATTATTAACACAGCTTCAGAGACAGGGAACTCAATCTTTGCACGTTCACAGGTTCTTTGACAAAGTACATTTTCAGTCAATAGATAAATGGTTTGGGAGCAAGGGGTATTGTTACGAATTGATTTCCAAATTAAAACGCAAAGGTTAAATCAGAAATCTGTTCTTACAGAAAATATGTAGTGAAATGAGTAAATTCCAACTCAAGAATAATGAGTTATAAAATGTCCAAGATGTTTCCTGATTTGCATTCTAACAGGGCTTTTGAAGCCAGTGTAAAATCAGCATCAGATTCTAATTATTATAGGAGTGAGTCGTAGCTATCACCAAGAGAACCATAGACACATATAGAGAAGTATATACGTTAAGAAGAGATGTTTCCAAAGTGTACCAATCAATGATAAAATTAACAATCAGTCAAGTGTTACCACAGTGTGTCTTTATTCTTATCAGACTGCCCTGTGGTCTAGTGGTTGAGCATCTGCCCGGAGAGCGGAAGGAACATGGTTCGATCCCCGGCCACGTCATACCAAAAGACGTTAAAAGATGGTACTTGTTGTTACCCTGTCTGGCGCTCGGCATTAATGGGCTTAAACAAGGACTGGTCGGCTCGGAGTCAGTATACTGTGTCTGAGTGGGGTATTCATGTTAAACTGCGGCATGGTATCTCAGTGAGCTAGCACTATAAATCGGCATCAGTCCGGACTAGTACAAGCAGCCACACACGCACAATCTTTGACGCGACGTTAAACCCAATTTCACCTCACCTTCACCTCTTGAATATGAGTAATTCTTCATATATTAACCAATACGTATGATATTCGCGTATCTTTTGTCGTTGAGTATAGTAGCAGCCCATAGATGATGGAGAGGAAAAGCTGAGAAGAACATCAGATAGAGCTAACTGGTACCCTTGTTTTTTGTGTGTAGAAAGTCAACAAGATATTTGAGCATCTGGGTTGCGAGCGGCAGGTGGCGCCACTGTTGTTAGGATGGGCCGTTCTCCGCCAGTTGTATGTTGACGAAGATGAAGGCGCCATGGCAACCAGGAAGTTGGGCAACATGGCGTTGCAGTTGGGTGTGTTTGACTATACACTCGACCTACTGAAAGTGGAGCCGTTCAATGGCAGCATGGTACGTTGTAGTGGTATTGTGTTCTGTTCGAATCGAAATGTCCAAGCAATACAAGATATTTCCATCTAACACAAACAAGTTTGCCCCTATGCTAATTGAATATTTGTCTGGGTGCCATTGTACAAAACAACCTTAGCTCTACGACTGTCGTAAGTCTATGTAAAGGTGTGGGAGTTGCGTTCACCTTAGTGCTAAGATCGCTCTGTACACGGCACGGCACCCTGGACAGTAAGATCGATCTTGTGACTGCTGTCGGCCCTCCCAACATGCTTCTTGCAAGACAGTGACTGACCAATCAGATAGCTAGAGACCCGTGAAGATCCGGTTAGAATATGTCTTCAGCAACCCATTCTTGCCGTAAAGGCAACTGTGCTTGTCGTAAGAGGCGACCAATGGAATCGGGTGGTCAGGTTCCCTGTCTTGGTTGATGCATGTCATTGTATTCCAATTGCGTGGATGGATGCTCATGATGTAAATCACAGGATTGTCTGGTCCAGACATGATTATTTTCAGACCGCCCTCATAGAGCTGGAATATTGCTGAGTGGGGCGTTAAACAACAAATAAACAAACAAACAGAATGCTAGATCCTTCGCATGTAAAGATAAAGTGTAAATGTTTATGTGTTGATGCTGATGTTGCAGATTATCGCCTCCTTCGCGCGTCTCATCGTCTACTCCCTGATGTTTGTCACGCTCAGTTTGTTTGATGAGGAGACACTGGGGAACCCTGAGGTATTGATGTTACTTGCTGTGTAGAGTTACAGCCCTTTGTATCTAGCATGTCTAGGTCACAGTTTCAAATCCCATATTTGCCCTGATTATGTTTGTTGTCTCTCTGCACCATCCATCCCGATGCTCATTGGTTTGCCAAAGTACTACACACCTAGGAGTTGTGTCACTCTTACACCTGTCACAATTCACCCACATGACTGTATCCCAATTGCGTGGATCGATGCTCATGATAATTAAGGGCATGCTACGGAGACAGGGGTACCCTACTTAAGGGCATGCTACGGAGACAGGGGTACCCTACTTAAGGGCATGCTACGGAGACAGGGGTACCCTACTTAAGGGCATGCTACATAGACAGGGGTACCCTACGTAGACAGGGGTACCCTACTTAAGGGCATGCTACGGAGACAGGGGTACCCTACTTAAGGGCATGCTACGGAGACAGGGGTACCCTACTTAAGGGCATGCTACGGAGACATGGGTACCCTACTTAAGGGCATGCTACATAGACAGGGGTACCCTACTTAAGGGCATGCTACGGAGACAGGGTACCCTACTTAAGGGCATGCTACATAGACAGGGGTACCCTACTTAAGGGCATGCTACATAGACAGGGGTACCCTACGTAGACAGGGGTACCCTACTTAAGGGCATGCTACGTAGACAGGGATACCCTACTTAAGGGCATGCTACATAGACATGGGTACCCTACTTAAGGGCATGCTACATAGACAGGGATACCCTACTTAAGGGCATGCTACGGAGACAGGGGTACCCTACTTAAGGGCATGCTACGGAGACAGGGGTACCCTACTTAAGGGCATGCTACGGAGACATGGGTACCCTACTTAAGGGCATGCTACATAGACAGGGGTACCCTACTTAAGGGCATGCTACGGAGACAGGGTACCCTACTTAAGGGCATGCTACATAGACAGGGGTACCCTACTTAAGGGCATGCTACATAGACAGGGGTACCCTACGTAGACAGGGGTACCCTACTTAAGGGCATGCTACGTAGACAGGGATACCCTACTTAAGGGCATGCTACATAGACATGGGTACCCTACTTAAGGGCATGCTACATAGACAGGGATACCCTACTTAAGGGCATGCTACGGAGACATGGGTACGCTACTTAAGGGCTTGCTACGGAGACAGGGGTACCCTACTTAAGGGCTTGCTACGGAGACAGGGGTACCCTACTTAAGGGCATGCTACGGAGACAGGGGTACCCTACTTAAGGGCTTGCTACGGAGACATGGGTACCCTACTTAAGGGCATGCTACATAGACAGGGATACCCTACTTAAGGGCATGCTACGGAGACATGGGTACGCTACTTAAGGGCTTGCTACGGAGACAGGAGTACCGTACGTTGACAGGGGTACCGTACGTAGACAGAGGTACTGTACGTAGACGGGTACGCTAATTAAGGGCATGCTACAGAGACAGGGGTGCCCTAAGTAGACGGGGGTATGGTACTTAGGGGCATGCAACCTCGACAGGGGTACCCTTGGTAGATTGAAGTACGCCATGTAGACGGGGGTACTCTACATAGACGGGTACCCTAAGTAGATGGGGGTACCTTACATAGACAGGGACCCTTGAAGATTCGGGGAAGAATAGGTCTACAGCAACCCATGCTTGCCGTAAGAGGTGACTAGGCTTGTTGTAAGAGGCGACTAAATATAACGGGATCGGGTGGTCAGACTCGCTGACTTGGCTGATGAATGTCATCATATCCCAATTGCGTGGATCGATGCGCATGATGTCAGTCACTGGATTGTCTGGTCCAGACTCGATTATTTACAGACCGCCTTCATATAGCTGGAATATTGCTGAGTGTGGCATTAAACAACAAAGAAACAAAAGAAACAAACATGATTGTCACATGAGCCTACTATGGGAGTGTTGTTTCAAGCTTGTTGCAGAGAAGCCAACCATTATGATTTTGTGTAATAATTACGATTTTAAGTCTAAAATTATGGTCTTACAATTGTACTCCCCTAAATTACATTTTTTATCATTTTCTTCACAAATTATCTAGATACATAAAGTATCGTAGAGAACAAATTGTTAGTGCACCTGTGACATTAAGCATTCTATATCGAGACAGTGCTGACCAATGAGAGCCATGCTTTCAATTTACGGAATTTAAACAAAGTCAAGTCATCATAACGTTCGATCTTTGGGGGTGCAGACAGTGACAGTTTTTCACTTATGTGCAGGCCTTACGAAAATGTCGAAGAGAAAATCTGCTCTTTTTCTCATGAAATAACTCTTTTTTTACCCCCATGCACCTGTGAATATCTGGGTTAGAATAGGTCCTCAGCAACCCATGCTTGCCATAAGATTAAGCTTCTCGAAAGAGGCAACTAACAGGCTCACTGACATGGTTGATGCATGTCATCATATCCCAGTTGCATAGATCTATGCTCATGATGTCAATCACTGCGTTGTCTGATCCAAACTTGATTATTTACAGACCGCCGTCATTAGCTAGAACATTACTGAGTGCAGTGTTAAACAACAAACAAACACTTTTATCCCACTGATCATCCAAAGGTTCAATTAGGATGGGCACTTCCATGGTTGTTGGTCATATTTGCATGCTTCAAACACCGGCTTGCCTGCCCTAGACTAAATTATCAGTTGGCACTATGATGTATCTGTACAACCCACTCCTGTATTTCAGGCGCTGTATGAGGTTGCTGCCTTGGTGCTGAAAGCGGACTTCAACGCGGAATACATGTGGCAGAAGGTTGGCAGGCTGTTACCTCTACTGTCTACCTTGTCATTGCCCTAATGGTGAAAGTTAAAGATTTAAGGGTCCTAAGATTCAAGTAATATTGGAGCAAATCTCAGACGCCAGGACTTAATTTTGAACACTGACTGTTATTCTAGCCACTGTTAGTTTGAGATTTCATGAAGAAATTTACTGGATTAATGTGATGAATGAAGGTCACAGTTAATTTTAGATGCAATGATTAGATTAGACATCTGTCACATCAGCTGTTATGCTGTAAAGTTTGTTCTCTAAGAATGGTCCCTAGCAACCTTTGCTAGTTTCCCTGTGGAGATTCTAGGTTAGAACAGGTCCCCATCAACCTGTGCTGGTCTCCCTGTGGATTCTAGGTCTGAACAGGACCCTAGCAACCTGTGCTGGTCTCCCTGTAGAGATTCTAGGTCTGAACAGGACCCTAGCAACCTGTGCTGGTCTCCCTTTGGGGATTCTGGGTCCCTAGCAACCTGTGCTGGTCTCCCTGTGGATTCTAGGTCTGAACAGGACCCTAGCAACCTGTGCTGGTCTCCCTGTGGAGATTCTGGGCTAGAACAGGACCCTAGCAACCTGTGCTGGTCTCCCTTTGGGGATTCTGGGTCCCTAGCAACCTGTGCTGGTCTCCCTGTGGAGATTCTAGGTCTGAACAGGTCGATAGCAATCTGTGCTGGTCCCCCTGTGGAGATTCTGGGCTATTACAGGACCCTAGAAACCTGTGCTGGTCTCCCTGTGGAGATTCTAGGTCTGAACAGGTCCCTAGCAACCTGTGCTGGTCTCCCTGTGGAGATTCTAGGTTAGAACAGGTCCCTAGCAATCTGTGCTGGTCTCCCTGTGGAGATTCTAGGTCTGAACAGGACCCTAGCAACCTGTGCTTGTCTCCCTGTAGAGATTCTGGGCTAGAACAGGACCCTTGCAACCTGTGCTGGTCTCCCTGTGGAGATTCTGGGTTAGAAAAGGACCCTAGCAACCTGTGCTGGTCTCCCGAAGGGGATTCTGGGTCCCTAGCAACCTGTGCTGGTCTCCCTGTGGGGATTCTGGGCTAGAACAGGACCCTAGCAACCTGTGCTGGTCTCCCTGTGGGGATTCTGGGCTATTACAGGACCCTAGCAGCCTGTGCTGGTCTCCCTGTAGAGATTCTGGGCTAGAACAGGACCCTAGCAACCAGGTGTCCCTGACTGTGATATTGCAAGAATAATGCTAAAAGCAGCGTAAAACCAAACTCACTCACTCATAGGGTTAGGTCTGGTGTTGATGGTACAGCTTGGAGGACATGTTCCCGAGCCTTGGCCCTTGAGTAATGTTATCTCTGAGTCAATCATGCTCGGTGTTATTGTATTTGGGTTGTGGCAGTCATGGGACTCACTCGTAGCGGAGATGTAATACAGAAACAAGGTACTTGGTAGATAGCTCATTTTCAGTTCCAGGTTCCAATCTTTGGAACTCAATTCATGGACGTCTCAAAGGTGCCAAAATAGGTGGATCTTTGCAGTCTTTTCAAAAATTATCTTTACATTAATCCATTATTGTTGTTGTTGTTGTTGTAGTTACATGTTTGTGTGTGGCAGGGTCTGGAGGAGGGCCTTGGGTGTCTGTACAGTTCCGCCATTGCCTGCTTCCCACTTGACTTCCCCAAGCTGATGAAGCTCAACACATCTTTGTCATCAGCAGGCCCAGACAGTGCCAAGAGGGTACGTTGAGTACTGGATACTTGAGGGTTGAGTACTGGATACTTAAGGGTTCAATACTGGATACTTGAGGGTTGAGTACTGGATACTTGAGGGTTGAGTACTGGATACTTGAGGGTTGAGTACTGGAGTGAGTGAGTGAATATTGCTTAACGCCGCATCAGCAATTTTGCAGCTATTCGCGGCGATGAGTACTGGATACTTGAGGGTTCAATACTGGGTACTTGAGGGTTCAATACTGGATACTTGAGGGTTGGGTACTGGATACTTGAGGGTTGAGTACTGGAAACTTGAGGGTTGAGTACTGGATACTTGAGGGTTGAGTACTGGATACTTGAAGGTTGAGTTATGGATACTTGAGGGTTCAATACTGGATACTTGAGGGTTCAATACTGGGTACTTGAGGGTTCAATACTGGGTACTTGAGGGTTCAATACTGGATACTTGAGGGTTCAATACTGGATACTTGAGGGTTCAATACTGGATACTAGAGGGTTGGGTACTGGATACTTGAGGGTTGAGTACTGGATACTTGAGGGTTGAGTACTGGATACTTGAGGGTTCAATGCTGGATACTTGAGGGTTGAGAACTGGATACTTGAGGGTTGAGTACTGGATACTTGAGGGTTGAGAACTGGATACTTGAGGGTTGAGTACTGGATACTTGAGGGTTGAGTACTGGATAATTGAGGGTTGAGTACTGGATACTTGAGGGTTGAGTACTGGATACTTGAGGGTTTAATACTGGGTACTTGAGGGGTCAATACTGGGTACTTGAGGGTTGAGTACTGGATACTTGAGGGTTCAATACTGGATACTAGAGGGTTGAGTACTGGATACTTGAGGGTTGAGTACTGGATACTTGAGGGTTGAGTGCTGGATACTTGAGGGTTCAATACTGGTTACTTGAGGGTTCAATACTGGATACTTGAGGGTTGAGTACTGGATGCTTGAGGGTTCAATACCGGATACTTGGGGGTTCAATACTGGGTACTTGAGGGTTCAATGCTGGATACTTGAGGGTTCAATACTGGATACTTGAGGGTTGAGTACTGGATACTTGAGGGTTGAAAAACTGGATACTTGAGGGTTCAATACTGGGTACTTGAGGGTTCAATACTTGATACTTGAGGGTTGAGTACTGGATACTTGAGGGTTCAATACTGGATACTTGAGGGTTCAATACTGGCTACTTCAATACTTGATACTGAGGGTATGGTAGGTAATAATTACAGTGGAATGTTTGCTGAGGATATTTTTTTCACAGCCAGTATCTTACACTAGAATATTTTCCCATATGAATATTCTTTCCTCTGGAAACTTGAGGGTCAGTACTGGATACTTCAAGGTCAAATAGTTGTGGTGCATGTTGTTGTACAAGTTGAAATATGTGTAGTTGTACGTGTTGCAGGTGAAAATGTCGATGCAGGAGTTGAAGCTGTACACAGAGTACTTCGACACCAACAGCTCTCAGGATATCATACCCACACAACAGAGCTCTCTCTTCAAACTGGCCAGGCCTAAACTCCCCTACATCGCTGGTACGTCCATACCTTGCATGTGCACACACACACGCGCACGCACGCATGTACACACACACACACACACACACACACAACAGAGCACGCACGCACGCAAAAACAGAGCTCTCCCTTCAGACTGGCCAGGCCTAAACTCCCCTACATTGCTAGTACGTCCATACATTCCTTGCACACACACACACTATCTCACTATATAATAAATGGCTAGTCCTTAATTTTGTTGACAAAAAAATGTCTGAGGAGGCCAAATTCCAGCCCAAACATGAACCATGTTGTTATTTTGCAGGGGACCTGGTCATACCGAGAGGCACGCTGGGACAACTCTCCGGCATCAATGGTAAGACAATTTGCTGTCATTAATATGAAAATAATATGAAGATGTTGATGTCACATTTAATGTGATCTGTGGGAGGTGTGTTGCTATGCAGCTGGCTCTGGATTCCTATGTATGTCAGTGCTGTGAGAGTGGAGGGTACACCAGATAGGAGTATCAATGTACGGTGATGAAGCAAGAGTTTGGTGTCATGATCTTCTCTGAATATATTATTGAATATTGTTTACGTCATCAGTAGATGTCTTACTACCCTGGCAAGACCACACTACTTTGATGTCTCTTTGAAACGTGTACAACATGTACGAGTGGAGTAAAATTGCTCGTGATTTCAGTGACTATTTTGTTTGTTCTGACTTCATTTTGTACAGGCAACCCTAAAATATCCAACTTGTCCTGCAGGGCAAGTAGATATTATTTTGTGCTCGTCCTGCAATATTTTCATTTGCCCTGCAATATTTTCACTTGCCCGATTAAATTTTATACCGTTTTTTGCTCTCAGTTAATATTCTCATTTTCTGTAATCAATCTAGAGTTGAGGGTATTTCTGACAGACAGTACAAACAAATTCAGTGACTTCCTCCCTCTAAAAAATAGTTTCGAGACCTGCTACGTAAACACACTTTTGTTTATTTCGTCAACTGACAGTTGCAAAATATGCCTATTTATGATATGAGCGACATGTATTTTGTCCTTATTACAACAAATTGCGAGAAATGAAAACGTATTTTAGGTTCGAAATTATTCTCCTTATATTATTGAAAATTATTAGAGATCAATTGATATGATTGAAATAAATGTACTCCCGGGTAGGACGACTGTTTCTTCTCTTCTTTCTCGCACTGCGCATGCTACAACTCGTCAGTATGAGCGGACCAGTGGATTTATCGAGCCCTGATATCTATTGTTGTAAACTGTGGCTAAACTCACTCACTCATGAACTGAACAGAGGCATGTTTGTTGCAGCTCAGGCAGCGAAGCGGAGCAGCCCCGTCATCCAGTGGGAGCTGGTGTACAACGGCTGGCAGCTCATGATGTGCGAGGTGCAGGAGCTGCTGCACCAGATAGCCCAGGGTGGAGGTGAGTCAGTAACATACACGGAGAATACTACACTCATTCTCGTTAGAAACCATTTTTACAAAACAAGTGGACTTTCTGTGGTACCTGACCAATTGAAAGCGAGATCTGCATGAACCATTTAATGAGCGAAATGCTGCACCAGATAGCCAAGGGTGGAGGTGAGTCAGTAACATACACGGAGAATACTACACTCATTCTCGTTAGATACCATTTTTACGAAATGAGTGGACTGTCTGTGGTACCTGACCGTGGAAAGCGAGCTCTGCATGAACCATTTAATGAGCGAAATGCTGCACCAGATAGCCAAGGGTGGAGGTGAGTCAGTAACATACGTATTGTCACACCAAGTCTTAAGTCAAAGTAGACACAATTTATGGATAGCAACTTCTTTAATAACTGTGAAGGCGATGTTTCGGTATAGATCCTCATACCGTTGTCAAGCAAGACTGAATGATGAACATTGTACAGAATATATATAGTAGGTAGAGGATTAACAGTAACAACAATTGCATACATGTGTTGGATAACCACGAACCAATCCGATTCCATCACTTGCATTTGTTTCAAACAAAATGGCGGCGCCCAGTCAAGACGATCTGATTGATAATCAAGATCTATATTGTGATAAGACGGGTCTTTCATCGCAGGGTGCGTCAAATCACGCGAGCACCTTGATTAAAAACATGAAAAGGTTTGGAAAATATTTGTTGACAACGAGTTGGCGGTGCACATGCTTTGCAAATCCTGCAATCGACCGAAATCTGCATAGCATGGATTTCGATTTCATTGCGAGATTTTGATTTGACAATGCATAGACTCGTTAGTCCAGCCCAAATGTTACTCCATAATACAAGCCTAGTTCGGCAAGGTTGGAAACTGGACTTTTATAGTAAGTTTACTCTCTTGCCTCGGGAAGATGAACTGGCATTACCATCACAACATTAAACACATGTACATGACCTCACAATCAAGAAGGACATATACGTACCATAACTAAGGATGCATGATACATTCTACACTGTGTGAGATCCAAAGATCCTTATGTGACGCTATTTTGCATAGTGGTAGGATTGGGCTCGAGGTTTACTTACTCCCCTTCATAAGAAAGGCAGCAAATTTGATGTTAACAATTATAGGGGTATTACACTAAGAAATGTATTGGGTAAAATATTTACTTTTATTCTTAATAAACGGCTTACTATGTTTTGTGACATTTACGATAAGATACCAGAGTCTCAGGCAGGTTTTAGGGCTGGATACAGCACCATTGATAATATATTTGTGTTGCAAAGTCTAATACAGAAATACTTATCTAAAGCTAATGGCAGATTTTACTGTTTATTTGTTGATTTTAGAAAAGCCTTTGATTGTGTAAATAGAAAATTGTTGTGGTATGTCATGTTAAATAAGGGTATACATGGAAAGTTATTTTATGTCATTAAAGATATGTATTTAAAAGTGAAATCGGCTGTAAAGTTATCAAATAGCACAGCAACTTGCTACTTTGAAACGCTAAGTGGTGTACGCCAAGGCTGCACCCTTAGCCCTATATTGTTCTCTTTGCTTATTGTTGAATTAGAATCAATGTTGCACTCCTCCGGCGAGAGGGGAATATTTGTGAGTCAAGAATCTCTAGACATTTTGTTGTTATTATATGCCGATGATTTGTGCATAATTGATGATACTGTAGTTGGTCTCCAACGAAAACTTAATATCCTTAAATCTTTCTGTACTAAATGGGGTTTAGAAGTTAACCATAGTAAGACTGAAATTTTAGTTTTCAGAAATGGTGGAAAACTTAGGAGTACTGAGAAATGGAGGTTTGGAGATGTTAATGTTAATGTATCTACCTATTATAATTATCTAGGTTTGTTATTTTCAAATCGGCTGTGTTGGACGACTGGTATCAACTCTCTTGTTCAGAAGGCAAATAAGGCTCTGTTCGTCGTTAAGAAATTACAGCATTGTTTGAAGAACATACCCGTACATATACTTTTTAAAATATTTGACATTCAAATTAAGCCTGTATTATTATACACTTCAGAAATATAGGGCTATTAAAAAATAGCAGCAATTGAAAAATTTCAGATTAAATTCTGTAAATTTACTATTGGAAGTCATGTTACAAATGTTGCTGCCCTTGGCGAATGTGGTAGATATGGCTTATTTATTGATTATCACAAGAGATGTATTAAATATTGGTTGAAATTGTTATCTTTACCCAGTTATAGATACCCTAAGCAATCTTATTTAATGCTAAAATCTTTAGATGAAGTTAATCGCACTACATGGGTAACTTGTGTCAAAAGACTATTATTCAGTTATGGATTTGGCCACGTGTGGATTTCGCAGGAAGTTGGTAATGAGACCCTCTTTATTAATGCATTTATTCAAAGGTTAAAAGACTGTAACCAACAGGACTGGTATTGTAAAGTTTGTGAAATACGTAAATTATCAATGTATACATGGTATAAGGAATATAAGTCATTGCTAACAGTTGAAAAGTATCTCTGTGAAATCACCAGCCGTCATTATAGACGTATGTTTTGTTTGATAAGAATTGGCGAGTTGCCATTGATGGTAAATTTAGGTAGAAGATGCAGTATAGAGTACTGTAATAGGCAGTGCAGATATTGTTATTTACAGGAAATTGAAGATGAGTTTCATTTTATGCTTGTCTGCCCATGTTACAGATATTTAAGAAATAAGTATTTACCTATTTATTACTCTTCCAATCCTACCTTATTTAAATATAATACTCTATTATCTTGTAACCGCACTAGTATTGTAACTAATTGTGTTAAGTATATACTGGAAGCACTTGCAATCCGAAATACTGTCACTTAATACCCTCTGTCATCTGCCTCATACTGTATTTTTCAAAGAGTATTTGTACGTGGGCCTATGGCCTTTATACTGAAATAAAGAATTGAATATGTGACCTCTGTTCCAGGAATGGTGTCTCCGCTGCAGATATCCAGGGTGACACAGGTCATGCAGCTCGTGCGCCAGGTCATGACCTCTGACCCTGACTCTGTGGAAGAGTTCAGTGAGATCGTGAGTCTAGGATTCCAAGTCATTCAAAGGTTTGAACCTCACATATTTTCTGTTGAATATTTTACTCGAATATTTAAAAAAAATGCAGATCTACAGATAAGCAGTGTATTTGCATAAAATACCCCCCAAAAAATATTCAAAATTTCAATTAACTTGCGTACAAAAATACATGCATTAAATGAAAAACCCAAATGTATTAAAACAGCATGCGTAAATACCCAATGAAGCTTCTTCAGCATGCATACAAAGGAGCTTATTTCCAAAACACAATTACGAGCTAATTTACTTTCCTAGTCAAGCCTATATATTTAGAACAGTTATATACATCTAAAACATTATTTCATTTTTTTTAAATCTTAAAATGTTCACTCATTTTGGGAAAAACCCAATATAGTGATGAATACATGGGTGAAAAAATATTGTATACCCAATGAAAAATGTAATAACCCAATTAAAATAGAAAATCTAGAGTTAAAATTCAATTGCTCAAAAAGTTATCTGGTGCTCAAAAAACGTGACTAAAAGATTCAGCAGGTCTGACTCCTTGTTTGTGTTTTAGATTCAGTGCTGTGTCCCCTCCTCCCCTGGACCTCCTGGCACACACCCTGGAGTGCATCACGTGCAGTGTGAAACACAACGCCAAGCAGGTGCGTCTGACAGCCCCCACACAGATGGGGGAGATCCCACGTAGACATGGGAACCCCACTTGAGACCTGATGTAGACAGTGGGGCTTTACCAGACAGGCATACTACATAGACAGGGATACCCTACTTAAGGGCATGTTACGGAGACAGGGGTACCCTACTTAAGGGCATGCTACATAGACAGGGGTACCGTACTTAAGGGCATGCTACATAGACAGGGGTACCCTACTTAAGGACATGCTACATAGACAGGGGTACCCTACTTAAGGGCATGCTACATAGACAGGGATACCCTACTTAAGGGCATGCTTCGGAGACAGGGGTACCCTACTTAAGGGCATGCTACGGAGACAGGGGTACCCTACTTAAGGGTATGCTTCGGAGACAGGGGTACCCTACTTAAGGGCATGCTACATAGACAGGGGTACCCTACTTAAGGGCATGCTTCAGAGACAGGGGTACCCTACTTAAGGGCATGCTACATAGACAGGGGTACCCTACTTAAGGGGATGCTACATAGACATGGGTACGCTACTTAAGGGCTTGCTACGGAGACAGGGGTACCATACGTAGACGGGTACCGTACGTAGACAAGGGTACGCTACTTAAGGGCTTGCTACAGAGACAGGGGTACCCTAGGTAGATTGGGGTACGCCATGCAGACTGGGTTCCTTACCTAGACAGGGACCCTTGAAGATCCGGGGAAGAATAGGTCTACAGCAACCCATGCTTGCTGTAAGGGGTGACTAGGCTTGTCGTAAGAGGCGACTAAATATAACGGGATCGGGTGGTCAGGCTTGCTGACTTGGTTGATGCATGTCATCGTATCCCAATTGCGTGGATCGATGTTCATGATGTCAATCACTTGATTATCTGGTCCAGACTTGATTATTTACAGACCGCCATCATATAGCTGGAATATTGCTGAGTGCAGCGTTAAACAACAAATAAACAAACAAACAAATTACGTAGACAAGAAAACCCTACCTAGACAGATAGGGGGGACCCTTGGTAGACAAGTGGATCCTACATAGATGGGGCCACTTCTTAGATGGGTTTCCTTAAGATGCTAGTTTGACAATTTTATTGCTTTATTGTGAAGTTGTCTAGTGGCTACCTCATGTCAATACCTATTGGCAACTACAGTGTTAGGATATTCCTTGGAGGTTGGCAGAGCCTCAAATACCATGCATGCATACCATTCACCCTTCCATAATATGAAGTCTGTTTTCAAATATTTTCGATGTTTTGACTTTGGTTGTGTTGGGGGCACGGGTGGCCCAGTCGTCTAAGGCGCTGCGATTCACTGTGCAGAGTTGCGTCCCTTTGGTACGCCAGAAACCTATGATTGTGGGTTCGAATCCCGGTTCGCCCCGATTATCTTTCTAGGTTTGTCAGCACCATAGACCTGCATCACTTCGGGCTTTCCTCCCACATTAAGCTGACACGCCGTGATATAACTGGAATACTGTTAAAAGTGGCGTTAAACCCAACTCACTCACTCACTCACTCACTCACTCACTCACTCATTTTGTGTTTGTTAGTTTTCCTTTTTCTGAAGCCCTGTGAACCATGTTTTCTGTTTTCTCAGATATGGCACAACATGAAACTTACAGGGTTACTTCCCTTCCTCACAGAGAACGTAGATAACCTTGGCGAGGTGTTGAGGTGAGTCTATGCTGACAGGGTTACCTCCCTTCCTCACAGAGAACGTAGATAACCTAGGCGAGGTGTTGAGGTGAGTCTATGCTGACAGGGTTACCTCCCTTCCTCACAGAGAACGTAGATAACCTAGGCGAGGTGTTGAGCTGAGTCTATGCTGACAGGGTTACCTCCCTTCCTCACAGAGAATGTAGATAACCTTGGCGAGGTGTTGAGTTGAGTCTAAGCTGACAGGATTACCTCCCTTCTTATCAGAGAACGTACATTACGTAGGCGAGGTGTTGAGGTGAGTCTAAGCTGACAGGATTACCTCCCTTCCTCTCAGAGAAGGTAGATAACCTAGGCGAGGTGTTGAGATGTTTTTACTAACAGGGTTACCTCCCTTCCTCACAGAATGTACATTACGTAGGCGAGGTGTTGAGGTGAGTCTAAGCTGACAGGGTTACCTCCCTTCCTCACAGAGAATGTACATAACCTAGGCAATGTGTTGAGATGTTTTTACTGACAGGGTTACCTCCCTTCCTCACAGAGAACTACATAACCAAGGCAATGTGTTGAGATGTTTTTGCTGACAGGGTTACCTCCCTTCCTCACAGGGAACTACATAACCTAGGCAATGTGTTGAGATGTTTTTACTGACAGGGTTACCTCCCTTCCTCACAGGGAACTACATAACCTAGGCAATGTGTTGAGATGTTTTTGCTGACAGGGTTACCTCCCTTCCTCACCGCGAACGTACATAACCTAGGCAATGTGTTGAGATGTTTTTGCTGACAGGGTTACCTCCCTTCCTCACAGGGAACTACATAACCTAGGCAATGTGTTGAGATGTTTTTGCTGACAGGGTTACCTCCCTTCCTCACAGGGAACTACATAACCTAGGCAATGTGTTGAGATGTTTTTGCTGACAGGGTTACCTCCCTTCCTCACAGGGAACTACATAACCTAGGCAATGTGTTGAGATGTTTTTGCTGACAGGATTACCTCCCTTCCTCACAGAGAACGTACATAACCTAGACAATGTGTTGAGATGTTTTTGCTGACAGGGTTACCCCCCTTTCTCACAGTGAATGTATATAACCTAGACAATGTGTTGAGATGTTTTTGCTGACAGGATTACCTCCCTTCCTCACAGAGAACTACATAACCTAGGCAATGTGTTGAGATGTTTTTGCTGACAGGGTTACCTCCCTTCCTCACAGAGAACGTACATAACCTAGGCCATGTGTTGAGATGTTTTTGCTGACAGGGTTACCTCCCTTCCTCACAGAGAACTACATAACCTAGGCAATGTGTTGAGATGTTTTTGCTGACAGGGTTACCTCCCTTCCTCACAGAGAACGTACATAACCTAGGCAATGTGTTGAGATGTTTTTGCTGACAGGGTTACCTCCCTTCCTCACAAAATGTACATAACCTAGACAATGGGTTAAGATGTTTTTGCTGACAGGGTTACCTCCCTTCCTCACAGAGAACGTACATAACCTAGGCAATGTGTTGAGATGTTTTTGCTGACAGGGTTACCTCCCTTCTTCACAAAACGTACATAACACTGGGCAAGGTGTTTATTCTGACAACCATTGAGTGTGCCTGTTACCTAACAAGCTGATGTTATGCGTACGTCCAATTATTTCAGAAGGTGCAGGTGAGCTACAGAGCCTCAGGGCCACATGTCCCATCTGTATGTGTGTGTCTGTGTTTGTTCCAGTGGGCGTGGTCTCAGTTCGGGACTGTATGGGACCATCTTAGCCAGCACAGAAGCCACCCAGGGCAGATACCCCCTGACCCTCGCAGTCCTCGGCTTCCTTACAGAGTTGATTGAGGTAATGGTAACTTTCACACCAGCTGATACTTGGACTGGGCTCATGTCTACCTAGGGGAGGTGGGATAGCCTAGCCGTTTAAGCGTTGGCTTGTCATGCCGACGACCTGCGTTCAATTCTCCACATGGGTAACATTTGGAATCCCATTTCTGGTGTCCCCTGCCGTCATATTGCTGGAATATTACTAAAAGTGGTGTACAACCATACTCACGCACTCCTATCTACTTAAACTAGTAGACAGCCGGCAGATGATGTGTCGTAGGCTGTGATTGGACAACACTGAACAGAGCATTTGTTGGTCCTATATTGGTTGATATTGTCTGTTTGTACCGATTGGCCACATCTGAGGTTGATATTGATTGTTTGTATCTGATTGGCCAGATCTGATGTTGATATTGTCCGAATGTTTCTGATTGGCCACATGTGATGTTGATATTGATTGTTTGTATCTGATTGGCCAGATCTGATGTTGATATTGTCTGAATGTTTCTGATTGGCCACATCTGAAGTTGATATTGAATGTTTGTATCTGATTGGCCAGATCTGATGTTGATATTGTCTGAATGTTTCTGATTGGCCACATCTGATGTTGATATTGAATGTTTGTATCTGATTGGCCACACCTGATGTTGATAGTGAATGTTTGTATCTGATTGGCTAGATCTGATGTTGATATTTTTCTGAATGTTTCTGATTGGCCACATCTGATGTTGATATTGATTGTTTGTATCTGATTGGCCAGATCTGATTTTGATATTGTCTGAATGTTTCTGATTGGCCACATCTGAAGTTGATATTGAATGTTTGTATCTGATTGGCCAGATCTGATGTTGATATTGTCTGAATGTTTCTGATTGGCCACATCTGATGTTGATATTGAATGTTTGTATCTGATTGGCCAGATCTGATGTTGATATTGTCTGAATGTTTCTGATTGGCCAGCCACTGTCGAAGGCGGAGAGAGAGGAGGAGCTTCAGCCAGTGATGATGTACGTCCTGCGAGAAATCTTCCCCGTGTATCATAAATGGAGATACTACGACATCACCAGGAGGGAGACTATAGGTAGGTGATTTGAGGGGTCATAGTCTGGAATAGCACTCCAAGGAACAAACCAGTTGATATACTGGAAATGAGGCCAGGAGTTTTGTTTAAAAAAATACTTTCTTTTAGCATGTTTAGAAATACCTGGAAAGATTTTTTCCTCAGGATTTAGACACAGGATTTACAATGTTCCCTATGTTTAATTAGGCCACAAGTGCTTGCTGGTATTAGTGACAATGTTTACTGTGTGTTTGTTTAGGCCACAAGTGCTTGCAGGTGTTAATGACAATGTTCATTCTGTATGTTTAGTCCACAAGAGCTTGCAGGTGTTAATGACAATATTCATTCTGTGTTTGTTTAGGCCACAAGAGCTTGCAGGTGTTAATGACAGTATTCATTCTGTCTGTTTAGGACACAACTGCTTGCTGGTGTTAATGACAATGTTCCCTCTGTTTGTTTAGGCCACAAGAGCTTGCAGGTGTTAATGACAATATTCATTCTGTCTTAGTTTAGGCCACAAGTGCTTGCAGGTGTTAATGACAGTATTCATTCTGTGTTTGTTTAGGCCACAAGTGCTTGCAGGTGTTAATGACAATGTTCATTCTGTTTGTTTAGGCCACAAGTGCTTGCTGGTGTTAATGACGATGTTCATTCTGTCTGTTTAGGACACAAGAGCTTGCTGGTGTTAATGACAATGTTCATTCTGTGTCTGTTTAGGCAACAAGTGCTTGCTGGTGTTAATGACGATGTTCATTCTGTCTGTTTAGGACACAAGAGCTTGCAGGTGTTAATGACAATGTTCATTCTGTGTTTGTTTAGGCCACAAGTGCTTGCTGGTGTTAATGACAATGTTCATTCTGTCTGTTTAGGCAACAAGTGCTTGCTGGTGTTAATGACAATGTTCATTCTGTCTGTTTAGGCAACAAGTGCTTGCTGGTGTTAATGACAATGTTCATTCTGTCTGTTTAGGCCACAAGAGCTTGCAGGTGTTAATGACAATGTTCATTCTGTCTGTTTAGGCAACAAGTGCTTGCTGGTGTTAATGACAATGTTCATTCTGTCTGTTTAGGCAACAAGTGCTTGCTGGTGTTAATGACGATGTTCATTCTGTCTGTTTAGGACACAAGAGCTTGCTGGTGTTAATGACAATGTTCATTCTGTGTTTGTGTAGGCCACAGGTGCTTGCTGGTGTTAATGACGATGTTCATTCTGTCTGTTTAGGCAACAAGTGCTTGCTGGTGTTAATGACGATGTTCATTCTGTGTTTGTGTAGGCCACAAGTGCTTACAGGTGTTAATGACAATGTTCATTCTGTGTTTGTGTAGGCCACAAGTGCTTGCTGATGTTAATGACAATGTTCATTCTGTGTCTGTTTAGGCCACAAGTGCTTGCTGGTGTTAATGACAATGTTCATTCTGTGTCTGTTTAGGCCACAAGTGCTTGCTGGTGTTAATGACAATGTTCATTCTGTGTCTGTTTAGGCCACAAGTGCTTGCAGGTGTTAATGACGATGTTCATTCTGTGTTTGTGTAGGCCACAGGTGCTTGCTGGTGTTAATGACAATGTTCATTCTGTCTGTTTAGGCCACAAGTGCTTGCTGGTGTTAATGACAATGTTCATTCTGTGTCTGTTTAGGCCACAAGTGCTTGCAGGTGTTAATGACAATGTTCATTCTGTGTTTGTTTAGGCCACAGGTGCTTGCTGGTGTTAATGACAATGTTCATTCTGTCTGTTTAGGCCACAAGTGCTTGCTGGTGTTAATGACAATGTTCATTCTGTGTCTGTTTAGGCCACAAGTGCTTGCAGGTGTTAATGACAATGTTCATTCTGTGTTTGTGTAGGCCACAGGTGCTTGCTGGTGTTAATGACAATGTTCATTCTGTGTTTGTTTAGGCCACAGGTGCTTGCTGGTGTTAATGACGATGTTCATTCTGTGTTTGTTTGGGCCACAGGTGCTTGCCGGTTTTAATGACGATGTTCATTCTGTCTGTTTAGGCCACAGGTGCTTGCAGGTGTTAATGACAATGTTCATTCTGTGTCTGTTTAGGCCACAGGTGCTTGCTGGTGTTAATGACAATGTTCATTCTGTCTGTTTAGGCCACAAGTGCTTGCTGGTGTTAATGACAATGTTCATTCTGTGTCTGTTTAGGCCACAAGTGCTTGCAGGTGTTAATGACAATGTTCATTCTGTGTTTGTGTAGGCCACAGGTGCTTGCTGGTGTTAATGACAATGTTCATTCTGTGTTTGTTTAGGCCACAGGTGCTTGCTGGTGTTAATGACAATGTTCATTCTGTGTTTGTGTAGGCCACAGGTGCTTGCTGGTGTTAATGGCAATGTTCATTCTGTGTTTGTTTAGGCCACAAGTGCTTGCAGGTGTTAATGACGATGTTCATTCTGTGTTTGTTTAGGCCACAAGTGCTTGCCGGTGTTAATGACGATGTTCATTCTGTCTGTTTAGGCCACAGGTGCTTGCAGGTGTTAATGACAATGTTCATTCTGTGTTTGTTTAGGCCACAAGTGCTTGCTGGTGTTAATGACGATGTTCATTCTGTCTGTTTAGGCCACAGGTGCTTGCTGGTGTTAATGACGATGTTCATTCTGTGTTTGTTTAGGCCACAAGTGCTTGCTGGTGTTAATGACGATGTTCATTCTGTGTTTGTTTAGGCCACAAGTGCTTGCTGGTGTTAATGACGATGTTCATTCTGTCTGTTTAGGCCACAGGTGCTTGCTGGTGTTAATGACGATGTTCATTCTGTGTTTGTTTAGGCCACAGGTGCTTGCTGGTGTTAATGACAATGTTCATTCTGTCTGTTTAGGCCACAGGTGCTTGCCGGTGTTAATGACGATGTTCATTCTGTCTGTTTAGGCCACAGGTGCTTGCAGGTGTTAATGACAATGTTCATTCTGTGTTTGTTTAGGCCACAGGTGCTTGCCGGTGTTAATGACGATGTTCCTTCTGTCTGTTTAGGCCACAAGTGCTTGCTGGTGTTAATGACGATGTTCATTCTGTGTTTGTTTAGGCCACAAGTGCTTGCCGGTGTTAATGACAATGTTCATTCTGTGTCTGTTTAGGCCACAGGTGCTTGCAGGTGTTAATGACGATGTTCATTCTGTGTTTGTTTAGGCCACAAGTGCTTGCTGGTGTTAATGACAATATTCCCTCTGTTTGTTTAGGCCACAAGTGCTTGCAGGTTTAATGACAGTATTCATTCTGTGTTTGTTTAGGCCACAGGTGCTTGCTGGTGTTAATGACAATGTTCATTCTGTCTGTTTAGGCCACAAGTGCTTGCTGGTGTTAATGACGATGTTCATTCTGTGTTTGTTTAGGCCACAAGTGCTTGCAGGTGTTCCATAAGATCCTCAACCTGATGACATTGCACAAGAAGAAATCCAAAAGTAAAAGGTCAGCCATGTCAACAATCTTATCCCCATTTGCCAAACTACAGTACACTACGTTCATAACGACCACGCTTATAACGAACTGACCGATGTAACAAACTTATGTTTTAGTCCCGGCCATTTGTTGTATATTTGCTGTAAATCTGCTGATAACAAACTACAGTTATTTCAAACAAAAATAAGTGGTCCCTTTGAGTTTGTTATAACCCTAGTTTGCTGTAATTTCAAAGTTAGCCTAGTGGTTCAAGCGTTTGCTTGTTAAGACCTTGGTTTGATTCCCCACATGGGTACAATGTGTGAAGCCCATTTCTGGTGTCCCCGTCTGTGATATTGCTAGAGCGTTTGCTTGTCACACCTAAGACCTGGGTTCGATTCCCCACATGGGTACAATGTGTGAAACCCATTTCTGGTGTCCCCGTCTCGGATATTGCTGGAGCGTTTGCTTGTCACGCCTAAGACCTGGGTTCGATTCCCCACATGGGTACAATGTGTGAAACCCCTTTCTGGTGTCCCTGTCTCGGATATTGCTGGAGTGTTTGCTTGTCACGCCTAAGACCTGGGTTCGATTCCCCACATGGGTACAATGTGTGAAGCCCATTTCTGGTGTCCCCGTCTCGGATATTGCAGGAGCGTTTGCTTGTCACGCCTAAGACCTGGGTTCGATTCCCCACATGGGTACAATGTGTGAAGCCCATTTCTGGTGTCCCTGTCTCGGATATTGCTGGAGCGTTTGCTTGTCATGCCTAAGACCTGGGTTCGATTCCCCACATGGGTACAATGTGTGAAACCCCTTTCTGGTGTCCGAGTCTCGGATATTGCTGGAATATAGCTAACAGTAGCGTAAAGCCGTACTCACTTACTTCTGTAACTCAAAGATCTGACCGCCTCCGTGGTCTCGTGGATAGAGTGTCTGCCTGGAGAGAGAACATTCAGTAGTTTGATCCCTGGCCGCATCATACCAAATTACGTTGAAAGATGGTACTTGTTTCCCTGCCTGGCACCAGGCATTAAGGGGAAAACAAAGCAAGGCGTCAGTAAACTGGGTCTGTTGAGGGTATCCATAAACAAACATGGTAGCTTCACTAGCTTGTCTCCTCAATGTTAATGTTTTATTGTAAATTGTTGTGTGACAATATCAGAAAACTACATTATCAGTCATTGGGAAAGGGAGGTCACCTTGTTTTCGTATTTTCATTAGTCAGGCTCCATGTTGATGTTGGCCAAACTACTTATTCACCATCAAATCACCAACAGTATTCTAAATCAAACGTTTGAATATATTTTTATTTTCATTTTTCCATTTGTAACTTGAAGCAAATTAAAAATGGTTCTTGTCAATGAAATTAATAAATCATAAATAATAATTTTCCAAAAATGTGGGCCCAGGTAATTTGGGGGAATAGAGTGAGTGAGTGAGTGAGTATGGTTTTACGCCGCTTTTAGCAATATTCCAGCAATATCACGGCGGGTGACACCAGAAATGGGCTTCACACATTGTACCCATGTCGGGAATCGAACCCGGGTCTTCGGCGTGACGAGCGAATGCTTTAACCACTAGACTACCCAACCGCCTCTTGGGGGAATAGAGATGGTTGCATGTGAACCTGATATAGACTTGAGCAGTCTCCATTGTATTATGATGTGTAAATAATATGTCAACAATGTCTTTAAGAAACGTAACAAAATACAATCAAAGAAAAAAAAAAGTTGAAATACTGTGTACATATGCATTCAGAACACATCAGGGACAAGGAAAAACTATATTTAACTGTATTTTTTAAAGTCATATTGAAAACGGGCACTGCTTTAAGTCTAATCGTGAAAAAGTACTGTCCCTTCTCTATTTTTCAGACAATGACTAACTTCCTCCTTATGTTCCTAGGCCTCGACTGCAGGAGGTGTGTGTGTACAGTCTTCTGTTTACTGAGGCTGGACGGGCTCTTCTGGACATCCTCGCCACTGGTGTAGACAGTGTTGAGCAGGCCGTCGCATCTCAGGGGAGGTAAGCTGTGTATACTATATACAGTGTCTAACATGCAGTCAGTTGCCTCTCAGAGCAGGTGAGATATGTTCAGCAGTCATTAAGATGTGCCCCCTGTTTTTCTATCAACAGCTATATGTGCTGTTGAATACTTTGTTTACCCATCAAAGGCTTGACTGTGTGCTGTAGGTATTACCAGTTTGCTGCAATACGCTTTTCAAACATGCATATTGCAATATTTTCTTCTGGTTATATCCCCATCACACCAAACAAGTTCTCAATATGGTCGTGAAAATGTCGTTGAACGGGCTCCAACTGTGTATGATTGGTTCGGTTGGTTTGTTGTTTTACGCCGCACTCAGCAATATTCCAGCTATATGACGGCGGTCTGTAAAAAAATCGAGTCTGGACCAGACAATCCAGTGATAAATATCATGAGCATCGATCCACGCAATTGGCATTGATGACATGCATCAACCAAGTCAGCGAGCCTGACCACCCGATCAGTCGCCTTTTACGACAAGCATAGTCGCCTTTTATGGCAAGCATGGGTTGCTGAAGACCTATTTTACCCCGGATCTTCACGGGTCCAACTGTGTATGAACGTAGTGGGCGTAGTAGCGACTATTGACAGTCTTTTTACGAACTTCATGGACAGGCTCGGACAGGGAGGTGCTCTAGAACTTTAAGTCTGCTCAAAATTTTATCCCGTCTATCCCGTTCTGCAATTAGTCAGATTGACAACGTACTTAAAACGAGAAAGGCGTATTGCAAATGGAATTGCCGTACTTCGAACCTACTAGGGACATGTTACGACGTGGTGCAGTCAGCCATAAATTTCAGTATGTGTGCACACTGACCGCGTCCTTTTGTTGCTCGTTCATGATGTGTACAGCTCGGAGCCCTGAACTTGAATGAAGACTGGCTACGACGCGTTCAACTGGTTAAGAACGGGTTGAGAACGGCTACGGACGTGCTCGAACTGCTTCGAAACGTCGGCATGAGGTGAATGGGCACTTTTACATGATCTGAACTGGATACACACGGACTGCAGACTTGCTAAGAACGAAATAGACGTATATAGGACTGCTTATGAAGGAACTAGCATCATATTTTACGCCAAACTACACGTTCTACTGTGATCACAGCCCGTTCTAGTATTTTTTTTAGAACAGGGTAGAACGAGATAGAACTACTTTGGTGTGATGGTAGCATTAAAATAAATATAACAAGTTTCGTTGTCGTTAACAAATCTTCACAGAAATTCATTTCGCAAATGAGTGAATTTTTTCTCACGCTGTTATCTCCCCTGTATCCATGACTACAAAATGGCTGCAACTGACCAGCTAAGTAATATTTACTTCAGCATGAAGAAAATAGGAATTACTTGTACAATCAGTGTCCATCACTGTCAAACACTTTACACCCAAATAAGATATTTGACTGGAATACGTATACTTGTGTCGCAAAATATTGGAACACAATTATTTTTTCAATACACAGCCCTAACTGTAGGTTCTCACATTGTCTTCCAGCAATGCCGAAGGAGTCGGCATAGACCTCATCCAACTCATCCAACTTTCGTTCTCCGTCCTCAACCGCCTTCTCCTACTGAGGTCGCCTGACCTCCCCGTGTCACCGACTGAGCACGCCCTCTCGTCGCAGCCGGCGGGGCATCAGCATCAGCACATCGTGGCCACCATCGCCCAGTACATCTACCACCGCCACGACCCTCGGCTCCCTACCCTGGCTGCAGTGCTGCTCAAGAGACTGGCGCTGGTGGGTACCGGTAGTTGGTTCACACTGTCGAACTTGCTGGGACTTCCGATCTGCCTGCGTCTGATCCCTGTTTATTATCCCGCTCCATTCGTCCATCCAACTCCAAAGGGGACAAGGTTTTGGGGAAACCACTGTGAATACAAAGTTGCCTTCTTTTTTAAGTATTAATATAAGGACCAAAGGACCAAGGTGAGCTTATGCCATACTGTCGTGTCCGTCGTCCGTTGTCCGTATGTCAACAATTTTTTCAAACTACTTCTTCTGAACCACTAATTGGAAATTAATGAAATTTGACTGGAAGCATCCCGAGGTGGTGGGGATTAAAATTGTACAAATGGTGGGGCTGACCCCCCAGGGGACTGAGGGGCGGGGCCAAATAGGGGTAATTTGGCTATATTGCTGTAAATGACTTCTCTGGAACTAAGAGATAGATATCAACCATATATGGTTGGAAGCATTCTCCGTTGGTGGGGATTCAAAATTGTACTAATGGTGGGGCTGACTCCCCAAGTGGCTGAAATAGTTTTTTTTTGGCTATATTGCTTTAAATGACTTCTTCTCTGGAACTTAGAGATAGATATCATGGGATTTATTAAATTGACTGTTTTCTTGACGTTTATTTGACATTTCCAGGTGTCTCCGATGTCTATCCTGGCCTGCCTTGGCAATGATGCGGAGCCAATCCGAGACATGTTCCTCACCAGACTGCAGGCCCTGTCGGAGGTAGGCAGAACACTGGGTGTTGCCCAACACCACATAGAAACAAGGTATCATTGTCATTGTGCCCTTGGAGATTGGAGGCTGAATATGTCTCAGTGCCCTGTGCTTGTCTCCCTCTGGGAATTCCAGGACAGAATAGGTCCCCAGTATCCTTCTCTCTTCTCTCTATTGGAATTCCAGGGGAGCATAGGTCCCCATTGGCCCAGGTTTTCTCCCTGTGGGGATTCTTGGGCATAACAGGTGCCAGTGTTCTTTTCTTGCCTCCCTATGGGAAAACCAGGGAATAATATGTCACCATTAACCCACCACTGTACCACACCGCACCGCACTGCATCCGCACACACTTTGCTATTTAAGTGCCTGAGTGTTGAAAGCCTTGCCTAATGTGTTATTATTCCTGACAGGCTGTAAAGAACTGGTGGACTGTCCCAGGTTTGCCATGACATAGCAGGAATATTGCTGACTGTAGCGTAACAAATATTCACTCACTGTGATGTTTGAAGATTTAGTTATCCTGATGGTAGAACTCCATGTCCCAGGACAAGTTTCAGTACTCCAGGTGTAGACATGCAGACATGTAGACTGTGTGTACTGACAACAGGTGCTTGTTTCTGGCAGGATCTACGGCTGAAGGTGATGATCCTGGAGCTGCTGTCTGAGTGTGTGGAGACTCAGCCGGGACTCATCGAGGTCTTCCTCAACGTGCAGATGGTGGACTCCTCCGATGGCAAACGGGTAGGGAGGACTGGGTCGGATGGAACGATGGATGGATCGATAGTTGTGTATTTGAGAGATGGATGTGTGTTGGCAAGATACACGAGTGTGTGTTCATGAGAAGGACGTGTGAGATGGATGTGCATGCTGGTGAGATGGATGTGTGTTAGATGGATTAGCTGTCAGTATAGCCAGAATAGAGAGAATGGACTGCTGAAGGATAAGATGTTGCTAATAATGTCAGATGTTCCATCAACTGGAACTCCCAACAACAAACCCCCAACCCATCATGTTTGAGCTGCATGTGTGACTCCTGTATGTTGCAGCATGACCTGAGTTTGGGGAAGAGCTCCTGTCTGCAGACCGTCCTTGGACTCATGGACATCAAGAAACAGGTGAACCAACTTCTCCATGTTACACCGGTGTACTCCTGGGAATCAGAGTTAGAAATTAATAAGATTGCTGCCATCAGGACCCAGAGGCCCTGACTCTTCAGGCATTCATCTAAAAATCTGCGGCTTATTGTGACAAATATATCAACACGTAAATTTACTGCAGGCCATAAGACCCATATAGATTTGAAACTACGGCCCCGACAATAGGTCTACCTGCGACGGGACCACTGGCAGGCATTCAAACACTGATGGGAATCATTCCTATAGTTGTTTTAGGTCCAAGGGAAATATCCTGTACAGTTGCCCATATACAGTCGTGCCCCATGAGGGGATTCCAAACATATTTTATTATAAGTTGTAGCAGTGTCACGCAGGGTAGATGTGGTTTTATGCGTCCCGCGTGTACCTTGAGTTTACATGTGTACTCTGAGTGATACTGCTACAACAAATATATCTTAATGACATGTTTAAATCTGCAAATATAAAAGAATTTAAACAAATTAAACATTGATATAAAACAGCTGTTTGATTGAGCTGATGTTAACTTGTACTGTGTCACGTGACTTTCATTGACTGCGGCGTTTTGCTTCAAAATGGGGTATAAGGGATTTATTCTCCCGCTCAGAAATCTATGTGCTGCCTGTTTCCTTCATGGCGGGATTTTAGGGATTTATTCTTGTGCTCAGAAATGAATTTGCCTCCTAGGCAGAATACATGGTATCGTATCAAGACCACGTGAACCGATCATATTTCAACATTCTGCCATGGTGGTATTTTAAAGTTCTGTGTATCTCATGTTTGTCATAAGAGCTAACCGTAGAGCCTTGGTGGTCAGCCTCTTGTGGTCAGCCTTGGGTGGTCAGGCTCGGGTGGTCAGCCTCTGGTGGTCAGCCTTGGGTGGTCAGGCTCGGGAGGTCAGGCTTGGGAGGTCAGGCTCGGGAGGTCAGGCTTGGGAGGTCAGGCTCGGGTGGTCAGCCTCTGGTGGTCAGCCTTGGGTGGTCAGGCCATGGTGGTCAGGCTCGGGTGATTGTTATCGTGCCCATGAATGGCTGTCAAGACTTGATTTTTTATTGGCGCCAGTAGTGTGGCTGGAATTATTTGTCTAAATATTCCAACTATTATCAGTGGTAATTGTTTTGGATCACATGTTTTGGGTCATTTACGAACATGTGATCATTTTAGGGATTATGAGTAAGTGGACTCTTAGATGTAATATATATGAATTATAAATTCTACATGTGAAGTCAACGTCCAGTCAATCCACAAATGTTGGTTGTTGTCATTCAGAGTGGCATCATTGCCGCACGCTTTTCTCTTATATCCCTGCACCAGAAGTGTTGAAGGGCGGTCAGGTAGCCTAGTGGTTAAAGCGTTCACTTGTCATGCTGAAGACATGGGATCCATTCCCAACATGGGTACAATGTGTTAAGCCCATTTCTGTCCTCTTCTGTAACATTGCTGGAAAATTGCTAAAATCGGCATTAAGCCTCACTCAATCACTCACTCACTCACTCAGAAGTGTTGATTGCACATGCTTAAGAACTGGCAGTCCTATCTGTTTCCAGTTTAGATTTGTAATATGCTTATCAATAACTGACACGTTAACACAACGCAAAGGCATTATATCTCAAAGAGAGATTAAATGCTCTTCAGTCTGTACCCATTTTCAGTTGATCTCATGGGATAGTCCTATGTTGTTTGCTTCGGGAAAGTTTGGATTGGGAGATGAACAGGGTGTTTTTCACATTACTCCTTGGTGTTTGTTATGACTTGTTATTTTGTTCCCAGAGTAGCTACCAGTGTCCCCCAGACTTGCTGTGTGCGTCCGCTGACTTCATCCACTCCTTGTGGCGCGGACTCCGGGAGACGGCCATGGAGGTGCTCCGCACTAAGTAAGTCTGCCCACACTAAGTAGACGGGCCCTGCAAAAACAGACGTGCCCTGCACTAAGTAGACGTGTCCTGCACTAAGTAGACGTGTCCTGCACTAAGTAGACGTGCCCTGCACTAAGTAGACGTGTCCTGCACTAAGTAGATGTGTCCTGCACTCAGTAGACGTGTCCTGGACTAAGTAGACGTATCCTGCACTAAGTAGACGTGCCCTGCTCTAAGTAGACGTGTCCTGGACTAAGGAGACGTGTCCTGCACTAAGCAGGCGGGTCCTGCACTAAGCAGACATGCCCTGCACTAAGTAGACGTGCCCTGCACTAAGTAGACGTGTCCTGCACTAAGTAGACGTGCCCTGCACTAAGTAAACGTGCCCTGCACTAAGTAGACGTGCCCTGCACTAAGCAGACATGTCCTGCACTAAGCAGACGTGCACTAAGTAGACGTGTCCTGCACTAAGCAGACGTGCCCTGCACTAAGCAGACATGTCCTGCACTAAGTAGACTTGCCCTGCACTAAGTAGACGTGTCCTGCACTAAGTAGACATGCCCTGCACTAAGTAGACGTGTCCTGCACTAAGTAGACGTGCCCTGCCATAGGTAGACGTGTCCTGCACTAAGTAGACGTGTCCTGCACTAAGTGCACATGCCCTGCACTAAGTAGACATGCCCTGCACTAAGTAGACATGCCCTGCACTAAGCAGACGTGTCCTGCACTAAGCAGACGTGTCCTGCACTAAGTAGACATGCCCTGCACTAAGCAGACGTGTCCTGCACTAAGCAGACGTGTCCTGCACTAAGTAGACGTGTCCTGCACTAAGTAGACATGCCCTGCACTAAGTAGACATGCCCTGCACTAAGTAGACTTGCCCTGCACTAAGTAGACATGCCCTGCACTAAGTAGACTTGCCCTGCACTAAGTAGACATGCCCTGCACTAAGTAGACATGTCCTGCACTAAGTAGACATGCCCTGCACTAAGTAGACATGCCCTGCACTAAGTAGACATGCCCTGCCATAAGTGGATGTGCCCTGCACTAAGTAGACATGCCCTGCCATACGTAGACGTGTCCTACACTAAGTAGACGTGCCCTGCACTAAGAAGACGTGTCCTGCACTAAGTAAACGTGCCCTGCACTAAGTAGACATGCCCTGCACTAAGTAGACGTGTCCTGCACTAAGTAGACATGCCCTGCACTAAGTAGACGTGCCCTGCACTAAGCCGACGTGCTGTGCCCTGCAAAAAGTAGACGTGCTCTGCACTTAGTAGAAGTGTCTTACCATAAGTAAGTAAGACTGCCCCACACTAAGTAGACATGTCTTACCATAAGTAAGTAAGACTACTGCGTCTTGCCGTAAGTAAGTAAGACTGCCCAACACTAAGTAGACATGTCTTACCATAAGTAAGTAAGACTACTGCGTCTTGCCGTAAGTAAGTAAGCGTGCCCACACTAAGTAGAAGTGTCTTACCGTAAGTAAGTGAGACTGCCCCACACTAAGTAGACGTGTCTTGCCGTAAGTAAGTAAGCGTGCCCACACTAAGTAGACGTGTCTTGCCGTAAGTAAGTAAGCGTGCCCACACTAAGTAGACGTGTCTTGCCGTAAGTAAGTAAGCGTGCCCACACTAAGTAGACGTGTCTTGCCGTAAGTAAGTAAGCGTGCCCACACTAAGTAGACGTGTCTTGCCGTAAGTAAGTAAGCGTGCCCACACTAAGTAAGTCTGCATGCCGCTGTGTGTTTCAGGGACGCCTTCTGGCCGAGCGTGTTTGCTCCACTGACACGGAACCTGCCAGACCCGGCCTCCGACCTGAATGATCAACACTCCCTCAAGTTTGAGATGAAAACTGTGGCATTTGTCTTCAAGATCCTGGCCCAGGAACTCTACATAATCCACAGGTACAGACAGCCAGCCAGCCTTTACAGACTCACCCCGAAACAGTGCTTCTAGAGACAAGCTCACTCCCATGGCCAATGTTTGGCTTCTATCTGTTGAATTATTGCTATCTAGTGATGTTAAATGTTAGCTGACAGAAACTGTTGACTGCTGAGTCTTTGAGTAGGCTGGAAGTAAAGAAGCATTTCATGCAGCGAGGAAGTGTGGATGCACAAACTTGTTATACCCCCGACTTTTAGGTCGGGGGTATATAGTTATACCAAGGTTCCGTCTGTCCGTCCATCTGTCTGTCTGAAACTTTGTCCACGCGATTTCTCTTAAACTATTCAGTGGATTCATCTCAAACGTAGTACATATAATCTGTGTCATATGGAGGGGTGCAGTCAAAAGAAAAAAATTGTTTTTAATAATTTTCCATTTTTTTATTAATTTTTTAAACCCTAGCGTCTGTCCGAAAACTTTGTCCACGCGCTTTCTCTGAAACTATTCAGTGGATTCATCTCAAACATAGTACATGTAATCTGTGTCATATGGAGGGGTGCAGTCAAAAGAAAAAAAATGTTTTTATTGATTTTCCTAGCTATTTAATTTGAAACTACTGACACACAAGGCGGGTCGGGGCTATTAGTGAGCCACGTTCACTTTTTTTTTTCTTGTTTGTATTGAGTGGGGTATTCATGTTAAACTGGCATGGTATCTGAGTGGGCTAGCACTATAAAATCAGCATCAATCCGGACTGGTACAAGCAGCCATACATACACGTACATCGCTATATAAGTGCAATAATCTTGGGATGTGATGTTTAACCCAATTTCACCTCGCCACATTTCTTAAAAACGACATATAGCCTGGTCAAAATCAGAATACAGACATGTACCTTAGCTTTCCACTGAATAGCATTGAAGCAGCTGTACAGTCCAGTCAAAGGGGCATGAAAGGGTTGGTGGGTTCACTTGTAATGTGAAGACTCACATCATACTAGATTGTTAGCAAATGACAACTGTTGTGACGAAATATAATTGATGAGTTTATTTAAACAGCAAAAGTGAATGAAAACTGAGTCGACAGGTTCTCTTCCTGAAGCTCTGTTTGTTGGAAATGGTTTTAAACATCGTTATAAGTCCAGCTGGTCTAGTGCATTGTTGTTGCTTGCTAGGTCAACCTCTGTATTCTTGTTTGTTTGTTTGTTGTTTAACGCTGCACTCAGCAATATTCCAGCTGGATGATGGCAGTCTGCAAATAATCAAGAGTGGACCAGACAGTCCAGTGCTTGACATCATGAGCATCGATCAATGCAACTGGGATACGATGACATGCATCAACCAGTCGAGGCTGACCACCCAATCCCGTTAGTCGCCTCTTACGATAAGCATGTGTATTCTTGTTTTGGCCAGGGTACATTTCTGTAGTACCCAACATGGCAATGACTCCTTCAGTGGCGGCATCAGCAGTCCCCCTTTGGGATTCTGTGTTAACACCGGTCCCCTGCAACCTGTGTTGGTCGTAAGAGGTGGCTTAAGGATGGGGTTGTCTCACTCAGGGCCTTTTTTGATAGTGTGTGTTCCAATGTTGGTTTGGATCGTTGCTCATAACATCAATCACTGGATTGTCTAGTCCAGACTCGATCATTTACAGACTGTTGTCATATAACTGGATTATTGTTGATTGCAACAACAAACTGAACAACCAAACATCAGCACTGGTTTGCCTGAGCCAGACTTGATTTTTGTAATTTGTTTTCTGATTGTGGTGTAAGACATAAAGAAAACTAACAGTAACACCTGACAGCCATTTCCTGACTCTCTCATCTCTGTGTCTGCAGGGATGGTCGGGTAGCCTAGTGGTTGAAGCGTTCGCTCGTCACGCCGAAGACCCGGGTTTGATTCCCGACATGGGTACAATGTGTGAAGCCCATTTCTGGTGTCCCCCGCTATGATATTGCTGGAATATCGCTAAAACCGGCGTAAAATCTTACTCACTCACTCTCTCATCTCTGTGTCTGCAGCTCCAAGCTGGATGACAAGCTGAAGAAGTCGCTGCAGATGATCTCCAAGGACAAACGACTCAACACCTGGACTGAGGTAGGTGGTGGGGTCTGGGTGTAGCGATGCCCAGGACTGCATCCATTGTCAAGTGGGTAGAGGTCTGTCCGGAGAGCGGGCGGTTGGGTAGCCTAGTTGTTAAAGCGTTCGATCATCACGCCGAAGACCCGGGTTCGATTCCCGACATGGGTACAATGTGTGAAGCCCATTTCTGGTGTCCCCCGCCGTGATATTGCTGGAATATTGCTAAAAGCGGCGTAAAACCATATTCACTCACTCACTCACTGTCCGGAGAGCAGAATCTTTTGGAGTGATCCCTGGCTGAATCGTACCAAAAGATGTTAGAAGATGGTACTTGTTGTTAGGACTGGTCGGCTGGGAGTCTGGAGTGTGTGCTCCACTTCTATGTATATCATGCATACTGCCGTGGTATAACTGTCATTACTCACTGCAGCATGGAATCTCCATCCCAACTGTGCCCTGGCTAACTTGGTGTAGCATCACACGTAATGACAAAAGGCATGCTCACACTATTGACCATCTGGTTGGCTGGGAGTGTGGATTGTGTGCACCACTTCTATGTATATCATGCATACTGCCGTGGTATAACTGTCATTACTCACTGCAGCATGGAATCTCCATCCTAACTGTGCCCTGGCTAACTTGGTGTAGCATCACACGTAATGACATAGAGCCATGCTCACATTATTGACCATCTGGTTGGCTGGGAGTGTGGAGTGTGTGCACCACATCTATGTATATCATGCATACTGCCGTGGTATAACCACCATTACTCACTGCAGCATGGAATCTCCATCCCAACTGTGCCCTGGCTAACTTGGTGTAGCATCACACGTAATGACATAGAGGCATGCTCACACTATTGACCATCTGGTCGGCTGGGAGTGTGGAGTGTGGAGTGTGTGCACCACATCTATGTATATCATGCATACTGCCGTGGTATAACTGTCATTACTCACTGTAGCATGGAATCTCCATCCTAACTGTGTCCTGGCGAACTTAGTGTAGCATCACACGTAATGACATAGAGGCATGCTCACACTATTGACCACCGGTTGGTGTGCTCCAGTGCTGAGTATCCCATGTATGCTGCATGTAGGGTTAGAAATTGACTGGTATTTTAACTCGTCTGCAAATATGAATTGCTATATAGCTGCCCTCTAACCTAATGGTATAAGTGACAGTCCAGAAGGAAATGAGTGAGTGAGTTTAGTTTTGTGCCACTTTTAGGATTTTTTACTGTTGTGTTCCAGTTCTTGAGACGCTGTCTGGTGGCAGAGGGGGAGAACGCTGAAGTTGGGAGTGATGAAGAGCTGAAGGAGAATGCAACACTACAGCTCCTGTTGGCCTGGAAGAACTTCCTCGTTACATCATCTAAGTTCAAGGTCAGTAGTAATTAATGTTTAGTGATTGTTTGGTTCAATACTTGTGTCATTTGAGCCTCATTCACAGCTATCTGAGCACTAAGACTTTGAAAGTTCTGAACATGATTGAACTTGATTTACCTGCTCCATTTACCTGCATATTGACTTGAAAAGGTAGTTGCACCAGACTAAACCAGGTTGCACCCAGGTCTCAAAAATCAAGTTGAAACACAGATGGATAAGTTAGTATAAGTAAGTAAAATGTCAGATCTCTGAATGTAATGGATTACACATGAGGTGTCTCACTCAGTAACACCTTGAGTCTGTCCTTGTGTCTCACTCAGTAACACCTTGAGTCTGTCCTTGTGTCTCACTCAGTAACACCTTGAGCCTGTCCTTGTGTCTCACTCAGTAACACCTTGAGTGTCTCCTTATGTCTCACCCAGTAACACCTTGAGTCTGTCCTTGTGTCTCACTCAGTAACACCTTGAGTCTGTCCTTGTGTCTCAGTTACACCTTGAGTCTGTCCTTGAGACTCACTCAGTAACACCTTGAGTGTCTCCTTATGTCTCACCCAGTAACACCTTGAGTCTGTCCTTGTGTCTCAGTTACACCTTGAGTCTGTCCTTGAGACTCACTCAGTAACACCTTGAGTCTGTCCTTGTGTCTCCCTCAGTAACACCTTGAGTCTCTCCTTCTGTCTCAGTAACACCTTGAGTCTCTCCTTCTGTCTCAGTAACACCTTGAGTCTGTCCTTCTGTCTCAGTAACACCTTGAGTTTGTCCTTGTGTCTCACACAGTAACACTTTGAGTCTGTCCTTGTGTCTCAGTAACACCTTGAGTCTGTCCTTGTGTCTCAGTAACACTTTGAGTCTGTCCTTGTGTCTCACACAGTAACACTTTGAGTCTGTCTTGTTTCCAGGTGGATGATCTGACGCTGCCCGAGAAGATGAAGGAGAAGATCATCACAGATCTGCTCTGCGGGATACAGGCCCAGGTGAGATTGTCGTCACTACATCTCAAGGTGGAAACAAATAGAGCTGTAAGACTGTGCCAACAGCTTGTTTTTAGGCATTTGATATTAGTGTTAGTATATGGACTGGCTAAAGCTGATTTTACTTGACCGTAAAGCATATTACTAGACATGGGCTTCAGCCCAGCAGCTAAAGCAGAGATGCCAACCATTACGCTTTTGACGTAATTATTACGCTTTTGAGCCTAAAATTATGCTCTTTAGCCTGTCATCCCCAAATTATGATTTTAGACATTTTTTCCACAAATTATTTACATGTATAAAATATCACAAAGAGCAAATTGTTAATGCACCGGTCACATGAAGCATTCTACAGGGAGCTAATTGCATGTACACCGGTACTTCTTAGGAACTCAAAACACCACATTGTCTTTCTGACAATACAGTTAATATTGTCACATGAAGAATTTTATGAATGTGTGGAACCTTGACTATGTGTTTTGGCATGAATACAGTGTTTCCGACGCAATTCGTTATCGCCTCGCTAAAATAACAGGTTTGGGGGGGGCTTGCTCCCATGGAACAGCTTCAATTAAATTGAACAGCTTGAATTCAATGCTTTCGTAAGTGATTCATAATTTATAACTAAGGTGTTATACAAAATACAGGTCTGTTTGAAATGTTAGGTCACTGCTGAGGTTGCCTCATGCTGTTATGGAACTTCTATTTTCGAGTACTTTTTCGATGTTGATGTGCAAGTTTTTCAATGTTTATTGATTGATATTCAATTTTAAGATTTAGTCATGTATAACCATACAAACACAAGGAGATTAATTTTTCTACTTATTATGAGCTTTATCGCCCCGTTTTTTTAAATATTGTGATTGCTTGTGTGGCTACATTACTAGCGTCAATGCACGTGTACACGTGCTTCATGTACATATAGGCCTAACGAAAATGACGAAGCAAAGACCAGCATCCTGGCATGTTACTCTTAACATTACTCTTTTCATATGGAAGTATTCATTTTTACGCTACTGATTACTCCAAAGCTTCAATTAGGGTTGGCATCCTGCTAAAGTTGCAGACTGAGCTGGTTTAAACCTCCTTTCATACAGACCTATGAGATTGTGGGTTAGAATTTGTGGTTAAAGCGTTAGCTCGTCACGCCAAAGACCCGGGTTCGATTCCCGACATGGGTACAATGTGTGAAGCCCATTTCTGGTGTCCCCCGCCTAGATATTGCTGGAATATTGCTAAAAGCGGCGTAAAACCAAACTCACTCCTACCCCATACATACCCCTAAGCAACCTACGCTTTTCGAAAGAGGTGACTAAATGGATCGTGATCTCTAGCTCGGTGGCTTGGATGATTAAACGTGTTGATTCTGGGTTTGAATAGCTCACCAGCAATCTACGCTTGTCATAAGAGGTGACATGGTTGATTACATGTCATTGGTTCCCAGTTGCATGGATCGAGGATCCTTGATGATCACTGGATTGTCTGGTCCAGACTCGATTATTTACATACCAGCATTATATAGCTGGAATATTGCTGAAAGTTAAGCAACAAACAAACAAACAAACCATTCAATCAGTTATGGTAACAGGCGAGCCAGTTGCAAATGGCAACTCCATTTACTGTGCAGAGTAGCGTCCCTTATTAACAGCAGGATGATGATGTCCGTTGTCTGTCAACATCATCCCTGACTAAATCTCAATCAACAAACACTTGCTATACATACCTTTGGATAACTAGATTGTAGATTCACAGGGGACAAGTTGTGCCATCTTCTGTGAAGCCTTCTTGTTGGATTAAAAACATTGCTTTTTTTCATATTCCAAATGAAGCTGGCATCAGTAAAACACTGGACGAGAAAGGAATTGTCTCTTATAATATGTATAATCAAACTATATGTTGAGATGAAGATAAACAATGCTCCGTTATATTTATTTGATTTCAATTATTTTTGTTATGTTGTTTTCAGTTTAAAGGAAGTCTTACGGCTCTGAACATGAAGCTAGCATCAGTAGCCAGCGCTCTGCTCTTCACACTAGTCAAACACTGGACAAGGTAGGTAACTCTGTCAGGAACATGAAGCTAGCATCATTAGCCATAGCTCTGCTCTTCACACTGGTCAAACACTGGACAAGGTAGGTAACTCTGTCAGGAACATGAAGCTAGCATCAGTAGCCATAGCTCTGCTCTTCACACTGGTCAAACACTGGACAAGGTAGGTAACTCTGTCAGGAACATGAAGCTAGCATCATTAGCCATAGCTCTGCTCTTCACACTGGTCAAACACTGGACAAGGTTCAGGCAGTTAGGTAGCCTCGTGGTTAAAACCATGGCCACGTAAAGTCACTCACTCACTCTTAACAAGGTAGGTAACTCCATCAGCAACTGATTCAGTTTTATTTTTCTTATTCCCATGTGAAGTGAAGAAAATATATGTTTGCCTTGTTTTCAGTTGCATCAGCAAGCCCTCCGCCATGATGGTGACATTGCGGGAGGCTGTCGGGGAGACATGTGCCAACAGCGAGACCCTCATCCCCTCCGTACAGATCGGCCTCCTGGGATGTCTCACCATACTTCTACAGCACAGCAGGCAGGAGAACACTGTCGGTGAGTTCAACATTTAATGTGTTGTAGCTCTGGTTGCATGTGGGAGATCAGGAGGTACATTGGAGCTCTTTAGTGTGTTGTAGCTCTGGTTGCATGTGAGAGATCAAGAGGTACATTGTAGCTCTTTAGTGTGTTGTAGCTCTGGTTGCATGTGGGAGATCAGGAGGTACATTGTAGCTCTTTAGTTTGTTGTAGCTCTGGTTGCATGTGGGAGATCAGGAGGTACATTGTAGCTCTTTATTGTGTTGTAGCTCTGGTTGCATGTGAGAGATCAAGAGGTACATTGTAGCCATTTAGTGTGTTGTAGCTCTGGTTGCATGAGGGAGATCAAGAGGTACATTGTAGCTCTTTAGTGTGTTGTAGCTCTGGTTGCATGTGAGAGATCAAGAGGTACATTGTAGCTCTTTACTGTGTTGTAGCTCTGGTTGCATGTGGGAGATCAGGAGGTACATTGTAGCTCTCTAGTGTGTTGTAGCTCTGGTTGCATGAGGGAGATCAAGAGGTACATTGTAGCTCTTTAGTGTGTTGTAGCTCTGGTTGCATGAGGGAGATCAGGAGGTACATTGTAGCTCTTTATTGTGTTGTAGCTCTGGTTGCATGTGGGAGATCAGGAGGTACATTGTAGCTCTTTAGTGTGTTGTAGCTCTGGTTGCATGAGGGAGATCAAGAGGTACATTGTAGCCATTTAGTGTGTTGTAGCTCTGGTTGCATGTGGGAGATCAGGAGGTACATTGTAGCTCTTTAGTGTGTTGTAGCTCTGGTTGCATGTGGGAGATCAGGAGGTACATTGTAGCTCTTTAGTGTGTTGTAGCTCTGGTTGCATATGGGAGATCAAGAGGTACATTGTAGCTCTTTAGTGTGTTGTAGCTCTGGTTGCATGTGGGAGATCAAGAGGTACATTGTAGCTCTTTAGTGTGTTGTAGCTCTGGTTGCATGTGAGAGATCAAGAGGTACATTGTAGCTCTTTAGTGTGTTGTAGCTCTGGTTGCATGTGGGAGATCAGGAGGTACATTGTAGCTCTTTAGTGTGTTGTAGCTCTGGTTGCATATGGGAGATCAAGAGGTACATTGTAGCTCTTTAGTGTGTTGTAGCTCTGGTTGCATGTGGGAGATCAAGAGGTACATTGTAGCTCTTTAGTGTGTTGTAGCTCTGGTTGCATGAGGGAGATCAAGAGGTACATTGTAGCCATTTAGTGTGTTGTAGCTCTGGTTGCATGAGGGAGATCAAGAGGTACATTGTAGCTCTTTAGTGTGTTGTAGCTCTGGTTGCATGTGGGAGATCAAGAGGTACATTGTAGCTCTTTAGTGTGTTGTAGTTCTTTAGTGTGTTGTAGCTCTGGTTGCATATGGGAGATCAAGAGGTACATTGTAGCTCTTTAGTGTGTTGTAGCTTTGGTTGCATGAGGGAGATCAGGAGGTACATTGTAGCTCTTTAGTGTGTTGTAGCTCTGGTTGCATGTGGGAGATCAAGAGGTACATTGTAGCCATTTAGTGTGTTGTAGCTCTGGTTGCATGTGGGAGATCAGGAGGTACATTGTAGCTCTTTAGTGTGTTGTAGCTCTGGTTGCATGTGGGAGATCAGGAGATACATTGTAGCTCTTTAGTGTGTTGTAGCTCTGGTTGCATGAGGGAGATCAAGAGGTACATTGTAGCTCTTTAGGGTGTTGTAGCTCTGGTTGCATGTGGGAGATCAGGAGGTACATTGTAGCTCTTTAGTGTGTTGTAGCTCTGGTTGCATGTGAGAGATCAGGAGGTACATTGGAGCTCTTTAGTGTGTTGTAGCTCTGGTTGCATGTGGGAGATCAAGAGGTACATTGTAGCTCTTTAGTTTGTTGTAGCTCTGGTTGCATGTGAGAGATCAAGAGGTACAGTGTAGCTCTTTAGTGTGTTGTAGCTCTGGTTGCATGAGGGAGATCAGGAGGTACATTGTAGCCATTTAATGTGTTGTAGCTCTGGTTGCATGTGAGAGATCAAGAGGTACATTGTAGCTCTTTACTGTGTTGTAGCTCTGGTTGCATGTGAGAGATCAAGAGGTACATTGTAGCTCTTTAGTTTGTTGTAGCTCTGGTTGCATGTGGGAGATCAAGAGGTACATTGTAGCTCTTTATTGTGTTGTAGCTCTGGTTGCATGAGGGAGATCAGGAGGTACATTGTAGCTCTTTAGTGTGTTGTAGCTCTGGTTGCATGTGGGAGATCAAGAGGTACATTGTAGCTCTTTAGTGTGTTGTAGCTCTGGTTGCATGAGGGAGATCAGGAGGTACATTGTAGCTCTTTAGTGACTTGTAGCTCTGGTTGCATGTGGGAGATCAAGAGGTACATTGTAGCTCTTTAGTGTGTTGTAGCTCTGGTTGCATGAGGGAGATCAGGAGGTACATTGTAGCTCTTTAGTGTGTTGTAGCTCTGGTTGCATGTGAGAGATCAAGAGGTACATTGTAGCCATTTAATGTGTTGTAGCTCTGGTTGCATGTGGGAGATCAAGAGGTACATTGTAGCTCTTTACTGTGTTGTAGCTCTGGTTGCATGTGAGAGATCAGGAGGTACATTGGAGCTCTTTAGTGTGTTGTAGCTCTGGTTGCATGTGAGAGATCAAGAGGTACATTGTAGCTCTTTACTGTGTTGTAGCTCTGGTTGCATGTGGGAGATCAAGAGGTACATTGTAGCTCTTTAGTGTGTTGTAGCTCTGGTTGCATGTGGGAGATCAAGAGGTACATTGTAGCCATTAAGTGTGTTGTAGCTCTGGTTGCATGAGGGAGATCAAGAGGTACATTGTAGCCATTTAGTGTGTTGTTGCTCTGGTTGCATGTGGGAGATCAAGAGGTACATTGTAGCTCTTTAGTGTGTTGTAGCTCTGGTTGCATGTGGGAGATCAAGAGCTACATTGTAGCCATTTAGTGTGTTGTAGCTCTGGTTGCATGTGGGAGATCAAGAGGTACATTGTAGCTCTTTACTGTGTTGTAGCTCTGGTTGCATGTGAGAGATCAAGAGGTACATTGTAGCTCTTTAGTTTGTTGTAGCTCTGGTTGCATGTGGGAGATCAAGAGGTACATTGTAGCTCTTTAGTGTGTTGTAGCTCTGGTTGCATGAGGGAGATCAGGAGCTACATTGTAGCTCTTTAGTGTGTTGTAGCTCTGGTTGCATGTGGGAGATCAAGAGGTACATTGTAGCTCTTTAGTGTGTTGTAGCTCTGGTTGCATGAGGGAGATCAGGAGGTACATTGTAGCTCTTTAGTGTGTTGTAGCTCTGGTTGCATGTGGGAGATCAAGAGCTACATTGTAGCCATTTAGTGTGTTGTAGCTCTGGTTGCATGAGGGAGATCAAGAGGTACATTGTAGCTCTTTACTGTGTTGTAGCTCTGGTTGCATGTGAGAGATCAAGAGGTACATTGTAGCTCTTTAGTTTGTTGTAGCTCTGGTTGCATGTGGGAGATCAAGAGGTACATTGTAGCTCTTAAGTGTGTTGTAGCTCTGGTTGCATGAGGGAGATCAAGAGGTACATTGTAGCCATTTAGTGTGTTGTAGCTCTGGTTGCATGTGAGAGATCAAGAGGTACATTGTAGCTCTTTAGTTCGTTGTAGCTCTGGTTGCATGTGGGAGATCAAGAGGTACATTGTAGCTCTTTAGGGTGTTGTAGCTCTGGTTGCATGAGGGAGATCAGGAGGTACATTGTAGCTCTTTAGTGTGTTGTAGCTCTGGTTGCATGTGGGAGATCAAGAGGTACATTGTAGCTCTTTAGTGTGTTGTAGCTCTGGTTGCATGTGGGAGATCAAGGGGTACATTGTAGCTCTTTAGTGTGTTGTAGCTCTGGTTGCATGTGAGAGATCAAGAGGTACATTGTAGCCATTTAATGTGTTGTAGCTCTGGTTGCATGAGGGAGATCAAGAGGTACATTGTAGCTCTTTAGTGTGTTGTAGCTCTGGTTGCATGTGAGAGATCAGGAGGTACATTGTAGCTCTTTACTGTGTTGAAGCTCTGGTTGCATGAGGGAGATCAAGAGGTACATTGTAGCTCTTTAGTGTGTTGTAGCTCTGGTTGCATGTGGGAGATCAAGAGGTACATTGTAGCTCTTTAGTGTGTTGTAGCTCTGGTTGCATGAGGGAGATCAAGAGGTACATTGTAGCTCTTTAGTGTGTTGTAGCTCTGGTTGCATGTGGGAGATCAGGAGGTACATTGTAGCTCTTTAGTTTGTTGTAGCTCTGGTTGCATGTGGGAGATCAAGAGGTACATTGTAGCTCTTTAGTGTGTTGTAGCTCTGGTTGCATGTGAGAGATCAAGAGGTACATTGTAGCTCTTTAGTGTGTTGTAGCTCTGGTTGCATGTGGGAGATCAAGAGGTACATTGTAGCTCTTTAGTTTGTTGTAGCTCTGGTTGCATGTGGGAGATCAGGAGGTACATTGTAGCTCTTTAGTGTGTTGTAGCTCTGGTTGCATGTGGGAGATCAGGAGGTACATTGTAGCTCTTTAGTGTGTTGTAGCTCTGGTTGCATGTGGGAGATCAAGAGGTACATTGTAGCTCTTTAGTGTGTTGTAGCTCTGGTTGCATGTGGGAGATCAGGAGGTACATTGTAGCTCTTTAGTGTGTTGTAGCTCTGGATGCATGTGGGAGATCAGGAGGTACATTGTAGCTCTTTAGTGTGTTGTAGCTCTGGTTGCATGAGGGAGATCAGGAGGTACATTGTAGCTCTTTAGTGTGTTGTAGCTCTGGTTGCATGAGGGAGATCAAGAGGTACATTGTAGCTCTTTAGTGTGTTGTAGCTCTGGTTGCATGAGGGAGATCAAGAGGTACATTGTAGCTCTTTAGTGTGTTGTAGCTCTGGTTGCATGAGGGAGATCAAGAGGTACATTGTAGCTCTTTAGTGTGTTGTAGCTCTGGTTGCATGAGGGAGATCAAGAGGTACATTGTAGCTCTTTAGTGTGTTGTAGCTCTGGTTGCATGAGGGAGATCAAGAGGTACATTGCTGGTGCCATGTTGTATGTCTTGCTGACGTGGATGGTACTTTTTGTAGCTCTGGACACTGACAAGTTGACGGACCTGCTGCCCAACGTCTGCTCGGTGCTGATCCAGAGTTCCCGCCAGCTCCCGGGGCCCAGGGGGATGCGGGACCCAGGCAGCACCCAGCCGCCGACCGGGGAGACGAGGGACGTAGGGAGCATGCAGTTGACACAGGGGGAGGCCAGGGATACAGGCAGTAAAGAGGGGGAGACTGTAGATGCTAAACTCAAAGTGAGTGGGTGGATTGAGAACTCTGGAAGTTTGAAATTTTGTAATGAAATGTATTCCTTCAAATAGTGACATGTTCTATGTATTATGTGCATCACAGGTTCAAGTTATGATTAGACCTCCTCCGTGGTAGAGTCTGCACCCAGAGAACGGAAGGTCCGGGGTTCGATCCACATCATAAAAAAAATATGTTACTTGTTGTTACCCTGTCTGGCGCTCGGCATTAAGGGGCTAAAACAAGGACTGGTCGGCTCGGAGTCAGTATACTGTGTCTGAGTGGGGTATTCATGTTAAATTGCGGCATGGTATCACAGTGGACTGGCACTATAAAATCAGTCCAGACTAGTACAAGCAGCCACACACACACACGGGCATGCACATTGCTATATAAGTGCAATAATCTTGCTCGTCAAACCCTGTTTCGCCTCACTTCAAGTTATGATTTGGGGTGTGGCTGTCCCAGGCCTCATGGACAGGGGTTTTCATTCCTAGAGTCGTGCCAATTACGATGATAGGTTGTCAACACCTACCAGTTCTTGTTGGTTAAGATCTAAGATCGGTTTCTCTACAGGTCTTTCCAGACTAGTGGTCTAGTGGAAAAGGTATGTCTACCAGGAGAGCAGAAGGTTTGTGGTTCAATCCCCAGTCGTGTCAAACCAAAAGACATTAAAAGATCGAGTTTTTCCCTGACTGGCCGGGTCAGATTCAGTATGCTGCGTTTGTGAGAGGTATCCATCTTTAATGGATGTTAAACCCCATTTCACCACAGGCTTTCCTCCCACATTAAGCTGATACGCCATGATATAACTATGATGGTATTCAAAGAATAACACGCAACTCACAAACACTGGAAGTGAGCTGCAGTCTACTGGGAGATACGAGCAGCGGTGACCAGGACTAGTGTCTGTCTGAGCTGATTGGCTCTGTATGCCATGAGACCAACAGTCGTGTAGGGTACCTGAACTTTCTGCTTGTAAAATCCTGTCCATCGATACTCGAGCATGTGAAGAATATATTATTACAAGCTCACAAGTTACAAAACTAATGTTCGGTAAAATATTTTGTGTGACATTTAGATATACCTTGTGCCCGACCTCCTACTCTCGCTATGTAACCCAACATGCATTGGGATGTGAGAAGCAAGGGACATCACATAGGTAGCTATGACATCATGATGTCTGTACAGACTATTCATCTGATTTGTTTGGGTTATCACAAGACAATGACTGGCCAATAGGATTGCTCTATTTGTTTACGTGTAATATTTGTCTATAATGCGTGTTTTGTGACTCACAGCTTCAGATTGTCATCTGTGGTCTGCTGGAGGAACTGATCGAGGTGATCGGGGACGACCAGGTGTGGAGTCAGTGTGTAGTTCATTATACATGTGTTGTGTGACTCACAGCTTCAGATTGTCACCTGTAGTCTGCTGGAGGAACTGATCGAGGTGATCGGGGACGACCAGGTGTGGAGTCAGTGTGTGGTTAATTATACATGTGTTGTGTGACTCACAGCTTCAGATTGTCACCTGTAGTCTGCTTGAGGAACTGATCGAGGTGATCGGGGACGACCAGGTGTGGTGTCAGTGTGTGGTTCATTATACATGTGTTGTGTGACTCACAGCTTCAGATTGTCACCTGTAGTCTGCTTGAGGAACTGATCGAGGTGATCGGGGACGACCAGGTGTGGAGTCAGTGTGTGGTTCATTATACATGTGTTGTGTGACTCACAGCTTCAGATTGTCACCTGTAGTCTGCTTGAGGAACTGATCGAGGTGATCGGGGACGACCAGGTGTGGAGTCAGTGTGTAGTTCATTATACATGTGTTGTGTGACTCACAGCTTCAGATTGTCACCTGTAGTCGCTGAAGGAACTGATCGAGGTGGTCGGGGAAGACCAGGTGTGGTGTCAGTGTGTAGTTCATTATACAGTTCATTATACATGTGTTGTGTGACTCACAGCTTCAGATTGTCACCTGTAGTCTGCTGGGGGAACTGATCGAGGTGATCGGGGAAGACCAGGTGTTGAGTCAGTGTGTAGTTCATTATACATGTGTTGTGTGACTCACAGCTTCAGATTGTCACCTGTAGTCTGCTGGAGGAACTGATCGAGGTGATCGGGGACGACCAGGTGTGGATGCCCATCCTGCAGCAGCACTCCATCCTGCAGACTCTGCTCATCTCGGTGGAGTCCTTCATGAAGGTAGGCACTGCAATGTCACACTGTACAAGAAGGCAGTGTTATAACATCTTGATGGCCAATCCAGCAACCATAATAATGATAATTAAAAAATAATTTTTAAATAAACTTTTATCTTTATATGCTGCATATTAATAAATAAATAAATGAATAAATAATAATAACAACAACAACAACGGTAATAATGATAATATTCTTTTCCCTAATTATTCAGGAACAATAATAATCTCTGTATATTTAACTACAAACTGTTAGTATGAAAAGAGAATGGGTACAAAGATTTTGAAATATAAAAACTAATACAACAACTTTGATAACATATCAATGACTGTTTTGTGCCTGCAGGCCAAGCGAGGACTGCCGTATGTGCATGCTGTGTTCCTGCTGCTGCTCAGCGTGGCGCGGTCAGAAAGGGTAGGTGCACCTCCTGGTGTTGCTGTTAGGATTTACCCTAGGTTCACTTAAAGAAATGTGTGTGTACAGTCAAGGTAAACGTGTATACAGTCATGGTAAACGTGTGAACAGACATGGTAAACGTGTATGCAGTCAAGGTAAACGTGTATACAGTCAAGGTAAACGTGTATACAGTCATGGTAAACGTGTATACAGTCAAGGTAAACGTGTGTACAGTCAACGCAAACGTGTATACAGTCATGGTAAACGTGTGTACAGTCAACGTAAACATGTGTACAGTCAAGGTAAACGTGTATACAGTCAAGGTAAACGTGTATACAGTCATGGTTAACGTGTGTACAGTCAACGTAAACGTGTGTACAGTCAACGCAAACGTGTATACAATCATGGTAAATGTGTGAACAGTCAACGTAAACGTGTGTTTAGTCATGGTAAACGTGTGTACAGTCAACGTAAACGACTGTACAGTCAACGTAAACGTGTGTACAGTCAACGTAAACGTGTGTACAGTCAACGTAAACGTGTGTACAGTCATGGTAAACGTGTGCACAGTCAATGTAAACGTGTGTACAGTCATGGTTAACGTGTGTACAGTCATCGCAAACGTGTATACAGTCATGGTAAACGTGTGTACAGTCAAGGTAAACGTGTGTACAGTCAAGGTAAATGTGTGTATAGTCAATGTAAACGTGTGTACTGTCATGGTAAACGTGTGTACAGTCAAGGTAAACGTGTGTACAGTCAATGTAAATGTGTGTACAGTCAACGTTATCGTATATACAGTCATGGTAAACGTGTGTACAGTCATGGTAAACGTGTGTACAGTCAACGTAAACCTGTGTACAGTCAATGTAAATTTGTGTACAGTCAACGTTATCGTATATACAGTCAGGGTAAACGTATATACAGTCAGGGTAAATTTGTTTACAGTCAAGGTAAACGTGTGTACAGTCAAGGTAAACGTGTGTACTGTCAATGTAAATGTGTGTACAGTCAACGTAAACGTGTGTACAGTCAATGTAAACGTGTGTACAGTCAACGTAAACGTGTGTAGTCATGGTTAACGTGTGTACAGTCAAAGTAAACGTGTGTACAGTCAAGGTAAATGTATGTACAGTCAACGTAAACCTGTGTACAGTCAGGGTAAACGTATGTACAGTCAGGGTAAATGTATGTACAGTCAAGGTAAACGTGTGTACAGTCAGGGTAAACGTGTGTACAGTCAGGGTAAACGTATGTACAGTCAAGGTAAATGTGTGTACAGTCAGGGTAAACGTATGTACAGTCAAGGTAAATGTGTGTACAGTCAACGTTAACATATATACAGTCAAGGTAAACGTATGTACAGTCAGGGTAAACGTATGTACAGTCAAGGTAAATGTGTGTACAGTCAGGGTAAACGTATGTACAGTCAAGGTAAATGTGTGTACAGTCAGGGTAAATGTATGTACAGTCAAGGTAAATGTGTTTACAGTCAGGGTAAATGTATGTACAGTCAAGGTAAATGTGTGTACAGTCAGGGTAAACGTATGTACAGTCAAGGTAAATGTGTGTACAGTCAGGGTAAACGTGTGTACAGTCAAGGTAAACGTGTGTACAGTCAAGGTAAACGTGTGTACTGTCAATGTAAATGTGTGTACAGTCAACGTAAACGTGTGTACAGTCAATGTAAACGTGTGTACAGTCAACGTAAACGTGTGTAGTCATGGTTAACGTGTGTACAGTCAAAGTAAACGTGTGTACAGTCAAGGTAAATGTATGTACAGTCAACGTAAACCTGTGTACAGTCAGGGTAAACGTATGTACAGTCAAGGTAAATGTGTGTACAGTCAGGGTAAATGTATGTACAGTCAAGGTAAATGTGTTTACAGTCAGGGTAAATGTATGTACAGTCAAGGTAAATGTGTGTACAGTCAGGGTAAACGTGTGTACAGTCAGGATAAACGTATGTACAGTCAGGGTAAACGTATGTACAGTCAAGGTAAATGTATGTACAGTCAACGTAAACCTGTGTACAGTCAGGGTAAACGTATGTACAGTCAGGGTAAATGTATGTACAGTCAAGGTAAACGTGTGTACAGTCAGGGTAAACGTGTGTACAGTCAGGGTAAACGTATGTACAGTCAAGGTAAATGTGTGTACAGTCAGGGTAAACGTATGTACAGTCAAGGTAAATGTGTGTACAGTCAGGGTAAACGTGTGTACAGTCAAGGTAAACGTATGTACAGTCAGGGTAAACGTATGTACAGTCAAGGTAAATGTGTGTACAGTCAGGGTAAACGTATGTACAGTCAAGGTAAATGTGTGTACAGTCAGGGTAAATGTATGTACAGTCAAGGTAAATGTGTTTACAGTCAGGGTAAATGTATGTACAGTCAAGGTAAATGTGTGTACAGTCAGGGTAAACGTGTGTACAGTCAGGATAAACGTATGTACAGTCAGGGTAAACGTATGTACAGTCAAGGTAAATGTATGTACAGTCAAGGTAAACGTATGTACAGTCAAGGTAAATGTGTGTACAGTCAGGGTAAACGTATGTACAGTCAAGGTAAATGTGTGAACAGTCAGGGTAAACGTATGTACAGTCAAGGTAAATGTGTGTACAGTCAACGTAAACGTGTGTACATTCAAGTTAAATATGTATACAGTCATGGTAAACGTGTGTACAGTCAACGTAAACATGTGTACAGTCAAGGTAAATGTGTGTATAGTCAGGGTAAACGTGTGTACAGTCAAGGTAAACGTGTGTACATTCAAGGTAAACGTGTGTACAGTCAAGGTAGATGTGTGTACAGTCAAGGTAAACGTGTGTACTGTCAATGTAAATGTGTGTACAGTCAACGTTAACATATATACAGTCAATGTAAACGTGTGTACAGTCAACGTAAACGTGTGTACAGTCAAGGTAGATGTGTACAGTCAAAGTAAACGTATATACAGTCTTGGTAAATGTGTACAGTCAACGTAAACGTGTGTACAGTCAAGGTAGATGTGTACAGTCAAGGTAAACGTATATACAGTCTTGGTAAATGTGTACAGTCAACGTAAACGTGTGTACAGTCAAGGTAGATGTGTACAGTCAAGGTAAACATATATACAGTCTTGGTAAATGTGTGCAGTCAACGTAAACGTGTGTACAGTCAAGGTAGATGTGCATGTAATGTAGGTGCAGCGTTGGCTAACTGTGTGTTGTGTTGCAGGGGTCAGCGGCCCTGTCCCTGGCGGACCTGACCCCCCACACCTGTCTGGTGGTCACCAACTGCTACACCAACGAGGACATCTACTCCAGGCCAGCCGTGCCCCTCAAGGTAGGGGCGATATAACCATTGTTTTGTTTGTTTGTTGTTTAACGACGCACTCAGCAATTATTTAGCTCTATGACGGCACTCTGTGAATAATCGAGCCTGGACCAGACAATCCAGTGATTGACATAAGCCTAGATCTACGCAATAAGGATATGATGACATGCATCAACCAAGTCAGCGAGCCTGACCACCCGATCCCATTAGTCACCTTTTACGACAAGCATTGGTTGCGGAAGGCCTATACTAGCCCAGATCTTCACGGAGGATGTATATATATATATATAGTCTGAAACGATGTGATGTTGACCGCCTACGTGGTCTAGTGGAAAGGGTGGCATCCCAGACAAAGCAGGTCAGTAATTCGTTTTCCTGCTGTGTCTCACCAAAAGGCCTTAAATGATGGTAATTGTTACCCTGCATGGCACTCAGCAGTAAAACAAGGACTGGTCAGCTTGGAGTCAGTATACTATGTCTGAATGGGGTCTGAGTGGGGTATTCATGTTAAACTGTGGCCTGGTGTCTCAGTGGGCTAGCTAGCATTATAAGACTGGCACAAGTCCAGACTAGTACCAGCATCCACACACACACATGCATGCACGTCACTATAGAAATGACATAACTTTTTATGTTGCACCCCAGTTCTCTTTGCCTCGCAACGCCTCACTCTCTTTCCAAACATTCTTTTTGATTGCAGTGACCTCCTTAAGTAGTCACACATGTGGTAACTATTATCTTATAACTGTTTGGGAAGATGAGTATGTTTGTTGTTTACGCTGATGTCATCTGTTTTCAGTCTGGCAGTTTCTTCGTGCCCATGGTCCAGTCGTGGCACAACGTGTACTGCCTGTGCATGGAGGTGTACTCCACAGTGCTGGCCGCACTCCGACACTCCTTCCTGGAGGACGCTCTCAGCTTCGCCGGGGCACATCAGGACAGGATAACACAGGTGGGCGGGGCACATAAACATGTAAAAACACAGTGGGTGGGGCACATAAAGATGTCATAACAATGTGGGGGGAGCACACCAAAATGTGATAACACAGTGGGTGGAGCACATAAACATGTGATAACAGGTGGGTGGAGCACATAAACATGTGATAACAGGTGGGTGGAGCAAATAAAGATGTGATAACACAGGTGGGTGGAGCACATAAACTTGGATGACAGGTGGGTGGAGCAAATGAAGATGTGATAACACAGGTGGGTGGAGTACATAAACATGTGATAACAGGTTGGTGAAGCAAATATAGATGTGATAACACAGGTGGGTGGAGCACATTAAGATCTGATAACAGGTGGGTGGAGCAAATATAGATGGGATAACATAGTGGGTGGAGCAAATAAAGATGTCATAACACAGGTGGGTGGAGCACATAAACTTGGTGGGTCACAGTGTATTGATATAACACGGGGGTGGGCCACATTTTATAATTTAACACTGGTAGGTGGGCCACAATTTATAATGTTAAACATGTAGGTGGGCCACAGTTTGTGATATAACACAGGCAGGTGGGTCACATTTTATAATGTAACACAGGTAGGTGGGCCACAGGTTATAATGTAAAACATGAAGATGGGCCACAGTTTGATATAACACAGGTAGGTGGGTCACATTTTATTATGTAACAGGTAGGTGGGCCACAGGTTATAATGTAAAACATGAAGATGGGCCACAGTTTGATATAACACAGGTAGGTGGGTCACATTTTATTATGTAACAGGTAGGTGGGCCACAGTTTATAATGTTAAACATGTAGGTGGGCCACAGTTTATGATATAACACAGGTAGGTGGGCCACAGGTTATGATATAACACAGGTAGGTGGGCCACAGGTTATGATATAACACAGGTAGGTGAGCCACATTTTATAATGTAACACAGGTAGGTGGGCCACAGTTTATAATGTAAAACATGTAGGTGGGCCACAGTTTATGATATAACACAGGTAGATGGTCCATATTTTAAAATATAACACAGGTTGGTAGGAATATTGTGATATTATAACACAGATAGGTGGGCCACATTTTATGACAACAGGTAGGTTGGACACATTTTATAATAAAACAGGTGGGTGGGCCACATTTTTATTATAAGACACAGGTAGGTGGGCCACATTTTATGATAACACACGTGGATGGGCCAGTTTTTAAAATATAATACAGGTAGGTAGGAATATTGTGATAATATGACAAAGGTAGGTGGGCCACATTTTAAGACAACACGTGTAGCTGGGCCAAGTTTTAAAATATAATACAGGGAGGTAGGAATATTGTGATAATATGACAGAGGTGTAAGGGATAATGCAACAGGTAGGGAGTCATGAGGTTGACCAGTATGTAACATCGGCTCCTGTTTACCCAGTCGATGGAGATCGCCCGCATCAGCCTCCTGGACACGGCACTCAGGGAGGCGGAGTCGTCATGTGACTTCATCTGTCAGCTGTCCGCCTTCAGCCGGGAGTGGCGCCTACATCTGCCGGACGTGCTCGACAAGTTCCTGGTTAGTTACCTAGTTGTTAGGGACACAACAGACGCTAGTCATTGAGCCGATTACTATCGTTACTCTCTGGGGTTTTGTAATCGTTGCTGTTGTGGAAGTTAACACTGATTGGTTACCGATCTTGGTTTATACCCTAAAACTGGCTTAATAATAATAATCTTAATAATAATAATTCCATTGTGATGTTATCTGTGACCATGACATCACAATCAAATGATATCTGTTTGTTTGTTTGTTTGTTGTTTAACGCCACAGTCAGCAATATTTCAGCTATATGACGGCAGTCTGTAAATAATCGTGTCTGGACAAGACAATCCAGTGTTTGACATCATGAGCATTGATCCACGTAATTGGGAAATGATGACATGCATCAACCAAGTCAGCGAGCCTGACCACCCGATCCCGTTAGTCGCCTTTTACGACAAGCATGGGTTGCTGAAGACCTGTTCTATCACAGATCTTCACGGGTCAAATGACATCCCTTATCTCTCTATGACTGAAGCTGGTTGGCTGTATACTGTTTACATTTTCACACTGGTTATTACTGTTTACAAAGTGAAAAATGTAGGAAGAATGATTTTGGGTGATCAATAGAATCTCCTCCTCTCCAAGCCTCGGAGGGTTAAACTTTCATTGACCCGTGCTGATATATTTGATTTCTAAAGACACTCAGGGCAGGATTCTCGATTAGGCTGCTGTGATATCACATACCTGGCAAACCATTATGACCTTTGATGTTATGCAAATATTGGACAGCAAGTCACATTTGGTTATGCAGCTATCTTCACCATTGGTAGTTTTGACTTTAACTTGGGGGAAATCTGCAGATAATTTTTGTCATGTAATTAGCTAAGATGAAGATAATTTTTGGGATTTTATTTATGGGTATTATTGATGAAGAGGCAGGCAGCAAATTGAAACAATAATTAGAATGTTATCATAGTTGATTTTGAGATTAATTCCCTACTGAAAGTTCATAAATGACATTGAACAAAACGAATTGACAAAAATATATTTTCAATCAATCACAGAATCTAAAAACAGTTTTAATTTTATATAATTTTTGTGTATGTCCATGTTTAAAACAAAATTATAGTTTTGTCTGAATTGTTTGATAGGCATTACTTAGAAGTTGTCGGATGACAAAGTAGACACAAGTTATGGATAACAACTTCTTAAATAACTGTAAAGGCGACGTTTAGTCTTGCTTGACAACAGTTAAGGGTCTATACCGAAACGTCGCCTTTACAGTTATTAAAGATTTTGTTATTCATAAATTGTGTCTTCTTTGTCATAGTTTTGTCTGCCTTTAAGTGCTTTTCCTAGGACAGATACTAGTGGATGTATTTTGACGTGGATTAAGTTTTTCTCAGAGCACACTTGGGAAAAAGTGACACATATGGACAGTTGATTTTCAGACTTGAGGAAACACAGGATGCTGTATTTTCACACGTGTTGTGTTTCAGACCTCCATGGTGTACATGAACCAGACCTTCATAGCACTACTCATCAGACCTCGATATCTGCTGTACGTCCTCGAGGTCAGTGAGAGTAGTCTCTCTTAGGTTCACACTCGGTGCAGTGGTGACTTAGCGTAACACCACTGCCACAGGCTAATTTGCATATCATGTGACCGAACTTTACTCTTGTTTGTAAACAAACATGCTTATTCTGAAATGAAAACAGATTGGCCTAATGCAAGTATTTTGGGGGGGCTTTACATATTCTTTTTTATAAGTATTTAGATATTCTACTAGAACTGCGAAAGTGAGGTGCGTGACAATATATATTTAAACATCTAAGTGACCATATCGCTACTCTTCGTAGAGCTTCGATGACAGCATGTGGAGCCGCACAGCCAATGTAAACAAAGGATAACTACGCAAATGGAAATAGATTTTCACATTTTAGGATATTTTCTGAAACCATTCTATGACATGTTTATCTAGATGTGTAGACTTGTCAAAAATGAAACAGATGAAAAACACATGCAATATCTTGAATGGACTGTGTAAGATGTGACGAATCATCACATGGCACTGGCCTGTGGCAGAGGTATTATGCTGGCTGCATGGAACCCTGGGTAGGAGTGTGACATTGGTTGATCTCCACCTGCTAGAAAAGGGTCTGTAAGTCCCCAGCAAACTTAGGGTAACAGGTAGCTTGTCACAGTTGTCTCCCTTGGGTAAAGGTCTCCACCTGCTGGTACAAGTTGCATGCCTGAATAATGTGGAGGCCTACATTTGAATAATTTTTAAAGAAATATCTTAAATGAACATTTTTTTATCTCTTGCATTTTATTGTTGGCCTACTGTTGAAAGTGTTGATTCTGTCTGGGAACTTTCAGTACAGAATAAAGAAAAACTTCAAGTCATTTTGGGTATTTTTTTTCAGGGCCCTGTTCCACAAAGCGATCGTAGTACTATGACTGTCGTAAGTCTATGTCAATATATGGGGGTTAAGATCACCTTAGTGCTATGACTGTCATAAGTCTATGTTAAAATATAGGAGTTACGATCACCTTAGTGCTACGATCACTTTGTGGAACGGGCCCTGGGTTTATAACAAATTACAGATGAAAGAACACATACAGTATATACATTTATACATTTATAATTTTTTACATTATATTTCAATTAAAAAACAAGGCCAATATCCATCACAATTTGAATGTATACATCATACCACGTTCTCCAGTGGCTTTAGTAAACCAACATGGCTTCCTCCTAAAGGTTGTAACATCTGACATTGCAGCAACAACGTGGCCAGGACCGAGTTAGCAAGAAGGACTCCTTCCACTCATCCCCCATGCTGCAGCACCAGGCATCCACTGAAGACCTGGAGCAACCCACCACACAGCTGGTCTGTGTCCAACTCAGGTAGGGAATACGGTTCTAGAATAACATGCTGAATGACAGGTAGGGAATACGGTTCTAGAATAACATGCTGAATGACAGGTGGGGAATACGGTTCTAGAATAACATGCTGAATGACAGGTAGGGAATACGGTTCTAGAATAACATGCTGTATGACAGGTAGGGAATACGGTTCTAGAATAACATGCTGAATGACAGGTAGGGAATACGGTTCTAGAATAACATGCTGAATGACAGGTAGGGAATACGGTTCTAGAATAACATGCTGAATGACAGGTAGGGAATACGGTTCTAGAATAACATGCTGAATGACAGGTGGGGGATACGGTTCTAGAATAACATGCTGAATGACAGGTAGGGAATACGGTTCTAGAATAACATGCTGTATGACAGGTAGGGAATACGGTTCTAGAATAACATGCTGAATGACAGGTAGGGAATACGGTTCTAGAATAACATGCTGAATGACAGGTAGGGAATACGGTTCTAGAATAACATGCTGAATGACAGGAAGGGAATACGGTTCTAGAATAACATGCTGTATGACAGGTAGGGAATACGGTTCTAGAATAACATGCTGAATGACAGGTAGGGAATACGGTTCTAGAATAACATGCTGTATGACAGGTGGGGAAAACGGTTCTAGAATAACATGCTGTATGACAGGTAGGGAATACGGTTCTAGAATAACATGCTGAATGACAGGTAGGGAATACGGTTCTAGAATAACATGCTGAATGACAGGTAGGGAATACGGTTCTAGAATAACATGCTGTATGACAGGTAGGGAATACGGTTCTAGAATAACATGCTGTATGACAGGTGGGGAATACGGTTCTAGAATAACATGCTGAATGACAGGTAGGGAATACGGTTCTAGAATAACATGCTGAATGACAGGTAGGGAACACAGTTCTAGAATAACATGCTGAATGACAGGTAGGGAATACGGTTCTAGAATAACATGCCCGAATGACAGGTAGGGAACACGGTTCTAGAATAACATGCTGAATGACAGGTAGGGAACACGGTTCTAGAATAACATGCTGAATGACAGGTAGGGAATACGGTTCTAGAATAACATGCTGTATGACAGGTAGGGAATACGGTTCTAGAATAACATGCTGAATGACAGGTAGGGAATACGGTTCTAGAATAACATGCTGAATGACAGGTAGGGAATACGGTTCTAGAATAACATGCTGAATGACAGGTGGGGAATATGGTTCTAGAATAACATGCTGAATGACAGGTAGGGAATACGGTTCTAGAATAACATGCTGAATGACAGGTAGGGAATACGGTTCTAGAATAACATGCTGAATGACAGGCAGGGAATACGGTTCTAGAATAACATGCTGAATGACAGGTAGGGAATACGGTTCTAGAATAACATGCTGTATGACAGGTAGGGAATACGGTTCTAGAATAACATGCTGAATGACAGGTAGGACTCACTTGTACAGACCAGCGTCATATAACTGGAATAATGCTGCAGGGTTAAACAACAAACAACTGGACACAACTTATCATAGCCTGGTCATGGAACTACACCCAGCTGCATGTTGTTTGGACTTTATGTTTTCAGAATGTTGAGTATTTTGTCTCGGAGTCTGACGGCGCTGAAACATTTCACCCCCGACCTGTGCGAAGTCCTCCTGGACCAGGTAAACACAGCATGTTGCTATTCCTCTATTAATAATCTTGCAATTTCATTTGTTATTCTGTATCACGTGACAAATATGCATTTCAATATAGACCCAGAAATCATGTGACTGACACTGACCTTCTGACTCATCACATGATCAGTATTGACCTGTCACGTGATGAATATTGACTTGTCTGCTAAGAAAAACAAGATGACATCTCGTCCTTGGTGCTGTCCATCTGAATGTCCATACTTCCGTCCATCTGTCGGTCCGTCACATTTCGTTTCTGGAGCAGAACTCAAAAAACATTAGAGATATCTTAACCAAACGTGGCACATAGATAGGTCTAGTGGTGAACTGGTGCCTTTTCATTTTTTTAAAATGTATTTTAATGAGTTTCCATAGCAACAATTTTGACTTAGACTGAAAATGGCGGTAGTGCTCGTTTCTGGAGCAGATCTTGAAAAAACGTACCATATTTCCTCGCCAAACTTGGCTGATAGATAGGTCTAGTGATGAACTGTTGCCTTTCTATGGTTTGGGGTGTTGATTGTTTTTGCAAAAAAAAATATTTTGAGTTTGAAAGATGGAAGTAGTGGAAGAAGTCAGGAAGCGTGATGGGGAAAACAGAACTAAGAAATAATTGAAAAAAAAAGACAAAGAGTAAGCATTTTGTGGCCATGTTACATTGTCAGGTTCTAGTGTGTTAGTATCCCTGAATTGCTTGTCTCACCTCAGAGCATGGACATCAGTGAGTTTGACTGTTTCCTGGGCCTGGGGTTCAGCACTCCGTCAGTAGACCAGGAGACACAGCCCACCTTCGGCACCTTCATCTCCTGTGTGACCACCTGCTACAGGATACTCAGCAAGGTGAGTCTAGTGCCCAGCAGGTTTAATCCCTGGTTGTATCACACAAATCGAGTGCCTAGTCGGTGCAATCCTTGGGCCTCGTTCCACAAAACAGCAGTCGTAGAACTAAGGCCACTGTGTGGAATAGGGCCCTGGTCATGTCATACCAAATGAAGTTAAGATGTGGTACTTGTTGTTACCCTGCCTGGTGCTCGGCATTTAGGGGATAAAAGGACTGGTCAGGTCAGAATAGGTCTTCAGCAGCCCAAGCTTGCCATAGGCAACTAAACACAAAATGGCAACATGTGCTGGAGTTACACACGCGACCAATCATTGTAGAAAAAACAATGCAAGATAAACATATTTTTATTGCATATATAAGGTTTGTGTGCGCACTTGTGATGTGCTTCATTCCACATATGTGTCCTATATGTGGGGTCGCTTTAAACACAGCCATATACGGTATGCTTGTTGTAAGAAGCGACCAACAAGATCGGGTGGTCAGGCTCGCTGTCTTGGTTGATGCATGTCATCGTATCCCAATTGCATTGACCGGTGCTCATGATGCCAATCACTGGACTGTCTGGTCCAGACTCGATTATTTACAGACCACCATCATATAGCTGGAATAGTGCACTAGGGCACATGAAACAGGTGTTGTGACTAGCCTCAGAGACCAGATAGTCATCAGGGCCTTGTGTTGGAGTGGGGTCTGTCTTCAGCACACAGGTGACCGCCTCCGTGGTCTAGTGGTAGAGCGTCCGCCCGGTTCGATCCCCGGCCGCGTCATACCAAAAGACGTTAAAAGATGGTACTTGTTGTTACCCTGTCTGGCGCTCGGCATTAAGGGGCTAAAACAAGGACTGGTCGGCTCGGAGTCAGTATACTGTGTCTGAGTGGGATATTCATGTTAAACTGTGCGGCATGGTATCTCAGTGAGCTAGCACTATAAATCGGCATCTGTCCGGACTAGTTCAAGGAGCCACACAAACACACACACGTACATGCAAGTCGCTATAAAAGTGTAATAATCTTGGACGCGACGTTAAACCCCATTTCACCTCACCTCACCTCAGCGCACAGGCCACAAATCAGGCTGACTATGTTCGACAGCTTGACTTCTGAGAGTTTTGGTCCTGCCCCACACTGAAACACATGGAGCACATGTGGTGTCCTCTTAGGAGAGTAACTTTGCTTGAAATATCTCTCTGTTCACCAAGCAGTTTATGAGTACTTGGTAGAATGAGGTGGTAATGAGATTACTAACCTTCTAGCGCCTAGGAGGCAGCTTGGGCTGTATACTCCCAAGGGAGCTGAGAATGGATATGACGTGCACACTGATTCCTTGACCGGGAATAATAATGTAGCGCCACGAGCTTTCACTTGGAGGCGCATTATACCGGTAATGGATTTGACATTCATAAGACCATTGGTGTTTGCAGCTGGACCCAAGAGGGACGGGGTCGCCACATCGGTCACCAGAAGCAGCCACAAGTCAGCATATACCGAAGTGAGTGCTTCAAACCCTGGTTTGTAGTGTTGTATATTGGCAAAAGATGTGTATTGCAAGATGTTGCGTAAGTGATTGACAGGGAGATCCTATTTACTACATACTGAAGTAGACCCGTGAAGATCCGGGGTAAAATAGGTCTCCAGCAACCCATGCTTGCCGTAATTGGCGACTATGCTTGTCGTAAGAGGCGACTAACGGGATCGGGTGGTCAGGCTTGCTGACTTGGTTGATGCATGTCATCGTTTCCCAATTGCGTGGATCGAAGCTCATGATGTCAATCACTGGATTGTCTAGTCCAGACTCGATTATTTACAGACCGCCGTCATAGAGCTGGAATATTGCTGAGTGCGGCGTTAAACAAACAAACAAAACATACTGAAGAAAATAGTACTCATGGTCAGTCGCTGCCATTTTGTAGTCATGGATACAGGGGAGATAACAATGTGAGAAATAAATCGCTTCCATATTCCCGCATTTTGACAAACAATTTCGAAGGGAACATCATTTGTGAAAGAATTTGTGTTGATTTTGAGTTAAATGTGACAAATAATAACAACACATGTCATATATTTTTTTAATCCAAAATACTAGAACACAGAAAAATATTACAACATGACGCACAAATGTGTGTCCAGTGAGCACAAATCTTGAGATTGGACGCAGAAAAAGAATATACTGCGTCCCTCGGGATACACAGTAACATTCATGGTACCTCCAGCGCATCAAGAGCAGCTATGGGTGTCTGTCAGTTCATCCATCAATCGATTCATGACCACTGTCCACATGATCATTCATTCATTCCAAGCTCTAAAGTAATTGTCAAAATGTACAGTGTACTACAAACATTTCATTACTTTAGAGGACCCCATATTGCTTGTGAAGATTCCGGGGTAGAATAGGTCTTCAGCAACCCATGCTTGCCGTAAAAGGCGACTATGCTTGTCGTAAAAGGCGACTAACGGGATCGGGTGGTCAGGCTCGCTGACTTGGTTGATGCATGTCATCGATCCCAATTGCGTGGATCGATGCTCATGATATCAATCACTGGATTGTCTGGTCCAGACTCGATTATTTACAGACCACTGTCATATAGCTGGAATATTGCTGAGTGCGGCGTAAAACAACAAACCAACCAACCAATTGTAAGGACCCGGGGCGGTGGGGTAGTTTAGTAGTTAAAGCGTTCACTCATCACGCAGAAGGCCCTGGTTTGATTCCCCACATGGGTAGTGTGTGAAGCCCATTTCTAGTGTTCCCCGCCATGATATTGCTGAACCATTGCTAAAAGTGGCATAAAACCATACCCAATTGTAAGGACCCTTAAAATAAATTCTTGGGGGTGCCCTGGACCCCCACTTTTGTAAGTCAAGGTAAAACCTTGATTGCAATACATATCTTTTCTAAAGCGTATTGCACTATACCGGTATTACCGTGCAATCCTACTGGCCATGTGAGCTAATACCGGTGCTGTAAATCTTGAAATTAATGCGTCTCCAAATTAATACGACTGCTGACCCCTCTCAAAATCAATGCCACTCACCCACCCCATCCCCAGTGGAATGATACATATCCTTACCTTAATCCAATCAAACAGCAAATAGTACTGCTTATTAGCACTGAGAAAAACACTTCTGTCAAGCTAGTAATGTTACATAAGCTACTAGTCCAAAATGATCCCTGGACTAGTTACGTATGACCAGTGGTGTCTACCCGTGACGTGCATTACCTGACTAGATTTACATGCCATTGTGATATTGCCAACATAGTTAGAAGATGTAGGTTATTTGCCTAAACTGGATAATTATATGAATTTCTATGTCACAAATAGATGATTGTGACAGTTGGTAGCCATCTTGAACTTTGACAGCCATCTTGGATTTAGGATGGCTGACAAATTTTTTCCCTGTGTACACAATATGTGAAAAATGCTTTTGCTCTTTGCGTCATTCATGTACAATTTAGCATTACTATTGCAGACTGTACCAGTATATATACTGAGAAAAATATGTTAGCTATCCAAAAATCCAAGATGTCTGTCAAAGTTCAAGATGGCTACCAACTGTTAATATCGGTACATGTTGGAATATTGATGTAAAGTTTTATGCTTGTATAATCGTTTGAACAATTCCCATATATTCTTCACCTGATCTGCTGCGCTGTGCTCCGCTGTAATGTGTATTGATGTGGCTGTTGTCAGAAGCCTCGTGCTGTACGTGATGGAGAACTCGCTGTACATCATCATGTCCCAGGCCTGTCACTACCTCCGCACACCCGGACTCTCGTCACGAGAAAAACAGTTCCTCAAGCGAGAACTTGGAGCTGAACTGGTGAGAACTGGCTGTTCATCTTCAGTAATCAGGGGTTATGGCGGGACATGTACAGATTTTTCTTGCTTTTTAGCTTCTTCAATCTAAATAAGATTGGTGTGGTACAGTTGCTTAAAGCACAGCAATTCATTGTGAAGAGTTGCGTGACTTGGGCACACAAGAAACTTATGATCCTGGTTCGGATTCTGGTTAACCCTGATTATGTTTGTAGGTTTGTCAGCACCATACCCCTGCTCGTGGGTTTCACCAAAGTGGTAAACGTCAATCCTGCATCACTTTGGGCTTTCCTCCCACATTAAACTGACACGCTGTGATATAACTGGAATACTGTTCAAAGCAGCGTTAAACCCAACTCACTCACTGTAATGTAAGGGGGCGGTGGTGTAGCCTAGTGGTTAAAGCATTGGCTCATCATGCCGAAGACGAGGGTTCGATTCCCAGCATGGGCACAATGTGTGAACCCCGCTGTGAATTTCTGGAATATTGCTAAAAGCAGCATAAAACCATACTCACGCATTGTAAAGTTGATACTTTTTCACCCCATGGTGGATGTTAGGGCTTAATGACTGGGTGACCAGGTGTATTGCATCATATTGTTACACATATGTGCGAGATCAAATTCCAGGTCCGTGATTGGCTACTCCATGCTGATGACCTGAGTTCAGATTGTGATGGACTACTTTCCTGATTGTAATTCATTGATAAGCTACTCGTGCTTCAGTCAAGTCCTTCTGTGTTGAAACTTTATGGTGTTGATAAGTGATCTCTGATCTTATCTAGTTTGTATTATCATCACACTAGGTATGAGAGGCAAGCAGTCAGCCAGATAACGTCACTCATGACTGTTGTGTTATGTATTAATGCACCACTGTGATCATGAGAATAGACAAAATATGCATCGAATCGATGCTAAAATTGTGATTTTAGAGTGTATAAGAAACAGATTAATTGTTTAAAAACGTAACATTCATTTGCTCGCTTTGAAACATCTCCTCCTAAGATAAATGGTATCTGACAGACACTTGGAATTTTTTAATGTTGTTTAAAGCCGCACTCAGCAATATTCAAGCTATATGATGGCAGCCTGTCTAGACCAGACAATCCAGTGATAGATAATGAGCATCGATTCACACCATGACACACAAGCAGCCAAGTCAGAGCTCTCAATCCGTTTCAGTTGCCTCTTACGAGCAGCAACTGTTTCTTGGGAGTTATTGTATTTTCAGCCTGAGTTGTTTTGTGTGTTTCAGAACTCTTTCCTGTCCAGTATGTTACGGTACATGCGGCGTGGGGGCGGGGGCCCCACGTCCCCGGGGACACTCCAAGCCAGCCCCCAGAGCGGCTCCAGCAGCACCTCCCAGCTCAGTCGCTCCGTGTCCCAGACAGCATTCACAAACACACAGGACCAGGCCTTCTTCAAGCTGGTGCACGACTTCGTCAGCAAAGTTCTCAGATGAGGACCAACTTGTGGACTGTGAACATGGCAACAATGTCAAAATCAATCACGACTTCGTCAGCTAAGTTCTCAGATGGGGGCCAACTTGTGGACCGTGAACATGGCAACAATGTCAAAATCAATCACGACTTCGTCAGCTAAGTTCTCAGATGGGGGCCAACTTGTGAACATGGCAACAACGTTAAAATCAATCTCGACTTCGTCAGCTAAGTTCTCAGATGGGTTCCAACTTGTGAACATGGCAACAACGTTAAAATCAATCTCGACTTTGTCAGCAAAGTTCTCAAGTGGGGGCCAATTTGTGGACAGTGAACACAGCTGGAAGGTTGACATCCTTCTTGCGTAACTTCCATGTGGTACAAGATACAAAAGACAGGTTGGCCGATATGGATTTGCTGACACCTGTACACAAGGAGTCCAGACAACAATAAAGGGCTGACAGAATGACGTCGAAATATGTATTAAGTTTATCAGACAATTTTCTTTCTTGCATTTGCATTTTGGGAAAGAAGCAAAGATGGATTGTGAAAAAAACTGAGCAAAGCCAAGAATAATGTTTTGTTTGACTCAAGCTGGTTTTATTAAGTGTATGATGATAAAACAGTTCAAAATTAGATCTCAAAATCAAAACTTTATGTTGTCCAAGGTTCTGCTAATTTCTTATATTATCTCCTGTGGGCCTTCATGAATCTTTTTCATACCTTGGCTCATTTGGAAGCTATGCAATGAAACATTTTAGACTTCAGCGTGGTGAAATTATGTGATGTGTAAATATATGTACATGTGGACACAATAAAATTGTGACAACTCCCATTGTCTTTCCTTACGTCCAGGAATAACATCCAACTCCAGCCATACATTTACAGATCCCCCAGTGAAGATCCAGGTTAGAATTGGTTGTTAAGAGGCGACTAACGGCATGGGGTCGTCAGGCTCACTGACTTGGTTCATGCATGTCATCAGTTGCGTAGATCGATGATCATGATGTCAATCACTGGCTTACTTACAGAGCGCCGTTAAATGTTGTGGCGTTCAACAAACATTCACTGACCACTCCAACTGGGGGATATTTTCTGTAAACAAAGGAAGGCTAAATACTGTAAATCTTGAAATTAAGGCGAGCGTGAATTAAATGCCAAAAATTAGAGTGTTATTTGCTTGCATTATTAAACATCGCATTTATATCAACAATAAGACATTTTGGATAGCAGAAATACCAACTTAGACATGCTGAAAACAAACAACTATGTATTCCACATAACTGTTTATTGAGCAGCACTTGTCACAAGTATATAAACAATGTCATATCCTGTGAATTGTCACTGCTTGGGTCAAGACAAGATCTACTCACTTATGTCATCACTGATGCCACCCACACAACACGGTGTCTTTGTTCTTTGCGACTGCGTCAAAGGCCGACACGAGCCAGCACGCATGTATTGTTTTAGCAGAAGTTCTCTACTCAGCTCTAATAAGCAGTGCTATTTGGTGTGTGATTGGATTAATGTAAGGTTGGATTAAAGTGAGGATTCTCCTGTAAACCTGACAGAGGACATTTTCTTTAGATATCAATCCACTGATGCTTGAGAGGAGGGGGGTGACGCATTCATATTGAGTCGCATTTTTGGCTAGGGACCAGCAGTCGCATTCTTTTGGAGACGCATAAATTTCACGATTTACAGTAATTATTTTAATAAATGTAGTAGAAATGCACAAGAAAACATTGTTATCACTGTAGCAGTCAGAATTCCTCGCCGCTTTTCATTGATAGAATCTTTCAGGCGATGAAGCAAATCAGCATAGTGGGTATCGGTAATCGTCTTTTGACTTTTTTTAAGTATCACACCCTTTGCATATAATACATAACTTTTTTCACTGATTTTGAATATTTTTTTGGGTGCCGGAGAAGTGGAATGGTACCTTGATTCTAACAACTCCCTACTCGTTCGTTTCCATTTCTGTGTCCAATCTAATATACAAACGACCTCAACAGACCAAATAAACTTACAATGAACTGCTCAAACAACGTACTACATTGACTAGTTTTGACCAACCCTCCTTTGTATTATTTATAGTGAGTGAGTTGTGTTTAATGCCGCTTTTAAAAGTATTCCAGTTATATCATGGCTTAATGTGGCAGGAAAGCCCGAAGTGATGCAGGACTTTGACATTTACCACTTCAGTGAAATCCACGAGCACAGGTATGGTGCTGACAAACCTAGAAACATAATCGGGGCGAACTGGCTGATTTTTGTCGGATTTAATGGTGGAGGTTTTATGCTCTTTCATTCTGGTGTTGATTGGGCGGGATGATTCACCTACGTAAGATTGTCCACAGTTGCAGTCAATTTTGTAAACTACACCTTTAGGCTCTTGGGGTTTGGTTGTGTTCCTGCCGTTGGCTCTTAGCAGGGTGTTGAGGGAGTTGGAGCTGGTGAAGTGGGTGTCGATGTTGGCTTGCTGTTTGAGGAGGCAGCTGATGATGGAGGCTTTTCCTATGAACGGGAGGGCGATGCGGAAGGGCGCTGATTCGGATTTAAGGGTCGCAGGTCTGGGTGTGGGATGGAGTACAGAGGCGATGACATTAAATTAAATCCGACAGCAAATCAGCCATCTCGGACCATATCAGCAACTTTCCCAATCACATCATCAACTGGGACAACGTCCAAATCCTGGCCAAAAACCTCCATGATTTCACTAAAAGAAAACTAACAGAAGCAGTCCACATTCGCCGCCACAAGCCATCAATCAACAGAGATCAAGGCTATTTCATCCCACCCGCCTACTATGAACTCATCAAACAATAATCACTTATCCTGTTTATTGGCTTCATGTCCCTATTGGCTTCCACCTATGTGTTCCCTGTCAATCGTGTTGTGACAGCATCATCCCTTTGTTGTCAACACCTACCAATGTTATCCCACTCATGTATGCAATTGTTGTTACTGTTAATCCTCTACCTACTATATATATTCTGTACTATGTCCCCCATTCAGTCTTGCTTGACAACGGTATAAGGATCTATACCGAAATGTCGCTTTTCACAGTATTAAAGAAGTTGTTATCCATAAAATTGTGTCTATCTTGTCATCCGTTAACTTCTAAGTAATGCCTATCAAACAATATATGACACTGGTCCATAAATAATCAAGTCTGGATAAAAAAATCCAGTGATTGACATCATGAGCATCGTACCACGCAATTGGGATACAATGACATGCATCAACCAAGTCAGTGAGACTGACCACCCGATCCTGTTAGTCGCCTATTAGGACAAAGACTGCGTTGATCCACCCTTTGACATATGTGATTTGAATGTTGTTATCTCTGGCTATGAATCCTTTGCAGTCAGCTCAGATAAGCTCACTATGTCTGACTGGCGTACATAACACAACGTGACCGTTATTATAAACTTATCCACGGCTAGAATAGCTTATTGAAGTGAATCTGAAGATACAGTAAACTTACAGACATGCACTTTCGGTGAGCAAACTTCAAAACAAAATAAATATCCCTTGACACGATTAAACCAGCTTTTGACTCAAATAATTTGATTTTCGGCAATGAGTGGTTATTTCTGTGGAATATAGCGGGGACTGATAAAATATATATTATTAATTGAAACTCTCGATAGTTATGCATACTATCCACAATACTATTGGCATTTTTAAATTATCAATACAGTAAAATTGCGATAGTTCGAAATATCGTTAAACTTCCAATGTCGTTTTGTCCAGGAAAAACAACCAACTCCATCCATACATTTACTGATCACAGACCAGTTGTTTATTGCATGAACGCAACCCAAGCAATATACCAGACTGTGTACCCTGCTGATGGCAAATCAAAGAGCAACTTGCACATCCACAGACTCCACAAAAACATTCAAGGAAATCCCTTGTGCTATGACAATTCCCATTCGGTTGCCATAATAGAACAATTGATCTGTGAATGTACAATTCATTTCTGACTACTCAGATTAGCTGAAAGAATCGTGACCATCTCCACAACAATCTAGCCATCACTTCATCCAGATCTATGTACAACACCATCTTCCACTGTCCAGTGTATCCCGTCTCCTTTCTGTCATGACAAATACAAGGGTACATTTTGGGGTCTGGTTTGAACGACACGGCGCTTAAAATATGTATAAATTCATGTTCATGAATAGCGAGTGTGGTTTTCAGCGTTAGAAATTGGCACTAGTCCTGTAGTCCTTGCCAAACTTCCCAATAGTTAAGGTATCCTAAGGACTAGTAGAAATTTGCCATTTTTAAGGATTTTGATATATGTTATCATTATAAGGACTAGTGGACTAAAAATGTTAGTTTCTACCCCTGGGTTTTAGTAATAATCCAGCAATATCAAGGCAGGGGACATCAGAAATGGGCTGCACACATTGTACCAATGTGGGGAATTAAACCCGGGTCTTCGGCATGACGAGCGAATGCTTTAATCACTAGGCTACCCCACTGACCCTACTGTTCATGATTAAACATGCAGATATTTCCAGTACTCGACTTTTATGTGCCGTCACAAAAAACAAAATGTCTTATGGCATGGTGACTTGACTCTCGTCTTATTTCTCGACAAAACATATTTTCTAGCTAAATAATCTTGATAACAGGCTTCTGACTTGATAAATCTTTGATTTTGAATCAGAAATATGCTGAACGTGTTCAGAAGGGTATTTTCATTGGTTCTTATTGGTTGGCAAAGTTTGTGATAAGAAAGCTGGTGACATCACTTCCGAAGACAAGGTATTGAATCTGTCTACGTAATATATCATAATAGATTCAATATGATACACTGGATAATCGAGAATGATACATATATTTCATGTTTCTTCTCAGCACAATTTGATTTCTTACAAACATGTTATGAAAATCTTGAATATCGATCCTTTTATGTGGAGAAGACAATGTGCTGACATTCGGTGATATTTTTTTTTTTTAAACCAATTTTTCAAACCAAATTGTACGATACATGAGATCACATGTTATAAATAACAATTTCTTCAATATACATAAAATAAAGCTCATCGAATTAGGTACACACAGAGAGTTTTTGTACATAATAACAAACATTATTAATGTAACCAACGGTACAGAACTCGAGAATATAAATGGTCTGGTGCACTATGTTCTTGGGTCAATTAATTACAAGTTTATCTCATATGGATGTCAAAATGGATGTCGTCTTAAGAAAATAAGTAAAAAGTTGTTCCCTTACCAATGACACCGTGTAGCCCAACGCATAGGACAGTCTGAATCCCCAAAGTTGATATGATTTTGTGTCTGGTGATACGGATGTTGAGATGAATGGTATATGGACTAATGGCAATGTTTGGCTCTGAACAAGTTGAGTGAGTTAGGTTTAATGCCTCTTTGAGCGAGTATGGTTTGACGCCGCTTTAAGCAATATTCCAGCAATACCACGGGGGACACCAGAAATGGGCTTCACACATTGTACCCATGTGGGGAATCGAACCCGGATCTTCGGTGTGACGAGCAAACGCGTTAACCACTAGGCTACCCCACGCCCCTCAGAGTAAGGGATATGACTTAAATGAGCTTCTTTGAACAGTATTTCAGTTATATCATGGCATGTCAGCTTGTGGGAGAAAAACCGAAGAGATGCAGTCTCAGACGGGTTTACGAAGTGTTGAAGAAAAGATTCTTTGAACTAGGATGACGATGAATTAAAAACACATCATGGCAACATGTGACAGTTAGTATTACTGTGCTGGGGAGACTGTTGCAGCACTCTTGCCATATCAGGTTCGGGACAGACCCACTGCTTAGACTTACAAAACAATGAGATGATAAATAAACTGCATCTTAAAGGACATTTATTTCACTTTGACTTTCTCTCCACCCAGAAATACAACATTCCCTTTCACACACTGACTGAATAGTGTGTACTTTGTGCGACTGATTCCTTAGCAAAATGATGAGATTGAACACAAAAAAGGCGCGAAAGCATTTCATGAAAACCTCGCATATAAACATCCTTTTACAACAAAAATAGTCATTTGGTTTGTAACATTTTAACTAGTAAATTCATTTGGACACATTTAAAATAGAAAAATATACTTGTTATGAGCGAGATTTACCTTTCTAAAATATTGTGAAAGTTGATGTAACAAATAACTCCATCTCACGGACACAGTGAGTTAAAGCTACTGATCTCCAGGTCACTACAGATCTGACCTTCACCTTGGTGAGAAAGTCTTCAAGTCTAAAGCTTACCAAGTCTAAAGCCAGAAATAAACACTTGTAAACCCTATCAGCAAAATTAAAATAGTCAAATAAGACAGGATTATCAATGACTAGTATCACTACACTGCAGAAATTAGTGCCCGGTTGCCAAAAACTGAGAAATTAAAGCCCTGATCACCTACAACTGAAAAATTAAAGCCATGATGGCCAAAAACTGAGAAATTAAAGCCCTGATCGCCTAAAATTGAGATACACTGGACTTAATTCCTCTGTGCCTAAGGGGAACTTAATTGAAACACTGTTATCAAAACAATTTTATCTCATGCGGCGGTGAGGTTGATTGAATGCTGTTTTGAACACATACAGTTACCATGGTTACATCAACCTTTCAGGAAACAAATCATGAGGAAAGCCAAAAACTGACCATATTGAAGATGCGTAGCAGTTACTGAATTTCACGAGCACGAATATGATGCAACTTAAAGATGTGTACAAATTCTGTGAAATTCACGAGCACGGATATGCCGCAAGTTGAGGATGTTTTCCAGTTTGGTGAAACAAGCAATCGATGCCGACTGACCAAAGATAACATCTGGCCGAATCTGAGATTCGAACCATCAATCCTCAGATCCTGCAGCAACCGGACCACATGGTCACATGTGCCCTCTGACCTCGTGGGAAGAACACGAAAGGGCCATACAAGAATGATCTCCCAGTTCTCTTTGTCAGTAGAATCTGAAGTACCGAATGTATGTTTCCCTGGCAACCGATGACTGAAAGTTCATGAGATGGGTAGTTCATGATGAGTTCACAAAGGATATCTTGTCTTAAACAGACATTTGTTCAGAAAAAAATAAACTTGGATTCACAGCACACATATTTACAAATGAGTTCATTTACACACAAGCTACAGTAACATGAAAACCATATGCCAGAAATTCATAAATGCTTCTTCATTGCTAAATATGAAAATAACCTTAATTTCTTTTGAGCAGTTACCATGCAAAGAAAAGATAAAGTTAAACAACACTGAAGTCTTATAACAGAGCTAAGTTCTCTTTCATTAGAGTTTCAGTTGTAGCCTGCTAATTCTCAGTCTGTGCCAAACGCTTTTAAGTCTACTGACAGGCAAGTGAATAATATTTATTTTTGATACAATCTATAGTTGATTTTATTCTTAAAATATGGACGTCTAACAGGTAAACATACATCTATAATAAATTTCAGTGGACTTTGGACATACAGGGTAAAATCAAAGTAGCCGCTTAACAAGAGGCCATACAGAACGGCTTAATGCACTAAACGGATGAAACCACCAAATTTAGGCAGTTAGGAATATCTTGATTAACCAGGGTTTTTTTAGCAATTATATAGACCTGCTCATCGGCTTGAAGTTTAAATAACATCCAAGTTCTGTCAGTAACTATATGATGAATGTACCGAGTTTGTAAGTTCCAAGTCTGTCACATGGACGTTGCTCTGACAACACACAATGGTCCCAGAACGGGTAGAACAGGTCGAGGAACTATTTGTTAAAAGTCGATAATAGATAATAACTTTTCAACCTAAACCTATCTTATCCCACTTCTTGTATTCTTCAAATAAGTATGTAGGCTTGAACAATGGTTCCACAATAACTGACTTCATCAATGTGTGTCAGAAAGAAAATGGGCATTTAAACAAATATAGTTCATATGACAAAATATACCACAAATGTCAAAGAGATGAAATATCATGTCCACAAAAATATTCATTTTCTCCCAAAATCTATAGCCTGTGGCCTTGCTAACAGCTAATGACCATTGACAGAAGCTGTTGCACGTGGTGGCTGTACAGTGTCTTTTGGTGCACCATTGGCGCCATTAGTGTTGGCACCATTTGTGTTGGTGCCATTAGTGTCCTCAATTGCACAATTTGTGCCATTGGCGCCATTACACAGACTGTTGCCCGAACTGTCACTTGCATTTGACATTGACCTTGACCTTGACTGTGAGAAGGGTTCGAAGATGCTCCACTCATGGTGTTCCACATCAAAGTATTCCATGTTGTCAAGGAAGTGCTTGCCACTGAATCCTCCAACGGCAAACAGCCTGTTGTCGATGATGGCGGCGCCGACGTTGGCTCGGGGTGTGTTGAGGGCAGGGTTGAAGGTCCACTGTTGTTCCTTGGGATCAAACGCCTCCGTTGTCTTGAGCGACTGTGTCCCGTCACTCCCCCCAACAATGTACAGCTTCCCTGGAAACATGGGAGTAGTAAGAATCAACAATCCACAAGAGTGAGTGAGTGAGTTTGATTTTACGCCGCTTATAGCAATATTCCAGCAATATCACGGCGGGGGACACCAGAAATGGGCTTCACACATTGTACCCATGTCGGGAATCGAACCCGGGTCTTCGGCGTGACGAGCGAACGCTTTAACCACTAGGCTACCCGACCGCCCCACAATCCACAAGAGTGAGTGAGTGAGTGAGTGAGTGAGTATGGTTTTACGCCGCTTTTAGCAATATTCCAGCAATATCACGGCGGGGGACACCAGAAATGGGCTTCACACATTGTACCTATGTCGGGATTCGAACCCGGGTCTTCAGCGTGACGAGCGAACGCAATCCACAAGAGAATGGGTTGGGTTTAATATATTGAGGAACAGACAACTAGTGCTCGCGTGCTGGAAATTGACAGATGTGAATCTCTTGGATGATTGTGAATGAGTAGATACATGGTTTGGCACTAGTGTACTAATTTACATGGGAGATCAAGATGTTTTTCTTACATTTACAAAACCATCTCTCAGATCCACAAAGGAATTGACCATTTGGTATTTGCCAGTTGTTTTTTAAAAAATAATTCCCCTTTCTTTCTGATTGGTTTGGTTTGTTGTTTAACGCTGCATTCAGCAATATTCCAGCGGTCTGTAAATAATCGAGTCTGGACCAGAAAATCCAGTGATTGACCTCAGAATACCATGTTGCAAAACATAATCCTCAATGCTAGCTAATTAAATTAGAACACTATGTCATAAATGCAGGGATGAACGTTCTCCCAGGAAATACATCCAGATGATGCTACTGCTTGATGTCTGACGAACATTCTGTAACTCTTTGATTCCACGTAGATCAATATGTACTTTTTATTGTCTTCATCAGTTTACAAAGAGCATGTACTGCAACTGTAGTTGCCAGCGATTGATATCATGAGCATTGATCCACCCAATTGGGATCGATGTCATGCATCAACCAAATCAGCGAGCCTGACCACCCGATCCCGTTAGTCGCCTTTTAGGACAAGCATAGTCACCTTTTACGGCAAGCATGGGTTGCTGAAGACCTATTCTACCCCGGAATCTTTACGGGTCTTTCTGAAAAAAGGTTCTCTAGACATGGAAAATGTCAAGGTCAGTCACTACTAATACCCACTGCTGATTCCTGCACCCCACTGTCCGACTTACCACTAAAGGCCTCGATGCCAGCTCCACGCCGCGCCACGTTGAGGGAGGGGCCGTACTCCCACAAATCTTTGTCCGGGTTATACACCTCCACAGTGTTGAAGACGTTCCATCCATCGGTGCCCCCCACGGCATACAGCCGGTTCTTGAAGGCTCTCACACACGCCTGGAACCGCCCTGGCAATGGAAGGAAGAAATATTTATCGAGAATTTTCACAAGTCAACACTGTGTCCACTTGTTTTCTGGGTAGATCTATAGCCACCATTAACTATTAACAAGATCTGAAGTATCTTTTTGTTGTTGTTGTTTAATGCGGCACTCAGCAATATTCCAGCTGTATGACAGCGGTCTGAAAAATAACCGAGTCTGGACCAGACAATCAAGCAATTGACATCATGAGCATCGATCCACGCAATTGGGATATGATAACTAATATGATAACATGCGTCAACCAAGTCAGCGAGCCCGACCAACCGATCCCGTTAGTCGCCTCTTACGACAAGCATAGCCGCCTTTAGTGGCAAGCATGGGTTGCTGAAGACCTATTCTACCCCAGATCTTCACAGGTCGTGATCGATCTTCTCACCAGGGTCTAGCACTGTAGTGATCTAGTGCATGTAAACAGATCTATCAGTTCTTCTTTGTATTTACCTGAATTGAGTGATGCAATACGTGACCAGGTGTTGGTGGCTGGGTCATACACTTCACAGTTGCGCAGGCTTTTTTGTCCATAGCTACCGCCGACGCAGTAGATCTTTCCCTTCAGCACAGCTACACCTGAAAACAACAGCAGAGCGTGATAACACAGAAAACGTCTCAGTGTTTGGGCTTGTCACCAATTGGAGGTTTGAGAAGGGAGCTAATTCTACTTGGTGAGTGAGTGAGTTGGGTTTAACGCCGCTTTTAACAGTATTCCAGTTATATGGCAGCGTGTCAGCTTAATGTGGGAGGAAAGCCCTAAGTGATGCAGGTCTCAGGCGTTTACCACTTTGGTGAACCCACGAGCACGGGTATGGTGCTGACGAACCTAGAAACATAATCGGGGCGAACCCACAATCATAGGTTTCTGGCGTGCCCAAGGGACGCAACTCTGCACATCGAATCGCGGCGCCTTAGACGACTGGGCCACCCGTGCCCCCTAATTCTGCTTGGCTAATTGGAAGTGCAAGGTGGGCCCACATTGTATACATCATTGTCAACATTAGTGACAAGCTTTGGATCTTAAACAGTAAGATTCTCCAAAATATCATAAATATCTCCACAATAGGGATGAAACGATACAACAAGGTCACGATACGATACTCATATTTACGTCAAATCGTATGGAAACTTCTTGACAATAAATATTTCTGAGCAGGTTCGAAAGGAAAAGCTAGCTGTAGACATGTTTGTAGTGGCTATTTTTAGTATTATAGCTTTTAACAGTATTCCAGTTATATCACGGCTTGTCAGCTTAATGTGAAAGGAAAGCCCGAAGTGATGCAGGTCTCAGACGTTTACTAACCTGATGAAGTGAGTTAGGTTTAACACGGCTTTTAACAGTATTCCAGTTATATCACGGCTTGTCAGCTTAATGTGAGAGAAAAGCCCGAAGTGATGCAGGTCTCAGACGTTTACTAACCTGGCGAAGCTCGAGCCTGATTAACACTAGTCACGGAGCTCCACTTCTCAGTCTCCGGGTCGAAGCACTCGACAGCCGCGAGTTCATTGTGTCCGTCCGACCCACCGATGGCGTACAGTTTGCCGTCAAGATGAGCCGCTGTGAATCTACCCCGCTCCTGTCTCATGGGGGGCAGTTTTCTCCACGTGTTCGTCTCGGGGTCGTACACTTCTGCCGACTTCATCACCTCGCCACGATCGTACCCACCTGCAACAACACACATTGTTTTCTGTAACCACTATCACTAAGTATTGTAAATAGATGTCTTAGGCCAAAAAGGAATACCGTATTCGACGTAATAAGCGCCCAGGGTGCTCTCAAAATTAGAAATAGCTGGCTCTTATTAAAATATTATTTTGGTGAAAAAAAAAACAGAGTTGAAAGATAAATTTCGTGTTCATGTACGACAGATATATTTTTCCAGAATTTAATTGCCCATAATTAAGGTTGCATATAACACACGAGTGCGTATCATACGCGAATAAATAAGTCTTGTGAATATTGATCATCCGGAAGGGGTGCTAATTGGGATTGTTCCCTAGCCAATATATTCGCAAATATCGCCGTGGGCGCTTATTAGAGCAGGGCGTTTATTACGTCGAATACGGTAGTTTTCTTTTCTTTTTCAACCCGTCCAAAAAAAAGGATGGGTACATCAAGGATATTGGGGGGTGGTCTTTTATTCTTTGAAAAACTGTATTTGGCAGTATGTCAGTGGAAGCCTGCTTTCAAATACAGATAATATATCTGTTCCACAAGACAGAAACTTATTTTTGATAACATGTTTGTGTCTTTTCACACATTTCCACAAGTGGCATAAAGTATGGACAATATCAGGAATTTGTAGAAAGAAAACAAGGAAAAAAATGTTTGGGGTCGGTCCAGTGAGTGACATCATGAGCATTGATCTACGCAATTGACATGGATCAACCAAGTCAGTAAGTCTGAGCACCCACCTGTTAGTCGCCTTTGATGGCAAGCATGGGTTTGCTGAAGACCTATTCTACCCCTGGTCTTGTGGCTATTGGAAATATCTACATATAGCATTGATATCATTTTGATAAATGTCTTATACCAGTGATAATTGGGGTACACTGTATCTTTCTCAAGATGGCCAAAAATAGTGAGTAATATCAGGTGTTAATCCTACAATAAATAAAAAAAACTAAAAACTAAATAAATAAATAAATAAATAAATAAATAAATAAATAACACATATTCATATGTACATGAGAGTTAAAAGGACGAGTTGTCCAAAAAAAAAAGTTTTTAATCTTCACTTGAAACTATCAAGCGCTGGAACTGTCCTTGAGGTACCGTATTCGACATTTTAAGCGCCCAGGGCGCTCTCAAAATTAGAAATGGGGGCTCTTATTAGAATATTATTTTGGTGAAAAGCAACAGAGTTGAAAGATCGTAAATTTCGTGGTTTATGTTGACAGCCTGAAATGTTAATATACGAAAGGTATATTTTTTTTCCAGAATTTAATGCCCCATAATTAAGGGTGCACATAACACACGTATTACATTGATCAATCGAAAGGGGTGATAATTGGGATTGTTCACTAGCCAATTGTTTAGCAAATATCGCTGTGGGCGCTTATTAGAGCGGGGCGCTTATTACGTCGAATACGGTAATTGTAAAAGCACTCAATTTCTGTGCAGAAGTTGCTCCAAAACTTTGGCACGAGACGATTTAAGTTTCCATGTGGGAATGACAAGCTGAAGTTTGTCACAGAGTGAGAGTTCCTAGAAGGCAATAGACAGCGAATGTAGGGACACAGCAACACTCACCACAAGCCACAATCTTCCCCTTGACTGCACGGATACCGAAGGCACACCTGGGCGTGGTCATGGTGGCCAGCGTTGCTAGGGGTCCGAGGCGCTCGAAGGAGTTGGTCCTGCTCTTGCTGTGGATGGGGGAGTCGGGCCCCTCGGAGCTGCTGCTGTAGGGGCTGGACTGTGGCATGCGGAAGTGGATGGAGAGAGTGGCCATCTGGCTGCCCAGCATCACCATGCACAGGAACGTGTGCTCTGCAACACCATGGTGACAGCCATATATACTCACCGCCAAAAGAAACATGAACCAAGAGTGAGTGAGTGAGTTGGGTTTAACACCGCTTTTAACATTATTCCAGTTATATCACGGCGTGTCAGCTTAATGTGGGAGGACAGCCCGAAGTGATGCAGGTCTCAGACCAGCACGGGTATGGTGCTGACCAACCTAAAAACATAATTTGGGCGAACCTGGATTCTATCCCACAATCATAGGTTTCTGACGTTCCCAAGGGATGCAACTCTGCAAAGCAAATCGCGGCGCCTTAGACGACTGGGCCATCCGTGCCCCCTGAACCAAGAGACTAGGCATGTCACGATTCACCGATTGTATCAATATATTGGTAGATAATTCTCAAATTTTATTGAGATCGGTATCCATTTGTTTGAGTATTGATTTTTTTGGGGGGGGAATCAAATTGTCATATTTTCTGAATTTGACACATATGAAAACTTGTTAGTGGCCGACACTTGTTTGAATAAACAGAATCAACCTTTTCTAAGTATTATTATTTTACAAAATAATCTACTGATAGTGGTTAGAACCAGGGGTCCGGAAACTGTCATATGCGCCGGACATGTCCGATTGGGAATCTCAAATGTCCGTTTTAAAATATTGCTTACCGGACATTTTAAAAAGTATTGTCCGGACATTCTTAAATTTTGACCGGACATGATCAACAGTTAGGACTGAGCAGTTTCTGTCTGCAGTTGCAACACAATGAAGATTAACTACACTGACAAGCTTTGTTTGTTTTGATTGCTGAAAATACATCGCACCTACATGATAGTCCAATCAGTCAATCACTCTAATAGGCAATAAACTGAGTTGACACTGATTAATCGAGGATTTATTACTGAGAACATCTTGTTAGTTTGAGTGAAAGGTGTTTACAACTGTACATTAATACCTTGCATCATCGATGTACCTCATTATCCTCACAATGTTACGATACGTAACCTCAGACAAGAAGCGAAAGCGTGACGACAGCCAGTCGACCGATGCAGATCAGTCGAGCGGATCTGCCAAACCCTCAAAGTCTGGACGATCATTTTGTAAGTCGTGGCTAACGACTTTCACTTGATTGACATACAATGAGGATTTGCAGATTTTATTGTTTTCAGTAGCTAGTCGTATATTGAATCTTAATTGACCGCCATTTTGCTTTCTCGGACGATCGATATCCAATTTTTTTATCAATCATATTATGAATACGTAAACTTGTAATGTGTGTGAAAAGTCGTACTAAAATACGCTATTTGAATGGGTCGTGGCCTAAATGCAAATGTCCGATTGGGATTTTAAATTTTCCGGAACCCTGGTTAGAACACATAATAGTGAATGTGAAATGTAATTAAAAAGTTTGCTTCTAAATTTATGCAACAAAGGTTGGTATTGCTGTATCGAGATACGTATCGTATCTTGACCTCAAAATCGAGATACGTATCGTATCGTGAGGTACCCGTATCGTGACACCCCTAATAGAGATGCACGTACGGTAAGAAGAGATGTTTCCAATGTGTACCAATTAATGACAAAACTAACAATCAAGTCAAGTGTGTCTTTATTCTTATCATGATATGCTGCACGCGACTTCCAAACTTTACACTAATCCTGCACAAGACAAAAGGTGCATCTATAGTCATGGATCTATGACGTCACATGTGATGCATTTATGAGTGTCGGTTCACACAACAGATCAGTATGTTCTTTTATGCATCAAACTAATCTAATATCTCTTGAAAATGAGTCACTTATTTTAACCAACATAGATGGTATTTGCTATTCCCTTGTCGGTGAGTATATATATATATATATATATATATATATATATATATATATATATATATATATATATATATATACACACACACACACACACACACACACACACACACTACCAAAAAAAGGATAACAATCTTCCGATTCTTTCATGCTACTATAATTAATCTTTCATCCCACTGGGTAGAATGTTCAGTGAGAGTTTGTTGTTTAATTCAATATTCTATGGCATTCTGTTTAGGATCTGACCAGGGCCCACTTGCACAAAGCGATCTTAGCGCTAAGATGATCGTAACTCCCATACTTAAGCATAGGCTTACAATAATGTTAGCGCTAAGATCGCTTTGTGCAAGTGGGCCCTGATGTGAGTACAAATCAGGATTTCTGTGCATTGTATGCAACCTCAAGACGTTTAAGAATTCAGATTTGTTTATGTTACTATGGTTACTCTGTCATGGCTGGTGGGAACTGCAACACAATCTTCCAATTGTGGCTGTTCTTTAACTTGTCTTGAGTAGTATATTCTTAATATTATTTGTGTTTGTTGCTTATCGCCGCACTCAGCAATATTCCAGCCATATGAAAGCGGTCTGTAAATAATCAAGTCTGGACCAGACAATCCAGTGATTGATATCATGAGCATCGTTCTACGCAATTGAGATACGATGGCATGCATCAACCAAGTCAGCGAGCCTGACCCACTGATCTCGTTGGTCGCCTCTTACGACAAGCATAGTTGCTTTTTATGGCAAGCCTTTGGTTGCTGAAGACCAATTCTAACCCGGATCTTCATGGGCATTTAGTATTGGGAGTGTGGAGGCTTTAACAGCAGCTTGAGTGTTGAACAGTATTTAATTTATATAACAGTATTTTAGCTTGAAGTGGGAGGAGAGGCCGAAGTGAAGTTTTAGTCGTTTACCACTTTGGTGAAACCAACAAGCATGGTGCTGACAAACCTAGCAACAAATCTGGGAATCATACCCATGATCATAGCTTCCTGGCACATCTAAGGGACACAACTCTGAACATTGCGGCACCTAAGGCAATCTGGATGAGCAGTGAGGTGTGGATGTATTGTGTGAATGTTGTTTTAGATGATAGCAAGTCTTTCGTACCTTTCGTCATGTGCCCAGCCACAACAGACCACTCGCGGTTGTTTTTCGGCATTTCGGGTTCAATATTGAACTTGTGGAAGGGATGCTGTTGTTTCCCATTGGACGAGGACGGAATCCTGGACTCATCTATACCACTCTGTGGACGAGGAAACAATAACATGAAACAGTGAATGTGACGGTGGACAAAAAACTCTGCACAGCAAATTGCATATTGCATATGTTTAATATGAATGTGAAGCTGAAGTTGAGATGAACATCAATGTGAAGTTATCCTGTTGTCAAAGATGAGTTTAACTTCTAGGTGAGTGAGTGAGTTGGGTTTAACACCGCTTTTAACAGTATTCCAGTTATATCGCGGAGTGTCAGCTTAATGTGGGAGGAAAGCTCGGAAGTGATGCAGGTCTTACATGTTTACCAGTTCGGTGAAACCCACGAGCACGGGTATGGTGCTGACAAACCTAGAAACATAATCGGGGCAAACCAGGATTCGAACCCACGATCATAGGTTTCTGGCATGCCCAAGGGATGCAACTCTGCACAGCGAATCGAGGCGCCTTAGACGACTAGGCCACCCGTGCCCCCAAACATCTAGGTGAAGCTATCCTGTTGTCATAGTTGAGTTTAACATCAATGTGAAGCTACTATGTTGTCTTAGTTGAGTTTAATATCCAGGTGAAGCTATAGTAGAGTTTAATATCCAGGTGAAGCTATAGTAGAGTTTAATATCCAGGTGAAGCTATCCTGTTGTCATAGTTGAGTTTAATATCTAGGTGAAGCTATCCTGTTGTCATAGTTGAGTTTAATATCTAGCTGAAGCTATCCTGTTGTCATAGTTGAGTTTAATATCTAGGTGAAGCTATCCTGTTGTCATAGTTGAGTTTAATATCGTGTACATTAATTGTCTTCAGGTCTGTGTGAAATGAGCAGTCTCAAACAGGATACAAGGCAGGGATTCTGGCTGATATTGCATCAATGTAGAATAGTTCATATCATTAAAGCATCTGTACATTGTAATCCTATTCCCTAGAAAACCCAACAAACTGTATTGTATGTTTAAGCACCAGTGAGCAACTAGAAGATGGATATTAGGTGCTATACAATTTTTTTTTTGTTTTGATTGTTTGTTCCAGCTATATGACAGCGGTCTGTAAATAATCAAGTCTGGACCAGACAATCCAGTGATTGACATCATGAGCATCAATATCAATGCAATTGGGATACGATGACATGCATCAGCCAAGTCAACAGGCCTGACCACCCGATCCCGTTAGTCGCCTCTTAAGACAAGCATGGGTTGCTGAAGACCTATTCTACCCCGGATCTTCACGGGTCATACAATTTATGTATTATTATCATTATTGATATATAACATATAATGTAACCATGGCAACAACAGCAGAAGTTCAAAGTTCACACCAACCTGTTTTCGCATGAGTTTCTTGTAGTCCTGTACCGTCATATCCTGACGGAGGTTGTCATCGTCAATGTCCTTGCAGTCCCTGAGGACGTTGTCGGCACACAGGTACAGGAGGTTCACCTGCAAACAGAATACTAAACCATGACAAACCAACCTCAAACGGCATAGCCAAGGCGTGATATGAAAGAATGAAGATGAAATATACTCACGAACCCAAAGCTGTCGCCATGGCAACCTGGCGCTTACTTCACCTGCTACATATAGAGGAAACTCTGTGATGCCCATAATCATCCTACGTACTCCGAAAACCAGAAACACTTCAAACGGGCCCTTTTTCCGTCATTGTGCAGTTGCTTTTACTAAAACTGTAAACCTTTCGTGAAATGATTCATATTTTTTTTAAATGTGTTCGAGTTAACGTCAATGTTTCAAGACATGACCATTATCCCAAAGAAAACTGAATGCCCACCCTGTGAAAGGTTCCTGGTTTTACAAACAGACAATGTTCCTACGTACACAACCTGATTAGTAAAGCCATAGAAATGAACAATCAATGGCAAATATGACACATAAAAACATTTTTGTAAAAATTGAAAATATACATACCTTTTCTATCAAGCGATCAAACTTTGGTTTGACCTCATCCACACTGGCCTTGACCCAGTCAAGAGAAAGGTCAAACAACTGCTTCTCATTACAGTATGTGAAGAAGGATTCATCTGTACCTGAAACAGGATGAAATCCATCAGGAATTGAGTTCATTCTTCGACTCAATATTTTTTGATGGGTTTTTCCTTTGTTTTCTGGATTCCAAATAATCACAGAAGTTTATCTAGGATTCCAAACTCGGTACCCTTGCAGGCAAAATGAGGGGGGGGGGGGGAGATTATTTTTTTTTTAAAATTTGGAATTTTTTAGGAGTTATTATTTTATTTATTTTAGAGGTATTTTGAATGTTTTCTGTATTCCAAAAGTTCACAGAAGTTTATCTAGGATTCCAAACTCGGTACCCTTGCAGGCAAAATGAGGGGGGGGGGGGGGGGGGGGGGGGGGGGATTTTATTTTTTTTCAAATTTGGGATTTTTTTTAAGGAGTTATTATTTTATTTATTTCAGAGGTATTTTTATTTAGTATTTTATTCTCACATTCAATGTAGAAATGTTAAATTAAGTATAAAAGCCTCCTCTTCATTGATACTGTTATCAGTTTGTTTGTTGTTTATCGCCGCATTCAGCAATATTCCAGCTTTATGATGGTGGTCTGTAAATAATCGAGTCTGGACCAGACAATCCAGTGATTGTCATCATGAGCATCAATCTACTCAATAGGGATACGATGACAAGCATCAAACAAGTCAGTGAGCCTGACCACCCAATCCCGTTGGTCGATTCTTACGGCAAGCATGGTCGCCTTTTACTCCTGTTACTTGTGTCCCATTGACCAAGCTATTACATTAGTAATACCATATTCAACGTAATAAGCGTCCAGGCCGCTCTCAAAAATAGAAATAGGGGGCTCTTATTAGAATATTATTTTGGTGGAAAAAACAAAGTTGAAAGATAAATTTCGTGGTTATTGCTGACAGCCTGAACTGTTTATATACGACATATATTTTTCTTGAATTTAATTGCCCATAATTAAGGGTGTATATAACACACGCGTGCGTATTATACACGAATATATAAGTCTTGTGTACACTGATCAATCAGAAGGGGTGCTAATTGGGATTGTTCACTTGCCAATATATTAGCAAATATCGCCGTGGGCGCTTATTAGAGCGGGGCACTTATTACGTCGAATACGGTAACTATATTTACTGACGTGCTCCAGAATTGGGGCAAATGGCCTCTGAGTAGGTCCAATTATATCCCAGATCATTAATTCTACCAACACCCTTGGAAAAACTTGCTCGATAACCCTTCCTGTATATACAGGATTCTTTACAGGCCTACACCCACCAATAATCTCCAGCTGTATCCGAGGCAACCCGAAGAACCGTTTGTTGCTAGTGACAGCGCCAATGTTGTCCTGGATGTACTCGTTGATCCTGCCGCGGAAATGTTCGTCTTCGGCATACATACGTACGTCTGGAATGAAAGATGATTATGGGTGAGACACACATGGAAAGATTTAAATCTACAGTTTTTCATACATCACACGAAATGATCACATGTATACACTGACTTAAGGCACAAACTAAACGTTCATTAGAATTGTTCAAGAGCTACTCTACATCACACATTAATTGCCCATAAGGAACCAGAGCTCACCACTGAAAACATCAAAAATAAACAATAATTTACATTCTAAATTCTTAAAACAGTCATTAAAAGTGAAATTACATTGTTGATTTGTATGATTTGCCAAACAATATTCTTCTGAATGTATTATAATAAAAACATTTTACCAAGTTACTGGTATTTAAATTTTGGAATGATGGATGAACAAGAGCATATCAGCCTGGGTTGTGTTACAAGTAACATGTAACACACATATATATATAAAGGTTGTTTCTTAGTCAAACACCATCACCGATATAACAAGAAGTTATCACCGATACGACCGAAGTCATCACTGATTCAGTAGTGCCGGACCAATCTTAGTAAATTAATCAAACATGTCTTCGACCGTTATTTCTATATTTCTCATATCTATAAGCTACATGAACAGTTTTATTAATACGAATAAGTTTTCAAGAACATAAGCTTGTGGCTTGTATAATAAAATTTACCAAAATAATACTGATGAACATGGCTAATTTTCAACTATCTAGTGTTACAAATGAACATACAGTGTAGTATATATGTGACGTGGCACAATGTGAAACTACAACCTGGAGTGATATAGGTTATACAGCACAGGGGGAATACTAGGAGTCTAGTGACAGAATCACAATAAGTATATGAGTGAGTATGATTTTACGCCGCTTTTAGCAATATTCCAGCAATATCATTTGTGGGGGGACATCAGAAATGGGCTTCACACATTGTATCCATGTCGAGAATCGAACCCGGGTCTTTGGGGTGATGAGCCAACGCTTTAACCACTAGGCTTTCCGACCTCACAATAAGTATATGAAGGGTTTTTTACACTGCTTGTTGCCATATTCAAGCTTATCAGGGCAGGGGACACCAGAAATAGCCTCCACATACTGTACCTAAGCATTTGAAATGACGTGCGAATACCATTAGGCTCTCCACTGCTACAGGGAGTGAGTGAGTATGGTTTTACGCCGCTGTCAGCAATATTCCAGCAATACGACGGGGGACACCAGAAAGGGGCTTCACACATTGTACCCATGTGAGGAATCGAACCCGGGTCTTCGTGGTGACGAGTGAATGCCGCAACCTTTAACCTTGAGATGCAAGTCGGCACAGCGAATTGGAACATTGATGAACAATGAGTCCTACTGTCTAAGTTCTCAGGGAAATGGGAGGACTACGAACAATAACATATACACGACACATGTGAGTGGGGTGGGTGCTGTGCCAGACATAAACCCATGAAACAATCGGCACGTTCCGACAACTCTGGTCTGCTCAGGGACAACCAGCTGTGAATCTGTGCCAGGTCAATAGATGCTGAAGAACAGGAATTTTGCTGGAGCCAAATGTCATTTGGACACTTTCACGACTTTAGCAAATTCTGATTAGTGCATGAGAGTGTTTGGCTTTACGCCACTTTAGCAATATTCAAGCAATATCGCTGCGATGGTCACCAGAAATGGGCTTCACTCATTGTACCCATGTGGGGAATCGAACCCAGGTCTTCGGCGTGACGAGCGAACACTTTAACCACCAGGCTACCCCACCACCCCTCAAATTTGGATAAGATATTTTTCTATATCATTACTAAAATTGAAGGATATTGTCAGTCCTAGAAAATGAACTTATCTGAAACCCTAGACGATTTTAATTGCCATTATAGTTCATATTCAAGCATACTTTGATAACTGCATATTGACATACGTATTAGGGCACTGATCTCAAAGCTAATGTAAATATCCAAGGGTTGCTACGAAATACATTGTCATGAGGTGGTATATATCTCAACAGCAAAGTCATGGTGTGATAAACAATACAATACAAAGCATTGTCATGTTAAGATAAGAAGAGATTGGTTCTTGTCTCATGGGATGACCGAAGTCCTAAATATATGTAGTGATGTTAATGTCGACTTAATACTGGCAAGGATTACCTAGACCTACTCAGAGGCCAGCATTTATCCCAACGTAGGCAGCAAATGGTACATATTCCCAAATTATGTTAATATAGAACAGAGCTGGAGATAAGCTGCGTATTTGCGTAAAATAGCCCCCCAAAATTCCCCCTCAAAACCCAATTACTTTCAATTAACTTCCGTACAGAAACTTATGCATTAAATAAAAAACTCAATTGTTTGAAAACAGCACACAGAATTACCCAATGAAGCTTTTTCAGGATGGTACAACAGTGCTAATTTCCAAAACCAATTACGAGCTAATTTACTTTCCGAGTCAAAACTATATTTAGAACCGTAATATACATCTAAAACATTATTTCATCTTTTCTAAAATCTCAAAATGCTAACTCATTTTGGGGAAAACCCAATAGATTGATGAATAGATGAGTTAAAAAATATTGGTTACCCAATGAAAAATGTAATAACCCAATTAAAATAGAAACCTTCGAGTAAAAACTCAATTGCTCAAAAAGTTATCTGGAGCTCTGTATAAAAATTAAAAACGAAACGTGAAGCAGACTTTATGATGATGTGGGCGATGCTGAGAACCAAGACTACCTCCTTTTTTTTTTAGCCTAAAACATCGCTGTGAGTGAATACACGACCTCATGGCAACAGATCCACAACGTACTAGACTTAAATCATAACAACCCTGTTCTCGTCCTCTAAGAACTGTTTCATCAACAAATGACTTACCTTGTATCTAATGTGATTACCTTAACAGATACACACTGGATACTGATATCACACAAATCTCAACTTAGACAGTATATATGGGTGTCTCTAAACAACGCCATGTTTCATCATCATGTGGGTCCAACAGCCATGGGCTTCAAATTGTTGCCAATATTAAAAAAATATATTTTTTATCCCAAACAAGTTTCGAACAGGCTTATATGGAATATAAGATGAGAACTCTTTGGTTCAGTCTGTAAACAGATTATATTAATATTATTAAAAAAGAATTTTTAAAAATATAAATAATTAGGTTTGATGTGGTAATGCATCACTGTTAAAAGTTGTTGTCAACATGCGGTGTCATATGCTACCGTAGTGGTCCCAAATGATGGATCTGAAACACGGCCTTGTTATCGGTACATCGTAGTGTCCGTCCATCTTCATCCAAGTGCCTCATTACACAGTCCGAGACCAAGATGGCCGACAACAACGGGATTCTAGGTCCCTCTATAACATGGCAGGGCATATACAGGCGTCCTTATCAGGCTATAGAGAGGGGCATCAGGTCTATTTCGCCACAGAAATTCATTCCACTCAAAATATTACCTTAATTCTCAACACTAGTAAAAATTATATGTAGAAGTCTTTAGATACAAATAAATCAATTCTTCAAACAAAATGAGATAAAAGACTTATTGATGGAGTCTACCTTATTATTTGATCAATTTCAAATAAAATTTTAAACAAAAACTTAGCAGAGCTTCAAACTGACGTGAAAACTTCTGAGTCCGAGGACCCATAAGGCCTTAATAAATTAATTATAAGATTTTCATGTAAAATATGTAAAAAATGTGAGGCAGGTGATATTTTACTTTTAGGGTGTACAAACTTTAAGCGAAGACTTTACCGGGGAATTAGGCCTGGTTTCACTGAAATAATATCGATACGTAACAACAAAACAAACTTTGAGAGGTGTTAACATGGAGAACAGACAATAATTGACTTTTATTTATTTTCCCATCACTGAAATATCACCAGAAATGAAATACTGGAACAATATTATTTTCGAAACAATTTTGTAATTTCCATAACTATTCCAGAAAAGGAAACCCAAAATGAAGTACGACTCTTCAGGATTCTAAGACTTGTGTGAACCGAGTCTTCTTTTGTAAATTACTTGTCCAAGTTGAACAGGAAATGTCGGAGGATGTGATTCAAATGAACATTAATGTTTTGTTAGTAAAGTCACATGCTGGTCTCCAATATGACAGAGGTCTGTAAATAAACAAGTTTGGACCAGACAATCCACTGATGGATATCATGAGCATCGATCCACGCAATTGGGATACAGTGACATGCATCAACCAAGTCAGAGAGCCTGACCACCCGATCCCGTTATTTGCCTTTTACGACAAGCATGGTCGCCTCTTACAACAAGCATGGGTTGCTGAAGACCAATTCTAACCCGGATCTTCATGGGTAAAGTAAAGAATGAAGGGCAGACACATCCAAATTGTCTTCATCTGTAGGGGATATCAAATATCGTGATGACAGGAACGAAAATCTAATAATAACCTATCAAGGCCTTATGATGAATAATGGGTCGGGTTGTAAATTACAGGTCTGATGGACTGATGGGATCTGGGTATGTCATGTGTTGTTTTTTTCAAAGGGTCAAAAGTCCTGAATCCCTGGCAATCTGAAGCACTGCTCTGCTGTAAAACCATGTGGTATTCAATATTTTCAAAAAATACAAAAAATTCTCATGATACTAATAAAATAATGATAAAACAATCAAATCCATACACAATTAAACTTGCAAAATTACCTTACATTAATGATAGCCTCTACCTTATAAAAACAAAAGTCTTAGATCCTGACCAAGCATTATTGAATAATGGTATTATTTAAAATATCTTCATAATACATCAAGCATTTTAATGCTGAAAGTTGATAATAAAAGATTTATCATAAGATAAAAAAAGAAAGAAAAAACAGAGAGGAACTGATTTCTGAGCTAGACTTGCGTGGGGAAACTTAAAAAGGGTTTCTTACCATTTATTCTGAGGTCAGCCTTGGACTGTGAATGTCTAAGCTACTACGTACAACACGATAAATCGTGAAGAAGTAGCAACAACATCGGACTGTGGGACAAAGACGAGCTAGTATCAAGGATACCTAGACAGTTGACAGGGGTCAAGGTCGATGACAGGTAGTCGGCACAGGCATCCACGGCGCTCACGATTTTCAAGCGTCGAGCCATCGCGTAGACCTCTCGAACATCCTCCGCTGGAACTGTCAATCTACAATAGGAATGACGTATTAAGAATATTCAGCAAGGTAGATGATTTAAACAAAATATTTAAGTTAAAAAAAGTTGCCTCACTTTGATTGGAATTTTCTGCAGAGTTTTACATATAAGGCCAGGAGTTTTATATTTTTCGGATTACGGACCCGCCGACTCTAATTTTTTAGATATGTAAAAAAATACTAATCACTAATCACATTTCCATTCCCTCCCCCACCCCCGCCGATAGCCACGTAGTCAGTTTTTTTGTTGTTGTTATCTTCACCTTTTAATAAAAAACATATGAATTTACCGGTGTAAACTAGTATAGAGATACATAAATGATCGTTGTTGATCTCGAAACTGAACATGAATAGCCTCCCTTGACATTTGTCTGTGTTGTAAGTGGTAGAATTTTTATTGTACCAAGGGGCTTTATCGTCACAAATGGTGTTTTTTTTTAGCACAGAATATGTTCATAAAGTAAGCCAGAGGCATTCTGCATTTTAAAAAAATGCCTCTGGCCTCTTTTTTTTCAGCCCAAAGTCCAGGGTTGGAGGAGGGGAGAAAAATCCCCTCCTCCAACCCTGGACTTTGGGCTGAAAAATCCGTAATCCTAAAAATAAAAAAAGCCTGGCCTAAAAGTTAAAGTCATGAAATATTGTTCGTTTACTTTCTTATAGTTTTGGTGACAAAATGAAGCCACCTGCTGAATTGGCCCACGACTTAATAATCCAGTTTCAAACACAACAGATTGGTTGTCAAACAAAGCTGGGATTAAAATCAATGTTGGAAAACTCAACTTACCTTTAATTATTAAACACAAGAAACTTACATGGAAATATACACTCGTTTACTGTCGCAACTGTCATAACTGTTCATTATGGGCATGTAGTACCCAAGCAAGGGTAACTCCCCTATATGACAGAATAAATGCCATAACAGTTCTGGAATAATTTCACTGGCCATTTCGCGATGCCAGAATGTCCGTCCGTATGCTTGGGGGATTGATGCTCAATCAACACACTGCTTCTTAACAGTTTGTTTGTTTATTGTTTAATGTCACACTGAGCAATATTCCAGCTATATGACAGTGGTAAATAATCAAGTCTGAACTAGACAATCCAGTGATTATACACGACCAGCAATCTATGCAATTGTGATTCGATGACATGCATCAACCAAGTCAACGAGTCTGACCACCCGATCTTGTGAGTCGTTTCTTACGACAGACATTGTCGCCTCTAACGACAAACATGGGTTGCTAAAGACCCCGGATCTTCATGGGTTGAGTATTAACAGCAGCTTTATGTAAGTGCTCCGTAAGTGATAGCAAAAAACAAAAGTTTTAGATTCTGACCTAATGCTTGGACATGAGTGAGTGAGTGAGTGAGTGAGTGAGTGAGTGAGTGAGTGAGTGAGTGAGTGAGTGAGTGAGTGAGTGAGTGAGTGAGTGAGTGAGTGAGTGAGTGAGTATGTTTTTATGCCGCTTTTAGCAATATTCCAGCAATATCACAGCGGGGACACCAGAAATGGGCTTCACACATTGTACCCATATCGGGAATCGCACCCGGGTCTTCGGTGTGATGAGCGATCGCTTTAAGCACTAGGCTACCCAACCTCTGATGCTCAGCCAAGTGCGTCCAAAGCACAGCGGGAGTCCTCATACAGCCAGCATTGTTTACGTACTTGCTATATTCATATATGCATATAGTTGTCACCCAGTGCTGATCACAATAAACAGTCTGTTGCATTTCTGTGCGTTGTTGGCATCATAAACTGAATCGTACACTAGCATGCATGGTCTGATAGTCAATGTCTATTGATTGGTTTCAGGTGAGAATTTTAAAAATTAAATGGGCATGTGATTAGTGAACACAAATTCTAAACAGGTTTCACGAATAACTGCAAGTTCGTGATAAATTTTTCTAAATCTTCTTAAAATGTTGGAATGGAGGCATGATATTTCTTAATGCTTTATAGTGTTCAAGGCATCAGTGTAAGTAACTGTTGATGGATCAAACAGAATCGTGTCATGTAATGTAATGACAGAAGGGAGCCATTTTCCTCGCTGTAGTGAATTGGGACAATAGAATGATCCTTCTCAAGTTCTCACTGTTATCACAAATAGTGAGTGAATATGGTTTTACACTGCTGTTAGCAATATTCCAGCAATATCTCGGCGGGGGACACCTGAAATGGGCTTCACACATTGTACCCATGTGGTGAATCGAACCCGGGTCTTCGGCGTGATGAGCGAACGCTTTAACCACTAGGCTACCCGACCGCCCCTTATCACAAATACCCTGGACCTATTTACAAACATATTTTTTTGTTGAAGGGGGATCGAATTTTGTTTTACGCCGCTTTTAGCAATATTCCAGCAATATCACAGCAATATCACAGCAGGGGCCACGAGGCAGGGGCTTCACACATTGTACCCATGTCGGGAATCGAACCCGGGGTCTTCAGCCTGAGAAGCAAACACTATAACCCCTGTTGTGGTGGAGAAGGCAGGTAGTTGCAAAAGCTGTCTCCCTTAACGGCCATGACAAACTGGTAAGAGGTTTGAATCCCCAATTCCCGCAATCTTGTTCAGTCAGTTCACACATGCATGGGTTTAAAACAAAGAGGTAGCTGTTACTACTCAGGCATTAAGCTGACATGCTGTGATGTAATTTAACGACTAACATTGTGAGCAACATCAATGTTGTCGACACCCTATCAACCATGTCACTGAGTCTGACCACCCGATCTATCTAGTGATCAAGTCTGGCCACCCGATTCATTTAGTCACTGAGTCTGACCACCGGATCCATTTGGTCACCGAGTTTGACCACCGGATCCATTTGGTCACTGAGTCTGACCACCCGATCTATCTAGTGATCAAGTCTGGCCACCCGATTCATTTAGTCACCGAGTCTGACCACCGGATCCATTTAGTCACCGAGTCTGACCACCCGATCTATCTAGTGATCAAGTCTGACCACCCGATCTATCTAGCGATCAAGTCTGACCACCCGATCTATCTAGTGATCAAGTCTGACCACCCGATCTATCTAGTGATCAAGTCTTGCCACCCGATCTATCTCGTGATCAAGTCTGACCACCCGATCTATCTAGTTATCAAGTCTGACCACCCGATCTATCTAGTGATCAAGTCTGACCACCCGATCTATCTAGTGATCAAGTCTTGCCACCCGATCTATCTAGTGATCAAGTCTGACCACCCGATCTATCTAGTGATCAAGTCTGACCACCCGATCCATTTAGTCACCGAATCTGACCCCCCCCCAAAAAAAATTATTCAAAACCCAATTACTTTCAATTAACTTGCATACAGAAAGCATGCAATAAATGAAAAACTCAATTGTTTTAAAACAGCACGCAGAAATACCCAATGAAGCTTTTTCAGCATGCGTACAAAAGAGCTAATTTCCAAAACACAATTACGAGCTAATTACGAGTCAAGTCTATATTTAGAACCACTATATACAGTAAAGTATGTTTATAACGAACACGCTTATAACGAACTGACGGATATAACGAACTGATTTTTATGTCCCGACTATTTGCTATAGTTATGCTGTATATATGCTTATAACGAACTACGGTTATAACAAACTAAAGTTAATGGTCCCTTTGAGTTCGTTATAACCGTAGTTTACTGTACATCTAAAATATCATTTCAATTTTTTTTTTAAATCTCAAAATGCTAACTCATTTTGGGAACAAAACAATAGAGTGATGAATTGATGAGTAAAAAAATATTGTTTACACAATGATGTAATGAGCAAATTCAAATCAAAGAAACCTTCGAGTAAAAACTCAATTGCTCAAAAAGGTAACTGGAGCTCAGGGCCCCGTTCCACAAAGCGATCTTAGCGCTAAGGTGATTGTAACTCCCATTCTTTAACACTGACTTACGACAGTCGTAGCGCTAAGATTGCTTTGTGGAAAGGGACCCTGGTAACACTTCAATACCACATTCCACACATATATCCAACACAACACCTCCATCTCCAACGTCAGCAACTTGCCTTCCTGTGTACATATAGTCTAACAAGTGGCTGAATCCGCTGAATTTCACATCTTTCAGCTTCACCATGCTGCTCGTCTGGATGGAGTCGTCTCCCTTGGAAAACAGATCGAACAAGGTGGCGCTGCTGGCAGCAAGGACTGCCCGGTGGGCAAAAATCTCATGGTTATCAACAACCAGTTTGACATCACAGAACTTCTGGCTTTTCCGCAGTGATCGGATGGACGTCAACACATCGTCGTTGTGAGTGGAGTTGGCGAAGACCATCCCTTCCAAGTCCTCCTCTTCTTCTTCTGGGTAACCGTTACTCATGGCCGACATTTTCACGTCGCCAGTCTCAGTTCTGAAACAGAGAAATTACAATTGAATACAACACCACTAATTCCTGAGTGCAAAGATCAAATATGGCAAAGAGAAACTGACAACGGCGCTCAAGATCGTCTGATAAGGGTTAGGGGCCATCCTAGACTCTCCAGGATAGTATATCTCCATACTGTATGAAAAATACCAAAGTTTTGTTTAAGAATTGGTGTCGCCATTTCCATCTCTCATGTCACCAACTTGGTCACAGAATGGCTGGATCAACAGGGTGTCTAAACCGTGTTCCCACTAGCTTTTCTAAACTGCCAGTCCCAGTGGACTGGCATCTTTAAAATACCCCCCACCCCCAACCACCAATTTTTTTCAGTCCCAACTTTGAACACAAAAAGACCCAGTTATGAAATTACCTGGTTTTAATTCTTTCAACATTTTGTTCAATGCACTGTATGTTGATGACTGACATATTCCATGACGTCATCCCTGCAGTAACTTAGATCTACACACGATTCACACAACGTTCAATCACAATTTTTCACCGGAATATTTCACTTTGGTTTGAGACGAGGTGGCTACAAATGGATACTTCACCTCGAAGAAACGCGAAATGTTATTTCTTTGCACTAAAAATAGACTACAGGACTTTTTAGTCCTCAGGGACTAGTAGTCCTATGAATTACCAGTCCAAGCCTAATTTTATCGATAAAAAACTGGTAATTACCGGTAAACGGGAACACTGCTGAATTAACAAGGAATGGGTTTTTTCGTTCCATATTTGAAACAATATAATTTGCCTTGATGTTCTGCATGCCAATCCGTATGAACAAACTCATGAAACATATCATTACACTGAAATGACACGGAAAGTATGGGTTTATGTGAATAACTGTGAAATATTAAGATTACGTTAACAGCTGGTGTAAGCCAGTCGGCTACATGATCCTGACTATTTCTTCACATGATATTTGTGCTCAAATATTAGTCAATATCGGTCTATATGCTTATGTATAATGTAGCAACTTGATGAAAATGCACATCTAACACCTGCTACATTAGTAATGTGATGTGAGGTGAGGCGAGGTGAAATGGGGTTTAACGTCAAGATTATTGTGCTTAAATAGCGACGGGCATGCACATGCATGCAAGAATGCTTGTTTTTTCTTGTTTTGACTAATTCCGACTTGTGCTAGCCAAATGATATGCCATGCCGCAGTTTAACATAGATTCCCCACTCAGACACAGTATACTGACTCCCAGCTAACCATTCTATTTTTTAGCCCATCGAGATCCCATGCCGCAGTTTAACATGGATACCCCCCACACACAACGTATACTAACTCCTAGCCAACCAATCTTTGTTTCAGATCCTTGGTCCCGGACATGTGCAGAACATGGATATATCGAACTACTAGGGACCAGAGAAATCAGTTCGTTACATACGTTCTTCGTTATATACGGTTTTGCTTGGAAACGTCCACCATCTTGGCTTAAACAAAAAACAATACACATCCACATTTATACACGTTTCCTCCCACATCTACAGGTGATCGAGTTAAAAAGTACCCAATGATACAAATTCAAAAACATTTGATGCAATAGTCGAAATAAATTATATCTGAAATTATTACTTTATCTAGATACTAAATTCCAATATCATGTTATTTTAGTTACACCTTTCATATATATATATATATACTTAAAATAATCAGAACCATAAGCGTAGCACTTTGGTACAGGTGATTGCCATTACCGGATATTTTTACATAACAATTTGAACAGTCACCGTAGGGACTTCCCGCGCTACATGTACATTGTATTTTGATTGCGTACAGCCAATTGTCAGTGACACTTGAAACTAAGTGAAATTTCTCAGTTCGCTATACCATACACGTCACGAATTAGTGGTATTTGGGCTTGTCAAGGATCAGATATCAGTTCACTATATACGTTAGTATGCTGTAGAGAGTTTGTTATGTATGTAAATTTTAAATGATAATATATAGGAGATAAATCAGGGATTTTTTAACGGTTCATTGTATCCGTTTGTTCGCTCTGTAACACACAGGACAATGGAGGATAGTACATAAGTCTTGTACCATAACCCCCAGTCATCATCCAGCATAATGTTGCCTATGTCTCATAGCAACAGGGCTACCAGCCCAACAAGTTGGGAGGCCATGATTATAGGACACTTTTTTATGGATAGCAACTTTTTTTATTCTTTGTATGATGCTTCAGAGCTACTTCCTGCTCCTTTATCCAGGGAATGCTTGGTAAGTGCATAGAGTACTGATCATACATAAATCATGATGTCTACACAATACAAGGTGGGATGAAAGAACAAAGCTAACAACATAATTAAGAAGCCAATGACATAGGATGAGTGAGTGAGTGAGTGAGTGAGTGAGTGAGTGAGTGAGTGAGTGAGTTGGGTTTAACGCAGCTTTTAACAGTATTCCAGTTATATCACGGCGTGTCAGCTTAATGTGGGAGGAAAGCCCGAAGTGATGCAGGTCTAAGACGTTTACCACTTCCGTGAAACCCACAAGCACGGGTATGGTGCTGACAAACCTAGAAACATAATCGGGGCGAACCGGGATTCGAACCCACAATCATAGGTTTCTGGCGTGTCCAAGGGACGCAACTCTGCACAGCGAATCGCGGCGCCTTAGACGACTGGGCCACCCGTGGCCCCTGACGAGTCAAGAAGGCTACACTGGCATTTGTTATACAGGGTAGTTCGTACTTCAAAGGGACGCTTTCCCTGTATTTAAAGTGTGTGGAATGTACGATAGTCTTACCATTTCGTTTTTCAATATTTGCATTACAGAGGGAATTCTCAAGATAGCAGACAATGGTTATTATATTACTCGACAAGAGACCTGCACCGGTGGTCAATGAAGGTCATAGCGAAATATCACTCAAATGACAATAGCTGTTTAGCTTTCGCGAGCAGGAAGTATTTTATTCTTATCATGAGCTTATGAAAAACCCCACCAACACAACCTATGCGCTCGGCACAGCGAATCGCGGCGCCTTAGACGACTGGGCCACCCGTGCCCCCGACATAGGATGAATGTATAAAGATGACAACATAATGACGAAGCCGTTGGGATATGTTTAAGATAGCAGTAGTTTTAAAGAAATATGGCACACAAATGTTGGAATACACAAAAAAATCCAAGTTCAAAACATGAAAACAATCATATTTTTTACAGAAAACCAACACATCAAAATCAAACTTTGCACTGTACCTTTCCATTACTATTAGTATAGAAAGTGTTCCTTAAATTTGAAAAGAATCCATGCAGTAGCTTTCAAGTTATAGGTCACAAATGTTGAAGTAAAGCAATTCTAAATAAAGAATGAAAGAAAAATAGTTGTATGTTTTGCAGAAAATCCAAATATTGAAATCAAACTTCGCACTGCACCTCTACTATTGGTATAGAAAGTGTTTCCCAAGTTTGAAAAGAAATAATAATAATAATCCATTTGTAGGGCGATTTTTCCACGCTTATGCTTTATTTTGTTTTATTTGTTTGTTGTTTAAAGCCGCACTCAGCAATATTCCAGTTATATGACGGCAGTCTGTAAATAATCGAGTCTGGACCAGACAATCCATTGATTGACAACATGAGCATCGATCCACACAATTGGGATCGATGACATGCATCAACCAAGTCAGCGAGCCTGACCACCCGATCCCTTTAGTCGCCTCTTCCGACAAGCATGGGTTGCTGAAGACCTATTCTACCCGGATCTTCACGGGCCGATGTCATCCTCATAGTGCACCATTATTATCCTTATGAATGCATTAGTCACAATACCTTGATAATAGGCCTCGATGCAGCTATACATGCACCATCGCAAGCTGCTGCAAAGTGCAACCTAACATTAACATGATTAAGTCGACATGACCCAAGTGTATGCACGGTTAGAAACTAACAGTTTTTGTCCACTAGTCTTTATGATGATAACATATAGCAAAACCCTAAAAATGGGCCAATTTCTACTAGTCCTTAGGATACCTTTACTATTGGGCAGTTTGGTAAGGACTACAGGACTAGTGCCAATTTCTAACGTTGGTATGTCAAACAATTTGCGTCTAACCATGCTAACCCTTAATTGTCCACACATCATCAATCTCTATCACACTCAATACCTCGAAGTCTTATTAACAATACTACATCTCAGCGTTATGTGTAATTTGTCAAGCTTTCTTGGGCTTGATGTCATCAAACTGTGGGTACTTCAGATTATGTCCTGCGCCCTGTTCCACAAAGCGACCTTAGTGCTTAGTTGGTCGTAACTCCCATACTTTACCATAGGCTTACGATCAACGTAGCACTAAGGTCGCTTTGTGGAACAGGGCCCTGCACTTTCGCTTCATCTGGCCCTGAAGTTGACGTCACATCTAAATTATCCTACCAATGAGTCATTATGTAGTATATGACGGTTGCCATTGCCACATAAATACTGTAACAGAAGTACGAACTGTTTTAAAAATCAGGACAGTTATCAGATCATCAGAGATATGAGATTTATTTATTTAGCCTTGATCATGCATCTAGGCAGGCCTCAAAGTTTAATTTTTTACCAAGCATTCACTGCTTGATGGTGTTATAGTTTGATACCCCTTTGAGTGAGTTTTGTTTTACGCCACGCAACATTCCAGCGATGTCACAGCGGGCGACACGAGAAATGGGCTTCACACATTGTACCCATGTGGGGAATCGAACCTGGATCTTCGGCGTGACGAGCGAACGCTTTAACCACTATACCACTTTGAACAGTATCTCACATTCAGGCCTCAAAGTTTAATTTTTTACCAAGTAGCCATATGGCTACAAGTATTTTTTATCCATGTAGCCAGCGGTAAAATCAAGAAGTCAAGTCAATATTGTAGGCAGCCAAAAGCTTTTGAAATTATCTTTATCAAATAACTATTTTAATATATATACAAGTCATAGCACTAGTCTTGGAATTGTATATTAGTGGAAACTGTACTTGATTTTTGTTATTTGT